TTTAGCCTTACTAATAGACCTAGTAATACGCCTATTTACTAAGTTCTTAGTAATATATTAGCGTAATTCCTCTAGTTATTTCTTATTTAGTAAGTAGATTAGGCTATATAAAGGCTTTTTCCTTAGCATAAGATTAATTAAGTGTTTAGCCTTACTATACACCTATAGTCCTATTACTAATTACTTATTAAAAGTAGCTACTTTACTTTATAACTCCTCTAGGAGTATGTCTAGCGGTTTTAGCTTTATTAGTTTACTTACCTTATATAAGATATATAATATATATACGTATTTATTATTTTTAATAATATTATAAGTAATTAACTTTAGCTTTATAATAGATATTACCTTATAATACTATTAATTTATAGCTATATTTATTTAGATGCCTTCCTAGCTTATAGACTGTCTAGACATAAGAATATTAGGTTATTTTTTCTCTTATTCTATCTTAATAACTAGTTAGTAAACCTTCTATAGCTACTTATAGTAGTTAATTAAAAAAAAAATTAGCTAATAGGCTTTTCCTTATTTTACCTTTTTACCTATAAATAACTTAAGGGTTAAGGCCTTAGCCTTTATAGGCTTTAGGCTTAGGTGTTTTACTAATTTAGTGCTAATAAGGTCTACTTCTAAGTATATATTTATTACTACTTTAATAACTTCCTTAGCGTCCCCTTATAGGATAATTACTATAGCTATAGTAGTAGTTCCTATAGGTACCTTTATTAGTTTAGGTGTAGGTGTTTAAGGTATAACACTTACGCCTACTTATTTTCTAATAAGTTAAGTTTATAGACCCTAGGCCTTATAATAATATTTTATATAGTAGTAGTTTTTTTATTTAGTTAGTAAGTAAACAGCCTACTATTACTCCCCTTATTAGGTTTTCTTCTATAGTATTTACTTATAAGGTGCCTTAGCTTATTATAGATATAACACTAGCTTACCTCTAGCTAACCCTTTAGTAACTAAGTGTTATGTCTTTTGCCTCCTGCTAGTTTATACGCTTACTTTATTAGCCTTAATCCTTTAGGTATATCTTTATTTTAATCCCTTTTATATAGCGTAGGTCTTTATAGCTATTTACCTTTAGGTATAAGGCGCTTCTTACTATCCCTTACTAATCCTTTAGTAAGCTATTACTCCCTAAGTAACTACAGCTGTCTAGCCTTATAAGTAACGTCTCTAGGTTAAAAGATAGGCACCTTTTATTATACTATCTTATCTTATAATAGAATTAGTAAGCTAAAGAAGTAGTAATACGCCTTAGTTTTTAAGTCCTTAACGTCTTTAGTGCCTAGGTTATAATATATTACTAACTAGTTAGTAAGGTATTATATTAGGCTTTAGCTATTACGTATTTTTATTCTTTTTAGCTCTTACTAGTAGTCTTATTCTTAGGCCTCTAGGTTAATATACTATTAGTAAAGAAACGCTAAGAAATTACTTTACTTTAGAGGCTTTAGTAGGCCTTTTTTATAGTTATACTACTATATCTATAGGGTTAAAGACACCCTTAAGAGGGCCTATTTAATATATTACTTAACAGTACTTCCTAAGTAAAGCCTATTTCTTACCTCTATAGTAATAATCTAATTAGCTACTTAGGCGCTTATAAATTCTTCCCTTATAGTCCTATAGTTATAAAATAGGGGCTTCTTATATTCCTTTTTATTAGGACGCTATACTAGTCTGTTAGTAAGCTCTTATAGAAGGCGCTTATAGTGTCTTTACTCCTTATAATACTCCTTAACTATAGTCTTTATAGTTTCTTAAAAGTATAATATTATTACTTATATAAGGTTAATAATCCTTAGGCTTAGTATAGTTATACTAGCACTTTAGTATATACTTACACTTTACTTATTATATAACTACTTAGTAATAAAAGCCTTATTAGCCTTATTAGTAGCTATATAGGAATCTAGCGTATTAAACCCTCTTAATAGCGTCCTTCCTTATGTTATTTCTTTATTAGATTGTTATATAGACCGTTCTAGTAGTATGCTTTAATTAATAGCTACAGTTAGGCCTGTTAGGTACTTAATTCTAGATAGCTACAGCTTGTCTATACTAGCTGCGCGTTAGCAACGCGTTAGCAGAAGATTAGTCTGTCTGGCATTATTCTAATCTATCTTGCCTGTACTAGTTTCTTAAGAGAGATAGAAGCTTAAGAATTATAAGATATTTAGCTATAGGCACTTAACTAGGTAGGGCTTAATAGTAGGTATTAGTGTATTATAAGACTTAAGCTTATAGAGCCCTTTATCTTGTTAGGCCTCTGCTATAATAACTCTGTAGTAGGGTGGGGTCGCTAGAGCCTTAGCGACTAATTACTAAGACCTATAACTGCTGTTATAAATCCTTTTATAATAAAAAAGAAGATTTAGAATTATAATAGACTATTAAAATTATAAAGAAGTATTAGTAATTATAAGTCTTATATTATATAGAAGCTAAATCTTAGAGAACTATTCTCCTGTAATTTATAAGGCTATTACTAGCTAAATACGCCCTACTCCCTAAAACACTATACTAACCTTAAGATAGTTAGGTAGCTATTACTACCTAGTCTTAGGTAGCGCCCTTTAGTTAAGTAGTTATTATCTTATAATAAAAAGCTACTACTACTATAGTTATTACTAAACTATTAATAATAGCCTTAGCCTTAGTAAGTATAGTCTACTTAATATTAATTATTAGGTAATAAAGGTAAGGATTTAGTAAGGTACTAGCTATAGTAAGGGCGCCTTATAGTAGTACTAATAGATAACTATAATTAGCTATATACTTCTTCTAATACTATAGCTAGAGCGTATAGGTAAAAGTTACACTTAGGAACCCTAAAGCAGGTATTTAGTAACTAACTTCTTAACACCTTATTATTTTAGTATAATAAGGAGAAAGCCTATTAGATAAAGGCTAGCTTTAAGATAAGCTCCTTAAGGGCTTAGATCTTAGTTATTATAGGATTATTATATATAACTTAAGGAAGTATTATTTCTTACTATTTAGGTAAGTAAGTTTATATTTATTCTTATGTCTTAAAGTAGTTATAAGTTTAGTTAACTATTTTATTAAAATTATAAATACTATTACTATAAATATAATTAATATAGAACTAAAATACCTTACTTTTTAGTATAATTAAGAAGGTAAGGCTAAGCTAGTGCTACTTAATCCTAACCTTACTATAATTATCTTAAAAAATACTTAACTTTAGATTAAGAACGTTATATAGCTTACTACTATACTTTATTTTATTAGTTAGTAGCTTTATAAGGTTAGTTAGCTAATATAAGTAAGGTTATAAGGAAAAAATAAAAATAAAGTTAGGCTTATATAGTAGCTAACGTTATTATAATTTATTATAGCCTTATAACTAAAATCTCTATATAGTACTTTAAGGTAGTAGGTTAGTAGTAGGCTTATAGTTACTTAATAAGTTAAATAGTATATCTTACTAAGGATTTATTCTATTTATTATAATAGGCTAACTACCTAATTACTTACTATACTAGCTATAATAAGATTAATAAGTAGAGTAATAAGTAAGGTAAGAAGTAAGGTAAGGTATTCTTAGGTTATATAATAAGGTATTAATAAATAAAGTGCTTATATTACCTCTAAGTATTAGGTTTAAGTTAGTAAGTGCCTAGTAGATTCTATTTTATTATAAGAGTAAAGTTAGGCCTTCTTACTTCTGCTTTAGCTAGTAATAATTTACTATTAATAGATAAGTTAAGGTAAATAAGGTTAGTTACCTCTATAAAGTAATATTAGCTACTATTTATAATAATATTAAAAAAGTAATAAATAAGGCCTAATTAATTATTAATCTGTCCTTAGGTAAGATATATTAACTAGTAATATTATTAATAAATTTAGGATTTTTTATTTATAAGTTAAAGATAGGCTGTTTATAGCGTATAAAAGTAATATCTTCTTTAGTCTATATATAGAAATTAGCGTTAAGAAGGTCTACTAATTTAGGTGTAATCCTTCTTTTTACTAAATTAATAAAGACTTTATTATTAATAAGGTAATTATAAAATATTAATAATACCTTAGTGCCTATAGCGTTAAAGGTAGTAGTAGTCTAATTTATAAAATCTAACTAAAAAGCGCTAAGAAGGTAATAGCTATAGAGGTTAGCGTCTAACTATATAGTAATTATATATATTATATATAATTTAACCTTATAAGGGTCTAACTTATTAAGATTAAAGTTAATATAGTTACCTTATGTTAATAAATTAATATAGTAAATAAAGGTAGGTAGAAGAGGGAGAGGTTATAAGAGGTATAATAATAAGGATAGTAAGTATAAATATAAATATAAGTTATAGGTATTTATTACTAGTTAACTTAGGAGCCCTACTATTACTAGTAGTAGCTCTTTACCTTTTTTTTTCTACTTATTATTAATATAGATTTAGTTAAAATAAAGTAAGGAATTAAAGAAAGTTATAATAATAATAATAATAGTTAAGTTATAGAGGATTTACGCTAATAGGCTGCTAATCCTCTCTGCTTTACGTAAAAAACCTTACTAATCTGTTATAGTAGTAATCTAGTAATTAATTACATACTAATTAGTGTTAGTTTAATTACTATAAAGGGATATCTTAATATTACGTAACAGATTGTGATTTAGAATAGTTACTTGTTGTATATTAGTTAGTTATAAAGTGAATCCAGACTTTTGGGTGGTATACTGGTAGTGAGGTGGATACTGCTAAGGGAGGCGGTGTGTCACGTGAATATCACGTGACCACCTCCCCCGAAGCATACCTACCGTATACCAACAGTCCCATTTATTTCTTTGCTTTCTCTCTTCCTTATTTCGTATCAACAGTCGTTTAGGCGAAGGACGATATGCCAGCCTTCTGTAGCTAAAGCCTCTGGCTACAGGGAATGAACAATCCCAAATATACAACATAGGAAATACGTCGTGAGTCAGTACCGGGCACTTGAGCTCAGACGTACCTCGATTCCTATATCTGAGCCTCGTGGCTAAATTCAAAGCTCATTCCTTCCCAGAAAGCATCATCCATGAAAGCTTCTCCGTCCTGCCCGCTGATGTCAATAATGGCATCCGCTAGAGCGAACTGCGTATTATAGGCAGCCTCTGAACCGCCATTGAATCCCCATTGGCCCGCACCATCCCACATGAAGTCTTGAGCAATGGTATTCATAAGTGGACAGAGGTTCTGCTCAAGAGTCTGCTGCGGATGCACCGATACATTTTCCGTGTCCTTTCCAGCGAGCTTTGCCAAGTTCTTCCGGTCACTCTGGAGCAGTGAATTTGGGATCCTCTCTGGGTACTTTTGGTAGAGGTACTTGATGAGATCGACCCTCATCCTACAAGCCGGCTTCCATGATGTTGACAGCTCGCTCAGGATATCCAAGCACGCTTCAATGTACAAGGTGCAGCACGGTCTGCCGGTATTTGCGAATTCGGGTTCGGGTCTCGCATACTGAATGAGAACCAGCGTGGCGGTGAGTATGCAGTGCGTAGCCGAAATTGGGCTCTTGCGGAAGCTTCCAAACACTTGCCTGTACTTCTTGCCGGCGTGGCATATACGTTTGGCCGATTCGACGCAGAGTTCTTCGAGTCGCTTGATGGTCTCTGTCTTTGGTAATACGGGTGCCTCTTTCGGTCTGATGAGGAAGGGCTTGAAGAGAAGAATGCAGCAGGTGTGATAGACCATGTGCAGCGTGTAGACCTGTGGCACATCGTTGGGTCGGTCAATCCTTAGATCGGCTGGAAGCTCGTAGAACCATGTCTTGAGCTCAAGGGTACACGACTGGAGGAAAGATATTCTCTGTGGTCCTTTGTACAGAGGTTTTGGGGCGTATCTGCAATTGGTCGTCAGCTTCGTTGATTGCAAGGAGCTGTCAACAGCATGAGCAACAATTCAATACTAACAGAGCGAGCAGAATATTTTCCAAGATGCGACAAAGTCCAATCAGCCCACGGTGGACATGGATCTTCTTATTGCATCGCATCATTTTGCTCGTGTCGCTGCCCGCGGTACTTATTTGTTCTGGTGTGAATGGCGATGGCAGATTCACGGCACCCTGGACATCCTATGTAGTTGAATCTTGATTAGCATCACTGGCTCTCTCACCTTAACAGCTGCAGGATTAGAGCTTACCAGCAAGCTACAGACCCGTCCAGTGTAGATCGCGGTCAGCTTGTCGTCACAGTAGAGCGACCAGTATACCTGCCGTCTCAACTCTATCTCTTCGCTTGACATGTGAAACGTGCCACCCAGGGATGCGGCATCGAGGTTGAGCCCCATGTCGAGGGCGAGTCGATTTGCCATCCCCTGGTGAAGCCACCCTGTGTTAGAGGCGGGGATAGTATCAAGTAAAGGAGTTAGCAATAGGCGTAGTTAGGGTTTAATTATAACAATTATTCTAATATACCTCCTCTAACCCCTATCTTCTATAGAGTTTTCCTTTTTTATTATTCCTTTAGTGACTAGTTTATTTAGTCCTAGTCCTACTCTAGTGCCCCCCTAGGGCCCTACTCTAGGTACCTAATATAATCCCCTCCCTCTAAGGTCCTGCCCTTAAGACCTTAAGTAGGCTATCTACTAGTAGCCCCCCTATTAGCTGCTTAGACTGTCTAATAGCTAAGCCTTACGCCTAACTCCTAATTTTTTAGGGCCCTAAGCTAGCTACTTACTAGTAGTCCCCTTATTAGCTGCTTAGACTGTCTAATAGCTAAGCCTTATGCCTTACGCTTATTTTTTAGTATCTTAAGAGACGTCTAAGAACGCCTACTAGGCCTAGTAGGCTACTAAATAAGTAGTTATCTCCTTAGCTAACTATTTACTTTTAGTTTTACTTTTATATTATTATATTTTAGCTAGGCCTTAACTACTACTTTTTTAGTATAGTTTAGTTTTTTAGCTTAAAGTATAAGTCTTATATTACTTTACTTAGTAAAGGACTACTTATTTTATAATAAGGACACTTTATTTACTTATAATACCTTTTAATACTTTTTATTAACTAAACTTTATAGTACTTTTTTAAGTACTATATACTTTTTATTATTTTTATTATTATAATATTTAGTTTTTTTATTAACTATTTATTAAGCCTTAAGTTATATTACTTTTATAATAAAAAAAAATTTTACTTTACTTTTTATAGTTAGTACTAATAACTTTTTAGTCTTAACTAGCTTTTTTTATTAAGGCTTATTTAGTCTTAACTTTATAAGCTTAAGTTATTATTATAACTAGCTTTTTTTTAATACTAACTTAAAATAAGTAATTTAAATTAACTTAGGTTTTTATTAATTTTTTTATTACTTATTTTTTTTTATAATACTTTTATATTATTATTATTTTTTTTATTACTACTATTACTACTACTACTTAGTAGTAATAGTAATAGTAATAATACTAGTAATAGTATTAGTACTACTAGCTTTTTTACTACTACTATTATATTTACTACTATACTTACTAATACTACTATTACTACTAATACTACTACTTTTACTATCCCTAAAAGTACTAAAAGCCTTACTATTATTTTCTTATTACCTCTTTAGTCTATTAGCTTTTTAAATAAAAAAAATAAAAATAACTATACTATAGTTTATTTTATTTTATATTACTACTACTTTTAAGCTATATTTATTTAGTATATAAATATAGCTAACACTAAGGCTAAGTTTTTTTACTACTTTAAGACTACTAGTAAGTGTTTAACACCTTAGTACCCCTTAAAGGCCTTTTTTTACTTATATTTTAGTCCTAATTATACTACTAGCTACTAGTAATAAGTACTTTTAGTATACTAAGATATATAATAAGAAGTATATTTATATAAGTATTTTTATATTATTTTTTTTATTAGTAAAAAGTGCTTTAGTAACCTCTTACTAACCTCTTATAAGCTACTTATATTATAACCTTTACTACTTTTACTCTTAAAAATATTTTTAAGGCCTTTTACTATAATAATATTATATATACTAACTACTACTACTATAAAGTATATCCTTTTTAGTACTTTATAACTACCTCCTAACTAACTTTTTATATAAAAAAAGGTTACTACTACCTAAACTATAGTTAAAAAAGCTTTTTAAAAAAAAAGTAAATACTACTAAGGCCCCTAACGCTAAGTATAAGGCTAAAGCTAAAAAAAAAAAGTAGCTTCTTTATAGCTATAAGGTTATAGCCCTTAAGGCTTTTACTACTACTACTACCTCTTTAGTTAAGTTAGCTAAAGTAGCTACTATAGTGCTTTAGTATTAAAACGTACTCCTTAAGAAGTAGACTAAGGCTATTAAGGCCTAAGGTGCCTTTTTTTTTAAGTAGGCTACTACTTACTTTTAGGTTATATATTATTTCTTTTTAGTAACCCCTTATTACTTTTTAGTTACTAACTTTTATTTTAGTATACTACTAACCTTAACTTTTAGTCTAAAGGTAATATAGCCTTTAGTATACTTAGTAAAAGTAAAAATAAAAAGAAAAAGTAAGCGTTACTACCCCTTTAGTGCTTTTCCCCCTTAGGCCCTCTCTTAGTTTTATTTTTTTTTCTAGCTACTATAGGCTTTAGATACCTAGCCTTTAGGCTATATACTTTTTAGCCTTAGTGCTAAAAAATAATAAGAAAAATTTAGCCCCTTAGGCTAAGTACTTACTTTTACTTAGTATCTTTTTTATACTTTTTTAGTAACCTCTTACTTATAGCCTTATTATAAATCCCTAGATATATTTCTTTATAGCTTTTATAAATTTTTTTTCTTACTATATTTTTTTATTTAATAAAATACTACTTATTTTACTATAGTCTTTTATATATTACTATTTAGTTTACTTTATATATATCTTTTTTTTTAATTTAAATAAGCTAAGGCTTTACTAATACTTTTTTAAACTTTTTTAGCTAAAATAGTAAGAATATATTATAAATATAGTACTTTATTTTTATATCTAGCTTATAAGCTTTTTTACTAGTAACTACTTATATTACTATAAAAAGTCTAAAATACTTATCTACTAGCTTTTTTAATAGTTATCTTTACTTAATAAATTTAGCTAATAATAAGACTTTTTTTTTTACTTTAAACTTAATATTTTTTTTTTTTTAGTTATACTACTTCTTATAGGTTTAGCTTATAGACTTTAGTATACTAATAATAGTAGCCCTCTAGCTTCTTAGCTTTTTAACCTTTTTATAGGCTATAAGGACCTCTACTAGTTTTTATCTTATTAGTCTTATATTATAAAGGTTTTATAAGGTATAACCTATAAAGGCTTTTACTAGTAATACTTTAGTTACTTTATACTATACCTTATTATAAATAAATTTTACTATTAGAAGCTATTTAACTTAATTATCTTACTTTATATTATAAAAGGCTTATAAAAAGTATTTTATATTTTAATTTTACTACTTTATCTATTTATTTATTTAGAGGTAGTAAGTAGTATTAAGTTTTTACTTAATAGCTAGCTAATAGTATACTACTACTTAAAAATAGCTAGTAAATAAGGATTTTTTATCTAATATTATTACTATAAGGATACTAAATCTTAAGAACACCTTATCTACTAAAAAAGTTACTAGCTAGTTTACTATAATAGTCTCTTAAGTAAGTAGGTAAATAGTATACTTTATAAGCTTATTTACTACTACTAAAATACTATTATACACCTTATTATTAAAGCCTTTTAACTTTAGTAGCTTTATAATAAAGTCTATAGTTATATATTCTTATAGCTAGCTAGGCACTAATAGGGGCGCTAGCTTTTTATATAATAAGTAGTACCTTAGTTTAGTTTACTAGTATATTATATAAGTCCTTATATACTTCTTAATATCTTTTCTTATTAACTTCTAGAAATATATTTATTTAATACGTTTAAGTATATAGTTTACTTTTAGGTAACCTCTAGCTAGCTTATTATAAAATACTACTAGTAACTTTATCCTTACTATATACCTATTAAAAATAAATAGTTTTTTATTATACTATAGTGCTTTATTTTCTTTTTTTATCTATTAACTACTTAGTTATTACTACTTTTCTAATTAGGCTTACTTATTTACTAGTTATACTATAATAATCTTATTTTCTAAGTTAGTAGTAAGTTATCTTTAGTCTAGTAACCTAAGACCTAGTGACTTACTATATCTAAACGTTATAACCTATTTCCTAAATCTACTAAGGAAATCTACTAGGAACATACTATACGCTTCTTTTTCCTCCTCTTTAGTAGGCTAGTAGTCTAGCTATTATAAAAGCCTATCTACTATATTATCTTTTTTAGACTAGTACTTAATCTTAAAGTTAAATAATAATAAATCTTATAGTAGCTAGGCTTAGTAACTATTAAGTTAGGGCTTAGTAGCTAGGTAGTAGTACCTTAAGTAGTTTATTAGGAATACTATTTAATATTATATATATAATAAGTAGTATTTTTAGTAAATTACTACCTTATAGATTATAAGTAGCTTTACTTTTAGTGCCTTATAATAGAGTTTTACTTCTTATAGCTTTTATAATATAAAGGCTACTAGGTGTTATACTTCTTTATAAAGCTAGTATATTACTATATTAATTATAAAGTTAGATATATTTATTTTAACCTATATAAGTAACTTAAAGTTAAAATACTAAAAGATTAAGGCCTAAGTAAATAAGGCATAAAGCTTATAAAAAGCCTTCTCTACCTCTTATATTATTACTTACTTCCTTACTACCTTAGATATTAGCCTATCTATTAAAAGGGTATATACCTTAAAGTAGTTTTTAATAAATTACTAGTAGAATCTTATAAACCTTAGGAAAACCTAGATCTCTCTAACGCTAGTAGGAAGTAACTACTTTACTATTACTTATACTTACTTATACTTTATAGTAATCTTTTTATTAAACACTATAAAACCTAAGAACTTAATAGACTAAGTATAGAAAATATACTTCTTAAGGTTTATATATAGCCCTATAGCGTCTAACTAGCTTAACACTTACTTAACTACTTTTATATAACTTTTCTTATTTTTTATAAAGATTAAGATATTATTTAAGTAAATAATATATATAATGTTTACTAGCCTAGTAAAGGTATTATTAATATACGCCTAAAACGTTACTAGTATATTAACTAGCCTAAATAGTATAATATAATATTTAAAGTGTTTATAGTAAGTATAAAAGGCTGTTTTCTATTTATTACTTATCTTAATCTTTACTTAGTAATATACGTCCTTTAGGTCTAGCTTTATATACTACTTTACTTCTACTAAATAGTTAAGGATCTTACTAATAAGAAGTAGTAGTATATAATTCTTAATAGTTACTTTATTAAGCCCCTTATAGTCTATATAAAGATATAGCTTACCTTTTTTCTTAAGAATAAAGAAGATTAGTGCCCTTACTAGGCTTATAAAGTGTCTAATCTAGCCCTTCTTAAGTAACTTATTAATATATATCCTTAATTACTTTAGTTCTTTTTTAGCTAATAAGTAAATAAAGCTAAATAGCGCTTTTACCTTTAGTTTTAAATTAATTATATATAAGTAGCCTTTATTACCTATTAGCTAGGCTACTAGGCCTATATTAAATATATATACTTATTCCTTATAGGCCTTTAGTAAGGTAGTCTTTATTTTTTTATCTTATTTAGCTTTTACTTTTTCTCTTTAGTTATAATAAGGTATCTTTAGTGCTCCCTTATTCCCCTTATATTATAAGTAGTAGATTATTAGTTAATAAGCTAAAATAGCCCTTAACTCCTTATACACCTTCTTAATTTCCTACTTACTTTAGATAAGTTAGAAGTAGTCTTTTTTAGTAAATATATTTAACTAATTATTATTTACTTTATATTTAGTTATACTACTTATCTTTAGGGGATCTTTAGGATAGCGTTATATCTAGCTATATTACTAACTTAAAAGGTATAGCTTTATATCCTTAAGACCTTTATATTATTTATAACTTTTATTACTACCTTTTTTATTTTATAGTCTAAAGCTTTACTTTTTTATATACTTTAAAGCGCTAGGCCCCCTTAGCTTACTTTTACTAATACCTTTATATATAATATCCTTTAGTATAGTATATTCTTATTTATATTAAGGTTAATTAGTATTTTTTTTTTATATACTACTTATCTTAATATAAAAATTTACCTTAAAGTAGTAGTATAGTCCTTTATCTTAAGGGAGCTTAATACTATTAACCTTTATTAGCACTAAGGTATACTATTTCCTTAAGTGTTATAGTTATTTATACTTATAGTACTTCTTTTTACTATATCTAGCTAACTAGTACCTAGGCTTTTTATAGTTATAATAAGTAGGTAGTCCTTAGGTCCTCTTTAGCTAAGGTGTTATACTTTTTTTTTTTTAACCCCTAGCTTTAATATAAGTATACCTACTAGTGTTATAGCTATTAGTATTATATATATACTAGTAGCTTTAGTTAAAAAAGTGTTTATAGTTATTAGTTATACTACTACTTTTTAGTAGCTTTTTTTTTTAACCTTACCTTAGCTATCTTCTTAATACCTCTCTTATATAGGTCTTAATAAGTGTTTTTACTTTTTTTACTATATTATCTAACTTCTAGTAAGTAGCTAGTAGCCTTTTAGTAAGTATATAAGTCTTTAGGTCTAAAAGCACTTAGTTTAAAATATAAACTACTTACTACCTCTTTATTTAGGGGTTAAAGCACTTCTTTTTAACTATTTTATACTTATTAATAAATTATTAGTATAACTAGCCTAAGGCTTATTATATAGTATTTAGTTTTATAGTAGTACTAAAAGCCTATATATTATTATTAGTAATATTTACTTTTAGCTAGTTTTTTATAACTTCTTAAGGCACTTTACTAATCTTACTTTTATAATAAAAACCTATATACTTTTTTTATTTATATACTAAGTTACCTTTTAGTATAGTATTAGTATATTTTACTTTATTATTATTAGTTATAAACTTATTTTTTATTATATTAAAATATATTTCTAACTAAAATAAGAATTCTTATAGTTTATTTTAGCTTCCCTTTTTATACCTTAAGGTAAGTAATCTTTTTAAAAATATATTAATATAAAGTTACTTAGCCTTTAGTTAAAGATTAGTAGTTATTTTTATCTCTTTTTATATATTTTTTATAAATATACTACTTTAAAAAGCCTTAATCTAATTAATTATCTTTTTTTTTTTACTTTTTTTACTTTTTTTTTTAAAAAGGCCTTTAGCTTTTTTTTTTAATAACTTACCTAAGTTAATAGTATACTACTTATTTACTAGTATAGACTTAGTTATATTAGGCGTTAGTTATTTTATTATAGTGCTTCTTTATTACTAAGCTATAGTTTAAAATCTAGTAAGTACTATTACTACTTTAGTAGTTAATACACCTAAAGATAAGAAAATATTAGAACGTATTAGAGGTAAGGATAGTATTAAGTAAAGGAGTTAGTAATAGGCGTAGTTAGGGTTTAATTATAATAATTATTCTAATATACCTCCTCTAACCCCTATCTTCTATAGAGTTTTCCTTTTTTGTTATTCCTTTAGTGACTAGTTTATCTGGTCCTGGTCCCACTCTGGTGCCCCCCTGGGGCCCCGCTCCAGGCACCCGACACCCTGCTGCATCACAGCCATAAGCCTGGCAACCATCAGCACATCACAATACATAATCTCATTCGCATTCTGGACACAACTACGCACCACATAGACTCCAACCAGAATTAACATTGACTGAAGTGTCGTAATGGTCGGTCGTTTCATGTCGTAGTGCAAGAGTACTTCAGCTTTCTGCATGAACGGTTTCCCAGCCGTATTCTGGTCAGTGGGATCCGACCGGATATCAACCCTGTCGGAGTAGCGAGACCCTAAAGCAAGAATGCAGTTGAGCAGCAACGGGCTATAGTAGCGACCTTGTGTTTTCATGCTCTCTCTGAACAGCTTCTCATCAACAACCTGACACCAGGGACTCTGATACTCGAAGAAGAGGTCGATCAACTCTGTTTGGAGATCTTCCGGATAGACTTCGGCTTCTAACGGTAGGATGAAGCGATTTGTCTCGACAGGTTTTGTGGTTGTGGGACTGCTCCGATGCTCCTCATTTTCAGGCGTAGATTCTTTGTTAAATCAACTGTCAATAGCAGGCTCTCGCCATGACCCGTTGTGGGGGGGGAGACGGAAGATGAAGCCTACCGCTTTGGAACTCTAGCCGACCACTTGAGGGCCCGAAGTACCGCATTTCGCCATCCTGGTCGTAGTTTACGGCCTTATCGAGGGAAAGAGCCCCTTCAAATGTCGCACAGAGATCATCGAAAGCCGAAGGGCTCAGGCCAGCATCACTGCTGCTTGCCGAAAGATTGATGACCGAGGGCAGCTGGGGTGCTGCCCCTGTAGTTGAGAGTTGAGCAACAGAGGCCTCAACATCGATAGAGCGAGATTGCAGTACCGCTTCTAACAAGTTTATCCTGTTCCTCAGAAGCTGCACGTATGACTTTGAGGCAGGTTTACGGCCATCCTCTTCACTTCTGTAGAGGCAATTGAGGGAGCGTTGGAACACCGGGCGCAAACAGGTCGCTGGCCGTCACACTAGTTCATGTAAGTAAATATCGAACCAATGCTTCACCTATTACTACTGGGTGGTAGAATACGGGGAATTAAAGTATACTCCACCTACCTTGGCTCTTCGGCGCCGGCACTCCTCGCATGCTTTGGACGTATACCTGCGCTTTGGATGACCTACAGCGCGCTCCGGTTGGGGCATGGCGGCGACAGATAGGATGCAAGGGTTTATCCACAGGGCTGATATGTCACTTCTCGAAACCCCCAATATGTAGGATATCGGTCGGGTTCAACAATGAAGATCGAGGCACGCAGGCTGAACTCGCCAGCAGATTGTCGTCTCGTCTGACAAGCCAGACTGAGATGGCATACGTGCTGTGGAGCCAATCACATGGAATTACAGCTGCTGACTAATGGGCGGGGAAGGAATTCATATTCCGCCCTTGTACGGCATTGGCTCGAACCGTTGCTGGAACTCTGCGAAGAGGAGAAAGAATGCCCAGGAAGTGCTGCGACACCACTCAGGCGTCGTTTCGTCAACATACGAAGCAGACAAGCGACGATGCATTCCGATGGAAGAAGGAATGAAAGCAAGGGAGCTTAACTAATGAAAAACGTGCGCCTTCGGAAGTAGATTCTCTCTTGCTATACGCAGAGTAAGAAAGCTGTGCTATGATAGAACCTACTGTGGTACGTGAGCATTTGCAACAGGCTGAGCATGGGGAATAATGTGGATACATACGTGTACACCCCGGACCTGAGAGTAGAGTGAGACCACCTCAAAGTCTTGGCCCGGAGATCAGATGGTAAACAACTCAAAATAGCAACCGAAATGGCATGTCCGTGCGGATTCACTGCTGTATGGTTCGTCCTATGCCGCATCGTCGACTCAACACAGCCTATCGCGCAAACCGTATTGACTGATATACACGGCAGGGAGCGCGCAGAAGGTCCCTTTAATCTCGCCATCCTGTGCCAATGCGTGACTTGGGCGCTAATAGCCTGACACCTGGACCCTTAATTCGGAGGGGACGCACACGCGGCTCAGCTGCGGGTATGCGTGCATGATGTTGAATCCCTAAAAACTGACGTCTGCCATTAAAACAACCACATCATGCAGCGCCATGGCCTAGAGACACGGACAGACAGTAGATACGCGTTCTAGAGCGGGGACGACGCCCCGGCGACACCAAATGCTGCTCCGGTACGGATACAGTCAGAAAGCCAGGTGTAGATCAGCACGGCCATGTGACCTCGCTCGGTAGTAAGCAAGCACTGAGGCTGGTTATTCGAGATCCATGGCTGGAAAGCCCTGTCAACCGGGTATATATCTGACTTCCTCGGGGGTTATTTCAACCTTACGTGGGGCGAAGCCGGTGATGCTCGGCCCCGAGGATCACATTTCAATGCCGTTCAACCACTTCAGGGGTTGCGGAACAACAACAGGAGGAGCGGGAAATAAGCTAGCACCACATGGGGAAGCCCTTTTAGTGACACTGTTAGCGATTGATTAGCCTCGCCCGGCGACCAAAGTAAGACGCCATTTTGGGCCTTAGTCTTGCACGTCTACCTGTGCTGTGTGGTTGGGATGAAATTTAGGGCTTCATGGGCCTGCAAAGACATGAAAGATGCCGCCGAGCTTGTGTAGGTGCCAAGCAGTCTGCCGCTTCACGTTGCAGGCCACCTCGTCCATCTTTTACAAAGGCCAGCAACCAAACCAGGCGTTCCTACGGCGATCCTGCGGCGAAGATGCATGTCTCGGACGGACCAAGGTGCAGTGGAATGCCGCAGCATCATTGGCGTGGCAGCCCATATCCAAAACTTGGGGGACGCAAAGCAGCGACTTTGCGATATCACAACCAAGATTGATGGCTTGATTGAAACATTTCCAAACAAACATGTCCACCCTGAAAAAGAAATGTCGGGTTTTGCTATTTTAGACAAGCGCCATAAGCCGGCGCAGGTCAGTCTTTCCTGCCACCGCCAAATCTCACTGGCGCCGACGTATTCCTTTGGCGGACTTCTCCACGGACGCCCGCCCCTTTTACTTGGAGTGACAAAACAAAGCCGAGCCTGTTAGAACGCAGACCCAGGTCTCTTAGCTCAATGCTCCGGCATCCGGCTCGTCGGGAGCACGGTCGGGGCACGGCCGGCCCGGTGCGACTTAGCCTCCCAGCCTGCGTCTCCTGCAACTTGTTCCCGCGAACCAGACCGTCCTGAACCGTAAGTGGCGTAACGGCCAGCCACCCATTCGAGAGTCTCCAAGGTTTCTATCCTGGTTTGATAGGGGTAAGGTAGTTGTGGGGGAAGGGAAAGCCTCGAATCGTCCAAATCCAGCAGGCTTGTCGGTTTAAGCCAAGGGGGAGACGCGGCATCTATAAGTAGGCCCCAACAGGTCTTTGCTCATATTGCATCACCAGCCTGATTTTCTCATTACATACCACCAGAAGTGTCAATACTCATTTTTCTACACCAAAACTCACCACAAAACTTCCCCGTTCCTCCAAACCACCAAAATGGCCACCGTCGTTTCCACCCCCATCCCCGCCGGCGTCGACAAGGCCGCCGTCCTCACCACCATCCACAACCACGACCTCATGGTCAAGACCCTCTGCCCGTCCCTCATCTCCTACAACCTCGAGTCCGGCTCCGTCGGCCTCGGCCAGTCCGCCGTCTACTCCGTCACCGACAAGAAGCCCATTGGCCAGACCACCTACCAGCTCACCATCACCAACCTCGAGGATGGCGTCAACACTCTTGTCAACGCCAAGCCCCCCGTCGGCACCCTCGTCATCGCCGGCAAGTGGCGCATCGTCCAAGAGGGCGCCGGCCTCGTCCTCCGCGAGGAGGTCGACATCGACGCCAACATGCTCATGAAGAAGATGGCCAAGGGTAACGTCGAGAAGACTCACCCTGAGCAGCACGCTGCTCTCCTTGCCGAGGCCACCAAGGCATAAATCATGTCAGCTTCTATACCCCACCGGAGGAGTCTTTCACCTCCTAGAAAGCGAGTGGTGTGACCGGCGTTCATCGGACATTGGATCTTCAGATAAAGATACACAATAATTGAAATTTGACAATTTTTGGGAAACCACAGACATGATGGCGCGCACCCTCGTGAAAACCTTCTCATCACACAAAGTACACTACTTCGATATGTTTCAGCCCCGTATTCAAACTTTGGCAGCACCCTCTGGGTCATGAGCAACAACCTCAATCTCCACCCGCATGTCGTCTTCGGCTAGTCTAGTCACCCCCCACACATGTCCAGATAGGCCTGTGGTTCGGCATCCACTTGTTCAAGTTCCTAACCATGGCGCCCAGAGCTTCATTGTTGATCGGCACATGGTACGAGTTGACCCTGTAAACTTGCTCCCAACCCTTGCCGCCGGCGTCTTTCAAGTCCAGATCGACATTGGCAAACGCTTGGTCGATCTGCGCGTTGATCTCCTTGTAGAATTCACCCGTCTCGGGGTCGCATCCGCCTTGCCCCGTTTCAATATCCGTCGTTGGACGCGCGAACGGAAGATCATACCTTGGCCAGAACGCTCAATCTTGTCGCCGACACGCACGGCTTGATTGTAACTAAACCTCTCCAAGTTCCGTTGACCAAACCCTTCATAGGCGTAGTAACGGAGATGTGACATACTGTTGGGCGATTGGCTTGACTCTCAAGATTTTACCGTATACGCCAGGTGTGATCAAGAAGTGAAACACTTTGAAGAGAATATACGCTTGACAAGTCACTGATTTCATCTGGGGGAAAAGAGCAGAAATTCCGGTAGGGTATGGAGGACTGTTCTGTTCCTTATAGGCGCTGGCGAGAATCATTGTTCTTGGCGTGCTCACGTCAGACTACGGGTACTATTTTCTTACGTGAGAGGATCTTGAGCGTATGTCGTGCCCAAGCCAGTTCCGAGCACTTGGAGACTCACAGAGAACGACTCCGGATATCTAGCTTGGGGTTCCATGCTCCTAACAGCAGCGAGGTTTGAAACTCGACCCGAACCTTTCATGCATCTTGCGCATTTCTTGCCGGCTGGAGTCAAGGGAAATGTAAACGTGATAAGTTCACTGGTCACAAGTCAGAAGGGGCAAGCTTGGGAAGCAAAACAATAGTTCTTGCGTTAATCCTAATGCGGTTTTTTTAGTGACATAAGGGTTGAGCCTTATGTGAGAACAGGACTGGTTGAACAGCACAATCAACAGAACAGACGACGGATCAAAAAAGCAGGAGCAAAAAGGAAAAAAGAAAAAGAAATACACCGAGTAAGACATGGACAGTCTCAAACATGACAAATAGACGTATCATCGCCCCGTTCATTTCTCTCCGTCTCTTTAGCAGGAATACTCCTCACCGAGCACCCTGCTGCTTTCTCCCCACCACTCACGGCTCGCTCTTTTTAGAGCAGCACCAAGTTGGCAACATTCATCGCGGCTATAATGACCCAGACCAGGACGGCGAAAATGGCAGTGTACCACGAATTGGCCATCTTGACCAGCCCGTCCGTGTTCTCCATCGACTCTTCATCTGACTGGTTGCGGAACCGCGCCGCGCCGTCGCGAACCGTCATGTACTTGTTCCGGCAGGTGAAGTAAATCAACGGCGCAGTGATGAACGGCAAGACGACGCTCAGCACGACCTGCGAAGCATTCAGCGCGTCGCTCACGCCTTCCCGACCAATGGCCGCGGCGATCACTATGCTTGGCGTGACGCTGATGCTGCGAGTCACGAGGCGCCGCAGCCAGGGACGCATCTTCCACCTCAGGGCCCCCTCGCTGACCATCTGCCCGGCAATCGTGCAAACTATCCCGGCGGAGACGCCGGAGAGGAGCAGGGCCAGGGCGAAGACTGTTCCGGCACCCTGGGAGATGGAGTCCGTGAGAAGCTTGTGGATGCTGAAGATGTCGGCATCCGCGGCGTCCTTGTTCCCGTATATCGAGGCGCCTGCCACGACCACAATGGCCGAGTTGACGAACAGCGCGAAGGTGAAGAGGGAGAACCCGAGCTCGGCTATCGAAGTCGCGAGGCAGTGTTTGATGGCTTTTGCCGACGGAACATAGTAGCCTTTGTCGATGCCATCGCTGCTGAAACCGACGTCCTCCGCTTCAGGGGGGAGTAGATCGTGTTTCGTGTCGTATTCCCTTAGGCGGGCCTGGACAATTCCCGAGCCGAGGTACAAGCTATGCGGCATCACGGTTGCGCCGAGAATGCCACAGGCCTGATATAGACTGCGCGCCGTCAGAAGAGTTTGAGGGAACACGAGGGGAGGGGCAAATACCCTTGCGACTCAACGACGGCATGCGAAGGCAGATAGCCTTGGAACACCTCTCTCACCGACGTCTCTCTGATCAAGGAGAGCTGGATACAGAAGCAGACAACCACAGCCAGCACCAGGCCAACGACAAAGAACTCGAACATTCTCAGGCCCTTCATGGATCCGTGAGGCCTGTAGAAGATGAGGATGATCATGACGTCGAGTATCGAGATGGCACAACCCGCCACCAGTGGGATCGCGGGAATCAGGAGGTTCAAGCCGATGGCAAAGCCGATGACCTAGAAAACATGTCGTGCTTAACGCATGGCCACATCGCAACAAGCCTTTTGGGGGAAACGCACCTCTGCAATGTCGGTGGCGATGATGGCAATCTCTGCAAAGGCGTATAGAACATAATTCAACCACCGCGGCAGGAAGGCCCGGCAAGCCTCGGCCAGGTTGAGCCCGGTGACGGTGCCGAGCTTGGTGCAGAGGCTCTGGAGAAAGATGGCGAACAGGTTGGACAGCAGGACAACAAACAGAAGCCTGAAGCGGTAGGTCGCTCCCGCAGCGACGCCGGTCGAGTAGTTTCCAGGATCAACTATTCACACGGGCGGAAATGTCAGTCAACCTCGTCTCCCTCCCACTGGACGGTTCATGCGGCCATACTGTACGCGACGGAGATCATGAACCCGGGCCCGATGAAGGAACCGAACTTGATGACAGCGCTCTTGATACGACCAACGATGCCCATTTGCACCTGGGACTCATCTCGGCCACCATGAGTAGAGCGGCGTGAGTGAAGGGTAGGGAGAAGGGCCGTCATGGCCTCCTCCCCCCCAGGATGGCCAAGTCCAACTGACTTGGCCGGCGAGGCGTCGCGCGCCCCGGGGGCACCTCTGTCCCCTCCCCAATCATCGTGGGAACGCAATATGGCATTGTCTGCGGCCCCTGACTGGGTTTTCCCGTCTTCTCCCGGCTCTAGCACTCTCGCATTGACGGTTCCGTTGAGGTCCTGGTTGGTAGTCAAGTCGTTGGAGAGGGGGTTTGGGCTCTGGTTGTAGCCTTCTCCCTCGTAGGGCTCGTCTGTTCTGGACGGGCGGTTCATGTTTTCGTCGTGAACTGCAAGTGGCCAGCAACTATGAGTCTGGGACGAGGTGTGTTACTACAGAGTTTCATAGGCGTTGTCGTCCATCTAAGGTTCCGACTAAGCGGCCGCGGCCGGAAGCAGACCATGACTAAGCATGCGATTCATTCAGGGACCCATCGAAACATCAGTTACGCCACCCAGAGAACAACACATGTTGTGGAACGTCCTGAAGTTTCGGAGAATCGGTGAGAGTTGATCGGTTTCAAGCGATTTAAGTAGTCAAATTTACCTATTCGAGCAAATAGGGACAGGCGTAGCACTTCGCCAAGCAGCCAAGCCTTACCAAAGCCCGTTGATTTGACAAAACACTAGTCTTTTTGCGTTGTCTAGTAACCGACTTCATCAGACTCATCTCTCTCTGGATTGTTTCATGATGACTTGGGGTTTTTATGGATTAAACCGGGTTCTCTTGGGGAGGATTAACGACAGGCAGCAGATTCGAAGGAATTTTAAGCCACATCACGATTCATCACTTAACCTGCCGGCCTTGTTGTGCTGGCTGCCGCAGTCAGTACTGCCCAGCACTGGCGTGCGTAAAGTACGCTAAGGGCGGTGATCAGCCACCGACGGTGCCAGAAAAAAAAGCACCAGCATGGCCAGACTTGAAAGAGCGTAATCAATTTCGAGTCTCTGACGCGCGGCTTAGGTTACGCAACGGGGCCGGTCATGTGTATGCTCACCACAGCAGCCGCGTATGTAACACCCCGTCACAGGCGCGGCATCGCGGTAGCACAAGGCATAAGCGGGCGAGCCGATTGGTTCAGACAAGCTTGGAAGCCGTACCGGCGTATGCAGTCGAAGACTAAGTAAGCTTCGGACACACGTGAGTTACGACGGCGTTCACCGACGTATCGCAGCCAGACCGACACCACTCAACAGCCATCATTGCTCCCCAGCTCGCCCGCCATACAATTGATCTCCCCTCCTTGTCGGAACCCTTCGCGCTGGCTCTGTTGTTCGGGGACCCCCCTCGAGCCCGTCAACGTACCCGGCGCGACCCCCAGGTACCGATCGCCGCTCGCGTCAGACCAACCATCCTCGGCATGTCGTCACATCTCCCTCACACCAAGTAGCAACACCCCTCCCTCCTATTCCTTTCAGGCGCAAGAGGATCTTCAGACTGATCGAGGGTTCAGCATCTTGACGCGCGCTGAGCATCTTGCAACTTGTTGACGGCGCAATCAAAGAATCGACAACACCACCCTCGCCGGTTCCTGTGATGGACTCTAAATGCCTGCCTTCAATATTCGCCCAATCAGTTTTGCCGGTACGCGTCGATTGGTTGGCTGTGGGAGAGGAAATTTGTGGCCATGGTCGTCGTTGCCCATCGTCCTCGGATCTATGTAACACAATTGATGTTTGATGGACCATTTCGCTCATACACTTTCCCGCCCAAGACAATAGGTGCTCTGTTCCTGCAGACAAACTCCGTGTGCCCTTACTCGCGCCTCTGGCCGAATTCCATCCCGTGGCTGGTTTCCTAAACGAAATGGGCAGAATCGGGATACCGTTCGCGAAGGACGTCGGCGTACATGGTGCAGATCGTAAACTGTGGCATCGTCGAGCGTGGTGCGCGAAGGTGTACGTATACTGCAAATCAATCGTGTTTCGCTCGCAAGGATTTTATTGGGTAATGGGTCCTTGGACAAATCCAGCCGCCTAAGAGTAACTGATAGCTTCACCTGGTCACCAAGGGCCCATTGCTGTAGTGGCGCGGCGACGACTCCCAGCCAGGGTTACTGCAAGAATATTCGTGGTTCAATTCAAGACCAATAATTGTCCCCCGCCTAAAATCGAGGTATATACACAATATGCGAACGTAAGACCAGAGGCCGTAAAAGCCCTTGCCAACAACCGGAACGCCCAATGCTGTCCAATGCCCAATGCCATCTGACTGTATGTCAAAACCCCCGGATGATGACGATGATGATGATGATGATGATGATGATGATGATCGTTAGTATACAAGTCGCGATCCGATGCAAGTTTGTTTTTTTCCACTCCAAATACCGTGTCCGTGCCGTAAGCCATAAACGAGCCAAGTATAACGCTGTAGGCCAGCTCGGCCACAAGGGGGTATCATGCCCTGCGCGGGCGGTGTCCGATTATTGCTGTGTAGAGAATGCATTGCTGTGTAGAGAATGTCCTAGGGATGATATATATATATCCCAGGAAGGGGTTGAGGGCCCTGGTAATCGTCAGGGTGCGCTTGTCGGTGTTGAATTATGACCATGGTGCGGCGGTCACGCCGTCGCAAACCCGGTGTCAAGTGTTGATGTCGTTTTGGCCACGCGTGGGTGGTAAATGCAATTTTAGTCGTGTCCTCCTCTTTTTACCTAGTTCCTGAGGCTGCTCATTTCTTGCCCTTGGTTGGGGCGGCGGTGATTTTACTCGTCGTCATAAGGTCGCCGATGTATTTCTGGAGGAACTTGTTGTTGTTATCAAGCTTATCATGTTCTTCTCTGACGGCCTCGATGCGGTTGAAAATAGTCAGAAGGGAGTCCTGGAGAGCCTTTGCGTGTCTGGGACAGGGGCTTCATTAGTCTTGGGTCGCGGTGCGGCGATGGCGAGGTGCTCACCTCTTCAATTCTTCCCGGGCTTCTCTACCAAGTGCTTCGATATCCTCGCTAGTTCGCCGCGGGCTCATGGCCCTCACGTCATCAGGTCCAAACTCGGCATCGATGGGGCCGACGGCGGAGCTATCCCGTGGAACGACAAGCGGCCCACTGCTCTTCCGGCTGGGCAAACGAGGTCGGATGGGGGTCGGCTGGTGAATCTGATGCTCGTCGTGCTCGTGGTCGACCGAAGAGGAGGATGAACTCGAGTGGGAGCGCTCGATGTGAGGAGGGAGGTGCGACTGTTCGCTGTGCTGCTCCTGATGTTCGTTATCCATGGTTGCGGTGGTGGTGAAATTTGGCTACTGTGAGAGCGATGCGGAATGCCGAATGTGTCGAGAGCACGAATGTCGGTGAGGAGCGGTGTGCTTGTGAGCGGGTGCAGGTAGGTTTTGTTCGAATATGAATCGGCTTGTGGTGCCAAGGTATGTGGTAGAAAACTGCCCGCAGGAGGGCGAAAGGGCGGCACGAATGGCAAATATGGTGGTGAATTGAAAGAGACTTCGTCACCGGGCTGCAGGCTGAGAAACGGGGTCTTGCCACCATGTAGTGTAAACAGGGTCAAGGCTCTCTTGGGAACTGGCAAGCAGTGGCGGAGAGGAGTCGAGGATGGCGGGAGGAAAGAGTCAGGTGGTTGTAAATGCGGTGCTGGGTGGTGGTGGTGTATATGGGGGGGAGGGAGGAAGGGGGGGGGGGGGGGGCCTAAACTATTGTGGAATGTGGGGAGGGGGTGTGGGTGTTGGGTGGTTGTATTCCGAAAGCAAGTAGGGTCCTACCGGTCTTCTCACAGACAGGGACAGAGCCGGCGAAGCGGGAAGAGGAGGGAGGGAAGAGGGGCTGAAGGAAAGAGATGGAAAGGGACAGGGTGAGTCGAGCAAAAGAGCAAGAAGAGAAAGACACAGGGAAATAGAAAAAAGGTGCGGAGGGCCGCAAAGGGTAATGTATCAAACAAAGCACGACTATTTTGTAGGATCTCGTGAGGTGTGGGTGGGTTTTTGGGCGGCCTTTTGGCCTACACCCCCCCCCTTCCGTTCTACTTTTTTTTTCTCTTCTCCTTTTCCTAGCTAAATCTCCGTTCCTTGTCACTTGGTCGTAGATTAGTTAGGTAAGGGTCGTCTCACGCCGAGTGCTGCTCCTTGGAGGTGGGGGTCGTATGGCAATCGGAATTTGACGACGGAGAGAGAAAAGAGAACAGACCGGGAGATTATATTAGGTGACGGTGAAGTGGGGGAATGCTGTGGCATTATCCGTAATACGGGATTGCAATGATACGGTCAGGAAGCCGTGCATGCGTGCCGTGTGAGCGGTTGTGTCGACAGTCATCGTTGTCGTAATTAGCGACTTGGCATGTATCCGTTGTACGGATACTGTAACTCTCAATAGCTGGGTTGCACTCTCTACTACGTTCGCAATTGGCTCTTTGGTGTCGATCGGACTCCCGGTCTCTTCTTTGTCTTCTTATTCTTCTTCTTCTGTCGTCCATTGTAAAGGGCCAGCGACCAGGGGTCTGAGGGGCGGAGCATAAGTCCAAGGATAGTGCAGGGCACAACAGGGATACGGGGAAGGGACAGGCTCGCAATAGGTTGCTGACAAGATAGCGAGGTTGAGGCGGTGTGGAGCAGAATGGGGTTATCACGACCGTTTTTTGTCGCTGGGCCTGTGTCGTTACAACTGTGCCCTCTTGAGGTACTGGGTTGGTCTGTGCCTTCTGAAGAAGTCGACTTGGGTCTTGTTTTGCTGCTTGTCTGAGCAGGACGTGTTCGAGCAAAGAAAAGACGGATGGATGTTGGAGAAAGGCCTGAGCTGAAGATGGGCCGCACTCGGCATGGTGTGGTGTGCGGTGTGTTCTTCGGCGTGGAACAAAGCACCGTGTGCATGGTGACAGCCATGTGGGAATGGAATCGGTAGAGAGGAAGGTGCGCTATCTACGTACGTAACGCAGCGTGGACGACATGGGAAAGGCACCGCGCGCGCGCGCGTGGTGATTGATTGATTGATTGATTGATTGACCGGGTCGGATTGTATCGGTTGATGAGTCGGGAGGGGTGGGATTGGATATGCGGACAGCTTCCCGGGCGGCACAAGGTGCGATGGGATGCAAGGAGAAAAAAAAAGGAAAAAAAGAGCAGATCGTCAAGTCTTGGACGAACAAGATTGGTGGCTTAGGAAAGGTCACACACCCACACCCACACCCACACCCCCCCCTTATGCAGGCAGGAGATGGGAGAAGTTGTTGTCGGTGTCGAACAGAAAATACTTGAATGAGGACAAGCTGAGAGGTACAGGAATGGGATGCTAGCAGTTGGGTTTTCCAGTGAGCCGTCGTTCGCGGCGGAGAGAAACGCGGCGGAGAGAAATCCGTCCAAGCTGTACTCAGTCAGAACCGAGACACGCCGACAGAGGAGACAATACTTGTGCGCGTTGTTGGGTAGAAACATATAGCATCAGCACGGCCTCGGCTGGAATTGAAGTTGACGACAGCTTCATCTCACGCCGAACGCGCGGAAAGGCAAGGCAACGCCGTGTGCGCAGGTACGTGCGTGCGTGCGTGCGAATGTTTACGCCCAAGACTGAGACGGACTGATGCCAGATGGCGGCCAGTTCTTCTAGGAACGGTACGGATAGGTATGGTATGTACAAGTATGCAGCCAGGTAGGGTGGATGGGTGTTCCTTGCTGGGAAACCCCGCCGGAACGTGTCCTGCCTGCTTCTGTTGCTAAAAGCGTCCAAGTGCCGGGTCAGAATAGAAGGTGCCTGGTGCGTGCCGGGAGGAGGCTAACAGTAAAGTGGAAGGACGAGTGAGGCACGCTGAGGGGAGAAAACGGAGGACAGACACGGATCCGCCAGAGATTGAAGTGTACGTACAGTACAGATACGCGTACGTACAGAGAACGTTTCTGTTTCCGTTTTGGCCGAGGTCTGTCCTGGTGAGGCCTCGCGAACAGATGATTGGAAGGATCGAAACGTATCGCCCTGGCAGGTTTTCTGAATTCAATGCCCAAGAGGCAATTAATTTTGTTCAGGACCTGAGGCATGCTTTTCCTGCCCACATGTCACTTCTCCTTTCTCCACAGATGGTAGTCAGTGAGGAAAGTATAGCTACTTCTGTACTCTTCTTCGTAGGTAAGTGCTCGCCTACCTACATACATTTGGCTACCTCCGTACCGAGATATCTAGGTAGATCTACTGAGTACCTACTTATGTGGGGACATATTTATGTCTCCTACCCCACATGTACGATACGTACTCCAGGGTTCGATTTTGCTCTTTCTCTCCTTCTTTTCTTTTCTCCTCCTTCCTTCCTTCTTTCCTTCCTTCGCCCTGCCATCCTCCTCGGGGTCTTTTGCCCTCCATTCTCGAGCAGCATCCCACGATAACCTAAGCACCTATTATACAATCTACATATCAAACATGCCTCTCACCCCCCCCCCCCCCCCCCCCCCCTCTTGTTCATTCTTGGAAGGTGGCAGAAGAGTAGCACACCGCGCACCAAGGTGGAAGGTGAGAGTGGGGTCTACATAAAATGTGGCTGACGAGTCTTCCCATGTGGCATCGGCTTCGCTAAACCAAGAAGAACCTTTTAAAAAAAAAAAAAAAAAGTTCGGCAGCTTTCTTTTCTTCTCTCGGTTTCCCATTTTCCATGGTCGGCTTGAACTACATGCCATGGCAGTTTATTAGCAAATTCCCCTCTCATCTCGATTGTCTTCGCTGCTAGGTAGGCATTGGTGTACGACCGTTGATGCTGCCGATCTCTTCTAACTCCTCTTCCACCCACCCCATGTTCATGTTTCAATAAGGATGCAACAAACGGCATTGCCCATGCATGGCAAATTGGGAACGCCAGGAGCGCAAACGATGAAATGCCCCCACCGCGGCACCAAAGCAACCAGTCAGTCTAGCGCCGGCCTTGGAAGCAGGTAAGCATTCATCATCTCTCACCTCTACCTGCTCTACGCCATGAGTTGTGCTGTACGAACTGCTACGTAGTACGTACACTAACTACATGGCATAGGTAGTACTTTACACACCTACTGCTTTACACATACCGTAGGTTTCTCCTGGCTTCCCTTGAGACAGGCCCCTGGAGTGATCGACAGCTTGCTGGCTCCAGAACCGAGCATGGGCACAAGATAGGAACGCCCACAGAAACCTGCACCCAGCAGAGCAGCCCTCCGCGCCTGCGTCTGCGTCTGCCTGCTTCCGCATCTTTGTGCGGATGCTGCAGCCCACCAAGCGGAGGATGCATTCATACCACCTGTACGGAGTACATGCCATGCCATGCCATGCCATGCAGTGAGTGTTAGGATACGTATCCAAGGTGGTCCGTCAAGGTCGCACAGGCAGGTACAGAAGCTCCATGCCTAGTCGTACACACCCAGTACGTACATTACAGTACAGCATAGCACAGTACGGATGCACTACCGGTACTTGACCACAAGTACGTACCTGTTTGTCCCTCTTGCAAGTTGCAGAAGCTTACATCCCTGCTGGGACAGCCTGTAGCTGATCAACGCCTGTGACGCCATACCCTCCAAGTTCAAGACTGGGGTTCCCGGTCCCTTGCCATTCACGTCGAAATGACCGCGAACCCCACCTGAGCCCTTGACCTCAGAGAAACGTCCCGGACCGCCACGCACAGCGCTAGGCTTCTGACTGGTGCGTGAAGCGGCAGACAGCAGCCGGTTTGGCGGCTTCGGCGCCCTTCTTCTTAGTCGTGGCATTGTGTCCACCTCGCAGCGGATTCTGACTCCTCCATCAGACCAGTCAGTTCCTCTCTTCGTCCGCCAGTTGGTTCGTCGACGTGTCGACCCTCTCTCTCTCTCTCTAGGTACTCCTCCGTTGGGCATCGCAAGGACATTACACGCTAATACCTGACGCTAATGAAAGAATCCGTTTGATATGATGATGGGAGGGGCAGCGGTACGCGGCACGCTGGCCGAGGTGGGCTGGCAAGCAGGCAGGCATCACACAACCGTCCCGCTCAACCGTTTCCTTCTCTTGATCCTTCTCTTGATCCTTCTCTTCTGTTGTGCGCGTCGGGTACCGAGTCCAGTATCTGCTGACCCCAAGTGGAGGGTCTTTCTGCCCAGCCAGAGCATGACTTGAGGTGCTGGTCTGTCTTTTGGTGCCCCGACCATGCTTTTGCAACACTCAGCATCAACATTACTTCATCTCAAGAGGGGCCGAGAGGTGCGGCTACAGTACAGGACACTGCTGCGTAGCCACGAGTGTTGCGATGCAGCGATGGTACCGTAAACTCACGGCATGCGCAGCACCATGGTTGTGTACCACCAACATCCCTCCCTTCAGCGGCAGCTGCCAAGATCTCGTCATAATCTAGGATCCCGCTGTTTGGTAAAACGACAGGATTCCCTCCCTTCCTCCTACCGCACGCGGTATCCCAGTGTAGTGTACTCCGTACATACGGATACCTAGTAGGCCCCCAAACTCCAACCGCCACCACCACTTGGCTCCCCACTCGCCTGGTTTACCCCCCCTCGGGCCCCCGTTCCTACATTAGAGGAGCAGCCGCCCGACCTTTGTCAGTTCACTTGTAACCCTCCTAGTACCGTAGCCGTGCAAACGCACTCGGTGCGTCTCTGGGTACCTATTGTACATTAGCTTGGCCGGCACCACGGGTCCGTTTGGGAACGGGACAGGGACAGGGACAGGCACGGCACCACAGGCGGGCTCACCCACCAGCCAGCGAAGCCGAAAGCAGCGCCAACTCTTACTCAGGCCAAGTCTTTGATGCATCGGAAACCCCCGCAAGCACAAGAAATACTTTACTTGGGAGAGAGGTCTGCTGTTGCGTCTCCGATACAAGGACCCTGGATCACGACATCGCCATCTTGGGGGCATTACTCGTCTTACTTCGCTCAAGTCCACCCTCCCTTGTTCGTCTCGCGGGCCTCAACTTTCCAAAACCGCCCTTTCGCGGATTCCGTCAATAGACGACGATGGGCTTTGCCTTTTGTTTTGAGACTACTTCTAAACTACTACTCGCGATGGAGGTCTGAGCCATGCCTCTTGGACCTATAGTACGCAGGATTAATGACGGGTTGGTTGCCGGCACCATCCGGCGGTCGTCTACCCATCATTTCTGCCGGCGCCTCCAGATTGATCCCAGCGCCACAGCCGTCGCATCTACGGATAACACGCTGCAAATCCTCTTTCTGTGCAACAGGAACCTGACACGGACACACACACACACACCAAGAGGGGCTGGCGCTCGGGCAAGGTCCCCCAGAGCCCCTGACATCGGCCGAGTGATGTCATCGGATCGACGGCCGAAACCTGTCTCTCCGTTTAGCAGAAGTCTCTCAGATTGTCTCCCACCCCAGGGGCAAACCGTCCGTCAACGGAAATGAGATCACCGTCAAGTCTGTCGAAAGGTGTGAAGTGAGCCGTGAGCTCACTCCGCCCCCCGCGTCCCTCACTCACCCCCTTCCGCCGGCTGAGCTGACCACGGAGTTTCTATCGCTCACGCTATCGTCAGCCCGTGCATATTACCGACTTGTCTGTGATTCTGCCACCGGCGCCGTTTCATCTCTTGTTCCCTACTAGAGGTCAACGGGCCTGGAGGAGAGACATTGTTCGTACGGACGCGCAGTGTGGGAGCCAACAGGGAGGCATCACGCATCACCGCCTTCTGCACATCCATGACAACATCTCTCCGTTAGTCGCATCCGGAACATCCAAGGTGTGTGCCGGAGACGGGGTCAGCGGGCAGGTGACTATCGTTAACAACAAGTCCTATGAAATACCTATGGGCATTCTCGTGTGCTGGAGATGGGTCGCCGCAAATGGTTGGATGAACGACCACTTCCACCTCAAACGTCCAACCCACTTCTCCATCACACTACCTCCGGCCGGTCCTGTCCCCTTCCATTCTTGACTCTTCTAACAACAGCCGAACATGCATATTTTTTTGTTGTTTTTCCCCCTTCTTTTTCATCTCGTCTGACCGTCAAGTCTGCCCATGCTGTAACCCTCGTCTACATAGTAGCATTGCCTGTCATGCAGTATTCCGCACTCTTCTCCTTCCCATATGCTCAGCTGCCCGAATTCCAGAAACCGGGAGAAAGGATGCATCCACCCTGAACGTCCTGCAAGCCACCCCGTGCAATCTTCGACATGGGCAAACCAGGAATGTGAGCATGGCATTCTGTAAATGCCCAACAGCCTCCAAAACTTCTTTTCATTGTTGGGACCTCTCGCAAAATCCGCCTGCGGGTATGTACTATATAGTACTCTTGGGTACAGTGTTTCTGCGTTCCTTGTCCCGATAGCCCAAGAAACACCCCTTAAGCCAAACGGGGCTCTTCTTCCCCCTTCGGAATTCTCAACCGCGGAAGCGATCGGCGGTGCCCAGCACTCCCAGTGCATCCCCCACAACCAATGGGCATTTCCAGCACAAGGGATCGTCATCAAACCAAAGATTGTCAGTGCTATTTCCTGCGCGAGTTGGATTGGCAGACGGCTCAGGAGCCGATGGGGATAGCACTTGTCGCTGCAACCTGGACTGACACGCCTGCCACCCCCCATCCTCAGCTATCGCCAGTAGGAACTCGTACGGAAGAGCCCTGAGAAAGGAACATCTTGTTGCTCGGTGCCCCTTTGTGACCTTGGTGCCCCATAGCATCGTGGCCTCCTGCCCCGCCCCCCAAGCCGGGGAGAGGCTCGGGATATCCTGCGGGCAACGTCAGTCTGGCGGTGGAATCATGGCCGTGACCGTGGCCGATCCGCGCCGGGCGTCTTCCCTGCATTGTGCCGTGAGTGCTAAGCCTCGTTTCAATGAGTAATGTCATTACTCGCCCCCCCCCTCTCCTTTCCCCACTTGTGCAACGAAGGTCCCCTTATCACACGCTCATAACGTCTCCCCCGTTCTTCCCCAGCACCCTTCCGTCTGTGTGTTACTGTTCGTAGCATACCGGCACCTGGGTACGCGCGTGCGTATGGTAAACGCCCTTTTCCTGGACGGCATGAACGCCCGGGCCACGGAAAAAGTCAGATGAGACCGGACGTTCACTTCTTACGACCTTTGACGCGCAATCACTTTTACTGTTTCTTGCTCTTCCGACAAATACGTCACGGCCTGCTTGTCCAGCGCGCGTGGTGGGAACGCGGCCGGGGAAGCCCCTTGCACGGCTGCTGTTTTTCGTCTCGTCTGCATCAACGGACTGTTCACCATCCGGCGCCGTATGCGTCTTGCTCTGCGCTTTCCCGGCCGTTCCGACGGCCACAATGTGATGAATTCTGATCTCGCGGCGGCTTGGGTCTTTTGCCTGCCAAGGGACGTCCCTGGCTCCCTTCACCCCGAGTGATGCGGTACGAACGCCTGCCGCATGGCCCCGCTCATCGCCGATTCCTCTGGCGTGCTGTGGTCGTCATCGTCGGACCAACTCTCGGCTTTCCGGGGTTGCGGTTCGGTTCGTGGCCACGTTAACCCACCACCCGATCCCCCACCCCCCCCCAGTCCGTTTCAACCTCGGCAGTCGTCCGAGCTCTCCCTCAGAGTGTGTGGACAAGAAAGGTTTGCATTAATGGGTATGACATTCCGAATCTCGGTAGCGCCTCGGGATTTGGTGTGTTAATTCACGGAAACCGGCCTTAGCTTTGTGAATTTGTGGAGGCAGGAATCGGGACTGGGAACGGATAACAGAGGGGGGAAGAAGAGGGAGAATGTCAACTGGAGCTACAGTGTACAATGGTCCACGTGGGATTATAGGGAACCTGGCGCCTTGATGGAGAATTCGTGTCCGTACTTCCTTGGTAAATGTGCCCGTTCCCAACACAAACACCAGTTAATAGCGTAACAAAAGGCCCCTCGTCCTACTGGGGGTGATGAAATCCTAGTGTTAATCGAGGCGTTGGTTGGGAACCGGAAATATCGGTATGCCATCCCAGAACCCAGAGTTGGGGGATGCCCGGTTCGCAAAGAAAGGAAACCTTGGACGGTGGCCACAACAACGCTAGTACACATGGGAAATCTTGGCTCTTGCCCAATCTTTCCTATCATCCCAGTTGTAGGCCAAGTATTGGCGAGCCGGGGGGGGCATGAGAAGTTAATCTTTTCCCACCAACAAAATGGTGGAACCAACCGAAGCCATGGTTTGGTGTTTCCGCTCGTCAAGCGAATAACCCAATATCCGTTCTAGTTGAGAGTAGTGATGCAAGGGGGAAGCTTCCGTAGTTCTACTGCGGCAGCGGTCGACACTATTGGCTGCGGTGAACCAGCATTGGACACCCCATGCTATCTTGATCCGGCCAAGGAGGTTCCTTTATCGGCGCATATTCCGGCAAGCCCTCGCAGAAAAGTTACCGTAGCTGACCAAGTTTACGTACGAGGATATGGAATGACCCCCGTATGATTTGAATTCTTGAGTTCACTGACGAAGTGGGGTGTTGCGATGAATTGAGACGAGGGGAAAGGTGTTGAGTCACTCCGTATGATGGATGATGAGGGATTTTCGAAGCTGAGGCACCACCTATGTTTGAGGCAATAGTGGGATCGGACGGCGTGTAAGGTGTGCGATGCTGAGTGAGAGAGATCGGAGGGGGGGGTATGCAAGCAGGAAACATGATGGCATCACTAAATCCATGACGACCACACCCATGGAGCTTAAACCTCCCCACCTCCCCCCCCCCCTGCGCCGGAGTAAACTCCTGAGTTCCAAAGCGGATCAGGTACTGACATATGAGTGTCTAGAGGACGTAAGGATTCTAAAATGAGAGAATACGAACGGGACGAAAACGCCATGTCGAGCCCTCATTCATAGAGGGGAACGATGCTTGGTGACAGCAAATTGTGGGACGATCGAAACTTGGATCGGTGACTCTTTCCCGGACTGACTTTGGGACGACGGGGGGTGATGGAAGGAGAATTATTCCACCACCTCGGAATCTTCGTGCCCACGCTGGTGGCATACGTCATACGTGTTTGTCTCGTTAACGCTGACACTGGCGCTGGCTGGCTGGCTGACATGCTTTCCAGGCGGAGTTCCGTTCCATTGGATTATGATTAGTGTTGCTGCAGTAGGCAAAAGTCAAATATCTCTTATGATGGATATCCTTGGTCGGCACTCATGGTTCTGAGCCCCCCTGAGTCGCACTTGAATTCAAATGCTCATGTTTGCATCTGTCGGTCGACCTCTACGTCGTGTGGCTTGATCCCTCAAAATCCGACAAATACGTAAAGAAGCTTCTGCAGTGGCCAGAGAGAAGTCAAAACAACGTCTTCTACTTACTTCATGAGTCATTCCGGGTTATGAAGGTGGACTCGTGTTATTGCAATCATAAGACTAGTTTGGTGCTAGCTTAGCTGTGAACTGAGCATGGTGATCAAAATGAAACCTTTGGAATTTGATACATATTATCGTGGCTTCGGGCAGTACGTATATTTCCATTAAAATAAGTTTGGAGTTGGATTCGAGTGACTTTTACGGGATTGCGGAAACTAAGTGTTTGGTCCTACACACTCCCTATTAGCTTCAACAGCTTTTGTTACAGTCAAGGCAATATGGCATATAATATGAAAGGGAAGTTGATAGTGTTCATGCCGTAGTGCATAAGCCGCTGCTTTCTCTCGCTCTCTAGCGATGCATGGAAGCCATGATCTTGAGACTTGGGAACCTGTTGGTATAGGGACTTGTGCTGTCTATTGACACCGTGTTGATCCCTTCGCTTGTGAAGCTCGGCTAGGCCGGTTTTCCCACACTCGACAAAACCAAAATATCTGACATTCAACCTGTCCCACAACATTTTTGCACATGCCTGAGGCGGTGAATTGAACGAGACTTGAATAAACAATAAGCATCAAAATAATTTCACTACTAAGCGCAAAGGGTGGCCGTAGAACACGTATTTACTCGAGTTGAACTATTTGATATTGTACCCATATCACTGTCCATCATCCTACTACTCAATAGCTGCTCGATTGCCTAAGTTCATAAGCAGATGCCAAGTTAATACACTCTGCTTTGACTTGGTATACACATAGCGAGCACCCAATGATTTCCCATCCTTCGCTCTGTAGTTATCAGAAAATTATCATTCATAGCCTTGTTACATGGGAAAGCGTGCTTTTGGTCAAAAGACGACAAGATATGATAGCACAGGGCCGCCACAGAGGCATCGATGTGTTGTACAATCTGGATTTCTATGTCAATCCCATGTATTTCATCACTCGTTGAAAACGTGTTTAACCTGACTCTGCAAAGGAACATGGCCAGTTCTATCTCTTGCCATAGGACACTTCCCCTGAGCTTTTGCCTATGATGACCCCCCCAAGGAACCAAGAAAATATCACAAATTTCTCTTTCCGTTGAACCTCCAATAGAATGACAAGCCATTTTGTTATTTGGCATTCTCCTTGCTTCTGGCTGTGGTAGTCACTCATCCGGTCGTTTTATTTCAGCCACTTTGGAGAGCCTTCAAACTTGAGACAAGGCAAGCCATGGCCAAGTAGGAAAGTAAAGATGATTTCTACACTGTTAAATCTTCTCAGCATCCATTGACAAGAGCTAAAACATCTGGAGGTTGAGCGTGCTCTGATATTGGCATTGCTTCTCTCTCCTTTTTCGGACCAACGCTGACCCGTTCAGCTAAGAATAGCTGGGGCTAAGTGAAAAATACTCTATTTTGGGCGAATCAGTGGGCTTTTTTGTACTTCAGCAACGTCCTTTGCCGTCAATCTTGGTAATGGCCACTGACGGCAGCGCCGCTTGTATTGTCCAACGGTGACAGTCCCGGTGGGCCAGTGACGTTCAGAATCTTGACGTTCCCATTCGAATATGCGACGATATGTCCTGTTCAAGTTCCTTCTCAAACAACTCGGCAGACCTTCTGATCGAGCACAGTGTTATCAAGTGCGGCACCTTCGTCAGCAAAAAGTCCATAATGGATGGCTTGGTAGAGTTCATGAAGGTTTTGTCACCTGACGATATAAACACGACCAAAAGGACGGAAGAACAAAAGCTCAGAGACTGTCATGGGGGCGAAGAGATGGGCCAGGGTTTCGAATGAACAGAACACGTGGAGAACTAACGCCGCTCGTGGTCTGGTAACTGAAGAACGACGACGTGTAAGCTGCCACCACCACTCAGATATCACACTAGTCATAGCAGCATGCAGATTTATAGGTTTTGTTCATTCTAGCTCCACTCCATGAAACAGTCTGTCACCGAACCTCCTCCTCCCCCCTCAAGGCGTCCCCGAGAAGGCTTACGAAGGTTTGTTTTGATCTTCGAGCCCAACCCTATAGTGTGGACATCCGTCCTAGTTTGTCTGGTCTGAACATGACTGCGATATACAGCCTAATCCGGGAACTGTTACATACGCAACAATATCAAGAAGTCTGCTTTCTGGAAACGGGGCCAAATGGGGTAATACAATGACGCCAATCATCAGCACGTTAAGACACTGCAGAGAAATGCTTACCACCTGCTACATCTGAACAGAAGAACGGGTTGGTGTGAGGCCGAGCCGCGTTGTAAACGATTGGGCGGAAGGGTGTTCATGCATATGGGCATGGAAGTGGGGAGATACATCTAGATGACGGTCTTCGGACTGCTAGCATCCACAGCATGTGTAGCTTGCCACCATGCTTTTCCCGATGCATCTGTGGCTTCTCATAGTATGCCCGTAACGGCAGTGGAACTGATCAGGACCATGCAGTTACCCCGAAGGAGAAGGACGTTTGCCGCCGAACAACACGCTACGCACGGCCATGCGCCCATTACATGCTTGCATGCCAAACACACCCCATAAGGGACAAGCAGTGCCTCTAGCTACCACAGGCGATAGCCAGTCTCGAGAGGAATTCTGTTTGTAGCTTTGGGAGAAGTACCCCCGGAAGTGGAAGTATATATGTCTTATGGGGAAATTGCCCGCCCCAATGCACCTAGTAGATCCATAAAAAAAGAAAAAATGGGAAAGAAAAAGTGATAAACAAAAAAACAATGTGTGCCGTGTCGTCTCGTAAAACCCAAACGCTAATACCCACGCCAGTTGATCCCCTAATCTCTGCTCCTGAGATGCCTCTCGTCTTGGTCTGGCCGTCTCTCCTCTTTTTTGTTTTCTCTTCTATAAGCCGTTTGACGTATGGGATTCGTGCATGCGACTCTTATTGCACCTCCTTCTCCTTTCCCTTCTCATTTGTTGCGGCGTCGTCCTCGTGATAAAGACCGTGCTCGTCAATGTACTTGATGACTTCGGCAGGGATGAGCTGTGTCTTGTTAGCAACTGGCTGGCCGGTATGCAAGAGGGGAATGCATATCGGACTGGGACCGGCTCCAAACGGCATACCCGATGGGCGTGTATGGATGGATAGTGGAAGGGAGAAGAAACTCACGTAGTCAATGCTCATATTTCTCCTCAACAGCAAGCGAATCTTGGTGCTCGACACGTCGTTGGGGACGACTTGCGGGATGTAGTAAATCTGGTCCTCATACTCCTTCAGGTTGCCGAGGGCCTCGTCGATGTTAACGCCGGCCCTCTCGAGCACGAAGGCGCCAAAGTCGCCAAGGATGTGGCGCAGATCAGAGGGCGACCAGACGCCCGGCTGGCTCATGGTGTTGATCAGATCTGCGCCGGCGAGCACGGCGATCTTGACGCGCTTGCCGTTGCAGCCGCCGCGCTTGACGTTGATCTCGTACTCGAAGTGGTCGAGGACGACGGCGGTGGGCACGTAGGCGGTCTGCTCGGCCTCCCAGGGGTCGACCATGAGGAAGCGCGAGGTCTGCTCGGCGGCGATCTCGCACATGCGGCGGCGGTGGCAGGCGGGGGCCAGGCCGCGCTTCTTGTAGGCGTCGGAGACGGGGGACATGTAGGAGCCGATAAGCTCAAAGTTCGTGTTGTAGCGGACGTAGTCGGCGGCCATGACGGCCATGCGAAGGTGGAGGAAGGTGATGGGGCTGTAGGAGCCCGGAGCGACGAGGACGAGGGGCTCGCGGTCGGGCTCGGACTGCTGCAGGCGGAGGCGGTGGTCGGGGAAAGTGTAGCCAGGAGGCGTCATGGCCTCGATGGTCTCGGGGGAGGCGACCATGGTGATGTTGTTTCGGGGGGCGGGGGCGGGGGAGGTTGCGCGGGGTGCCGAGACGCCGGAGGGGAGGGATCGGGAGGGCGGGACGCTTGCGAGTACAGAAAACGGAGCGAACCAGCTCGAATCAAGCGTTCGGCGCTGATTTCGGTTCTTTTGAGGTATCTTTAGACAGAGTACTAGCGGGGAGGGAACGTATTGGATCGATTTGACGGAGCCAATGTGTATGAGTCGGGTGGGCGGGGGAGACGGTGGAGGATGCTCCGAGAGGGTTCCTGTGGAGGGGAAGAGTTGTGGTAGGTGTGTTGAGCGAGGATAGGCAGGATGGTATATTGCCCGAGACGCGGCTGGCTATAGGTCGGTCGGTCGGTCGGTCGGTCGGTCGGTGCCTAGCACAGGGATGGACGGGGATGAGGACGAGTACGGGGAAAGACGGGGACTAGTTAATGCCGCCTTGTGCTCTACCAGGCAAAAGATGTGTCAGCCTTGCGCCATATACGTCATGCAGTGGGAAAAGAGACAGCAGCCGTGCCTAACAGCATGTACCTTTTTTTTGTTTTCCCTTTTTTTTCTTCCCTACCCTCCGATTCTTGTCTCCTTAGCTTTTGAAACTGTACGGGGTGGGTTGTGGTGGTTAGGTTGGGTCGGGGTTGTATGTTTTTTCTGTTTGGGACGACACGACGAAAAAAGAAGAGTTTCTGGTCGTTTGCCGAAGGAAGAAGGGTGTGGCTGATGGAAAGGGTCTGGATTCGGATTGCGTGACTAACGCTACGGATGACACCGAGACTTTGGGGGAAGGGTAAATTATCTCTCGTTTAAGTCCCAACCTACCTAGTCGCCAGCGGCCAACGACTGGCCTGTGAATGGTTGAGTCGAGAGCAAAAAGAGAGGGGAGGGGGAGCGGAGCGGTGTCGCGTTGCCTTGTGTTGGTTGCTGTGCGGTGCGGTGCGGTGCGGTGCGGTGCGGCGCTCTGTGCCGCACATTGTCTGGGCACATGGAGGGGAGGGGTCGTGAGAGGGGATGTTAGTCAGCAAGAGTCCACTCCAGGTTCAGCATGTGATTGGAGAAAAAAGAACAGAAGCGGGGCATCGGAGGAAAACCGGGTTAACAGCGGCGGAACTTCAGTTCCAGGCCCCGGTAGCATCTCGGATCTCCGTCTTCGGGGAGTAGGGGGGCCATGTAAAGGTCTGCATCCATTGAATGCCTAGGCACTTACATAGTATCCGTAAACTCGATACCTAGGCAGGTGCTCGCTTGATAGTCTGTCTGGCCTGTGTCGACATTTGTTCTGCTCGTCGAGTTTTCAATGCCTCTCACTACCCATAGTTCGGTTGTCGAGAGAGACTTGGACGCTGGGCGATACGCACGGTGCCCGCAAGTGCCGAGGATGAGGGGTATGTCTGGGCTAGGTACTTAGGTACCTTTGTTGTGACTGGCAATCGCCGGATCACGCGCGCGGCATGTTGCGCCGATGCATCGCCCCTTTCCTACAGTGTGGGATTGGGTGAAATCCATCGTTTGATGAGCTGCGCCAATGTTGAATCGTCTTCACCAACCCCAAACACCCAAGCAATCTCAAGTGACGAGTTACACCACATCGGTCCTTCAGCAAGGCACGGTTCGCCTCCAAAGCCCCTTCCTTTCTTCTTCAGCCGCAAAAATCTCCAGCAGTCAATCTTGTGCCGGCCTCTTCTATGCGTTATTGCGTTCCAACCCCTCTCGAGATCTGCTGAAACACTCAACAACGCGCGCGCCCTCGGTTCGGTTCCTGGACAGGGCGCGGCGCAATGGCCTCCTCCTCTCCCCTCACGGGACCCTGGAATATTTGACTTGCCGAGATCTTCGGCTACTATGTACAATTCGCTGCGGCGCGCCGTTGGCTTCTAAGACCTGTCTGTCTCACTCTTAACATCACTTCGTTGAGTACCAATAAGGGCCTCAAGCTTCATCCACGTGACTCACTCAACCGCCTGTCATCCTGCAAACCTGCCGAAACGTGCGCCCCCGGCCTCCGACATCGCCACTATCCCCTCAGCTCAGCACTCTTCCAGGGAGTAGCTCATCATTAGCGCCCCAACCCGCTGCACTCTTGCCTGGGCCAGACGGGGTCCCTAAACTTTCCCTCCGGCACAAATGGCCCGGCTTGGTTAACCATGATCTCGGCGAAAATGCCAAATGCCGGCTGAGACTTTAGTTGCGAGAAGCTTACCGGTAGACTAGTAGTCACATGGAACGACTGGACCAGTCACTTCTTCACCTGTGACTGGCCATAGCATCTTATGTGAGATCGGATGGCAGGTTGACTTCATCTTGATTCTCTCAAAAAGGGTGGGCAGGGTGTTAATGTTCACCTTAGCATGCGCTTGCTCTATCGTACTCAGGATGAGTAAGGACATGATGAATATCAATCGAAAGTATGCTGCTTTCATAGGGGCACAAGTGAAGAGAGCGGTTGGCACCGATCGCCCTGTAAACTGGGTTGCTTTGCACGATGCCATTTCCGGCTGCCCATGAAAATACAGAGTTTGCACATGATTTCATGCTGCAGTCACGGAAGCAAAACTTTTACGTACGTAGTAGTACATGTGAATCATGGCACTGAGTCTCGACAATGACCTTCTGGCAAGTGAGACAGTAGTCGACTGAGAAACGCAGAGTGAACCACATGCAGTTGGGTATACTCATTCCTTTCCTTGCTTACTGCCATCTGGACGTCTTTGCATCGTCATGTAAAGACCACCTGTCTGTGGCGGTACCTCCAACTGTCAGCCGCCCCCTTCAATATCCATCCTCCAAGCGAACAACGAACCGCCAGGGATTCCCCCACACGTAATGCCACTTTTGGATAGCACCTGAGCACCATCTCCTCCCGGCGCGCTGGATGCATCTCTTGCCATTCCCACCAATCGCCCTGATCTTATCTGGCCGCGATGGGTTTGTCCACCAGATGGGGGACTTCTCTGTTGCACAAATGTTGCACGAATTCGGGATGGGAACTGGTATTGTCGATTCCATCAAGGGAGTGAAAGGAGAAGAAACAGTGTAATATCACTCACCAACGAACGCCCTGTCAAACATCCCCGTACAAGCGAGCCCCCCATTGCATCAGCGACAATGGCCTACATTCCATGTAATATCCTGCAACATGCTGCTGACACCAACTGAATCCTTGTTATGCCGTGGCCGAAAGGAAAGGGATTGCGACCCCCCGAACCAAACCACAACACCCGTCCCGGTGGATCATCATCGCGAGAAGACGACATGTTCAGCATGATAAGAGCGATGCCTACAAAACCACATCTATGACCCCCGTCCGTCCTGGATGCGCTTCCCCCGCTTCTCTTGGCTCTGGGATATCTTCTTACTGTTACGCGTGCTCTTCCGTCCCCTTGCCTTTCGGGGCCACCTTAGGTGCCTCGAACTATCAAGTATCTTTTCCCATTAGCTTACTACTCACCTCATTGGCTTCAAACTGGTTGATATTTCTACATTCCATCTCGTTTCTCATCATGAAGGTTTCGGCGGTTCTCCTGGCCGCAGCTGCCCTCTTCTACCAGGGTGCCGCAGCTCAACCATGCAAGGATGCTTCGTGAGTATTACTCGTTCGATCCACCTAGAACACTCAGCGGCTTGGACGATCTTCTGGGACGAATCGTTTCTCGGGGATGGTGCTGATAAGCAACCAACAGGGCGTCCTGCGGTGCCGTTCGCTGGGGTGACGCCACCCCGGCTAAGGTCGCCGCCCGCGCCGATTCCATCCCCTTGGCCTTCCCCGGCGCCGAGGGCTTCGGCCGCAACGCCGTCGGCGGTCGCACTGGCAAGGTCTACAAGGTCACCAACCTTAGGTCAGTACCACAAGTTCTCCCCTGTCCTGATCGTGTCAGGAGCCGTACTCACACATTGGATCCCAGCGATTCCGGTCCAGGCTCCCTTCGTGATGCCGTATCCCAGCCAAACCGCATTGTTGTCTTCGACGTTGGCGGCGTCATTAAAATCAGCTCCCGAATCGTAGTGTCCAAGAATATCTACATAGCCGGCCAGACTGCGCCCGGAGGTGTAAGTTGGCCCATATCACTTTCTCAGTCCCGTCTTCTTGAAACACCACCACTGCCGACATCATCAGTTCACAACTAAAATACTAACAATTACCCCAGGGCATTACCGTCTATGGCAACGGCTTCTCCTGGTCTAATGCTAACGATGCCATCGTCCGCCACATCCGCATCCGTATGGGCAAGGGTGGCGACAGCGGCAAGGACGCCATCACCATCGCCGACGGTAAGAACCTCATCTTCGACCACGTCTCCGTCTCCTGGGGCCGCGAAGAGACCTTTTCCATCTCGGGCGATGTCACAAACGTCACCGTCTCCGACTCCATCATCGCCCAGGGCCTCGAGACCCACTCCTGCGGCGGCCTCATGCAGACCGATGGCGGCGTCTCCCTCTTCCGCAACCTCTACATCGACAACAAGACGCGAAACCCCAAGGTCAAGGGCGTCAACGACTTCCAGAACAATGTCGTCTACAACTGGGGCTCGGGCGGGGGCTACATCGCGGGGGACTCGGCCGGCGCGAGCTACGCCAACATCGTCAACAACTACTTCATATCCGGGCCCTCCACCTCCGTCGCGGCCTTCACGCGCGGCAACGCAAACTTCCGCGGCTACGTCAGGGACAACTTCTACGACTCGAACCGCGACGGGGCGCTTAACGGCGCCGCCCTCTGCGTCTCCGCCACCTGCTACTCCGACCTCGCCATCCAGACCGCCCCCTTCGCCTACCCGCCGCCCGCGAAGCTTCTCGCCCCCGCCGCCGCCGTGGCCCACGTTTCCGCCAGGGCTGGTGCCTCCATCTCCCGCGACGCCGTCGACGCCGCCCTCCTGAAGGAGCTCCAGTCCTACGGGAAGTCCGGCAAGCTCATCTCGGACGAGGCCTCCGCGGGCGGCGTCGGCACCGTCGCGCCCGGCACGGCCAAGAGGGATACTGACGGTGACGGCATCCCCGACGAGTGGGAGACGGCCAACGGCCTGAACCCCAACGATGCGTCGGACGGTATGAAGATTGGCGCCGGCGGGTATGCCAACCTTGAGATCTACGTCAACTCGCTCGCCCCGGCTGTCTATTAGACATGTCCGGTGGGGTCTTGTACTGGTTGTGAATCGATGGGATGGATCCGTGGCTTATACGGAGAGCAAGAGGCCGAGGAATGTGCAATGTGTAGGCGAGCCACTCGGCTGTATATAGCACGCACTCTCGTTTTTTCGTGTGTATTCTATTCATCTTTGGTAGTACGAAGAAGTACATATCCTTCTTTCAATGAACATATTCGTAGATTGTCCTTTTGTTATTCCTCCTTGGAACTGCCCGTCTTCCCTCTCTTGGTCATCTCTTGGTTATCTCTTCCTGTCGTTTCAGCTTCTCGTGAACTGTGATGCAAGACACGTGAGAAGATTGATGATTTAGCAGGGGCGCAGTACCATACGTGCAAATTCTTCTCTTGTATGGCATTCGACGTGAAAGTGGGAGGCGCAGGCTAGTACAACGACTCCCGAAACCTTTCCATCAGCGTCAATCCAGGGAATGGTTTGTAGATCGACACAGACTACATACAAGCTCACTGCTTCCTCCTGAACGAAGTCGAAGACTAGCAAAAGCTCCTAATAGTTAAAGCATTTCCATGTAGTTCGTATCATGCTTGATAGGGTTGGCAGTATACAGCGGCAGTTAGGCGGAAGCCGATGATGTCCGCCTCAGGGGAAAGAGACCCGGCATCAGTGAAAGGGACGAGACTACCATTCAGACGGCCCCTCAAGCTTACAAACTATCAGATCATCTCGTTCCAGTGTAGCATCGCCTCTCTGGAACCGCCCAACAACCACGAAACGAAGACGGTAAAGACGGGAAATGCACCGGTGCATCAGTTTCGGCGCCTCTGGGTGCTGAAAGCAGGTCTCGATATGAGTGGCACACATCATTACTGGCTACACATCTGTTACAGGCTGGAGCTCACAGCAGTGTAATTAGGGAAACGATGCTTGATTCTAGAGAATAGTAAGAGGTTCTCGTGACAGCATTTGCGTTAAATAACAGCTATGCAGCAGCAGCAGCAGCAAGTTCTAACGTCTTCAAAGCCAGGCGAGGTCAAGAAACCAAGCCAAGAATATTTCTCCAGATTTAGAAGTCTGTTGGCGGAGAAGGTGCCAGGGTGTTATGGGTCAAGACCCGGAACCAGCAGAAATATTGCCCTTGCGAGGCATGCCCCGTGGGGTTCAGGTCCACTCGATCGCGAAGCGGGAGAGATCGGGGTACATCTACAAGGATGGCGTATATGGAATGAGTTCCGAGTGGAATTAGATAGGACTATCCAAGTCGACATTAATTAATTTGAATCGAGACAAACGCACGCATGAACCGGATCCATAGACCATTGAACGGGGGCTCGGGAGACTGCAATCCAATCGATGATCTTCTCTATTGCCAGCCGTCAGGAACCCGAGCCTCCTTTGTTGTCCTGGCCTGACTTGACATGTTGGCCTGAAATAGGTAAAGAATCGACCAAGCCAATTGGCCAAGACACTCGAGTTGGAAGCTGGAACCGTTTCCCATGGCGGTCCACTAAGTGCTGCATCGACTGTTTTGCCTGGCTTACAGCGTATCTATGTTGGCTGCTCATCTGTGCCGCAGCTGGGGCCAAGAGAATCAGGAGAGCCTGCATGCAGTAATTGAGATGGACTAGGTATGCTGGGAAACAGGGCCTCGAACGCCCACCAGAGACTGGGTACTGGCAGAATGGACTCCGGCAATACGACATGCGAAAGTCGAGTCACAAACATGCTGATCTCTATCGACGCCGGCAGCCATTGGGCTGCGGATGAGATGGAGAGGAGGGTTAGTGCCAACGGCGCAGTGGCGGGAGCAAACAACGCGTCTCACACCTTCGCGTCCAACCAGAGTGTGAGATGCATGGAGCTGTCGTTTGCTGCCGTCAGCTCAGTCACCCTTTTATCCGCGAATCAAATACGACACAAAATAGCTCCTGTTGGGTGGGAGGGGGCATCCTCTGCAGCTCGTCGACAAAAACCTCTACATCCATGTCGGAGACAAACCGCCGACCGAAGACGCTCGCAAGGTTCCCGGCCAACCGTTAGTGCTTTGGGGATCGGGAAACGAGCAAACTACGCCACAGAAGTCCCGTGTTCGTCGACGCCTCTGGGCTGCATTGGAGCACGTCCTCGATTCGGCCGAAAAGACGGCGGACTGCTTGGGCGGATGCATATGGGAAGTGAGCACTGCTAATGACGGAAGACGAGTTGATGATGTGGCAGCCAGTCAGATTGACAGGTGAATGCAGGCGGCTTCGATGTATCGGCTTTAAGGATTGGCGGTCAGAGGTGGTGGCCGTGGAGGTGAGGCAGCCATCTGCAGGCGGCCTATCACATCATCACCACCACCACCTCACAGGGCAGGGCAATAGGCTTCCCGTTGCTCGTGCCCGACTTTGCCTCGACATTGGACTGAGGAGTTTTCGACGGTTGATGTTCCGAGGGAGAAGAGATGTGGAGAAGCAACGGCAGTAAGGCAGATCGGTCGAAGCATGAGGCATGAGAGGTTAGGTACCTAGGTACCTAGGAACCCAAGGTTAGGTAAGTATCTACTTACCAACCTACCTACCTACATAGGTAACTACATATTTCCTGCACGTCTGATATCTGATGGGGAAGGCGGCGCGTGGGGTACAGAGGGAACTTGCGAAGCAGAAGGTACGGGCAGGCAAACACGCCTTCCGAGAATATCACATCTGTACGACGTTCCTTCCCCCCCTCATTTCCTTTGCAACCCTCCCTGTTCAGTTCCCTACCTACTTACCTACCTAATCATCGGCTTTTCGTTCCCTCCCTGACATTTGGTTGCGGACTATTACCTGCCTAGGTACCCATCTGTATGAAGAAGTGTAAACTTGCACCGTGTAGGGGACAGAGTTGACTGGTCGATCTACTCCAAACTGAGTCTGTCTACTCGACAAACCGGTTGGGTCGAGGCCCAGATGGGCAACTGCAGCCAATGTTTTCGGAAAACCACATCCAACTAGAATCAAACTGTTGCGTGGAAATAGGCTTGACACCCGGCACGACTTCGAGTCGGATGAGTAAGACACGCCATCTCCTGCACGGAGGAGAGGCACCTAGGTATCTACCTGTCATCTAGCCAAGCCGCTTGTCCATGACGATCAATTTTTCTCTCCTTTGTTGATCTACCTACCTAGGTAGTTACGTTACCGAGAAGTTGGAACTCCCTCTATCCGTACATGTAATTCCTTTCCATCTTCTCGCCCGGTAGCGTTCTTCCGTCTCCCTCGGCCAGGATTCCTTTGTTTGGCCTGATCATGTCTAGCCTGATACCACATTGCCCAGCCCTGCCCTGCAAAGAAGAGAATAGCACCGATCTGCATCAAGGTGTGTGGCGCAAATACGCAACCGCCTAACCGTTGGGCCTGATTGGTGATTGTACCCTCTCCATCTGCTCGTTTCACCGGTACAGTTTAGCAATCATGATCGCGGGGAGGCCATACTTGGCTTAGACTTTGCTTGCCTTGCTATGCTCGAGGTATTGCCAACCTACCTACAATACATCTTGTGTGCCCGCCACGTACGTCCCCATGCCGACTCGTTATCTCCATCATCTTCGTACCTATGCCACTCTCACTCATCTAGGTACATAGGTAGGCACGCTGCATTTCCCCATACCTCACGTACTTCTCCCCTTAATGGAAGCGCCTGACAACCAACGCCTTGCCCATCGGTCTGACTTGGGGACCCCGTCACTTGCCCTGTCTTGCCAAGCTGTGATCTGGCTTGCTATGCCTTATTCGGGTTCTCTCACAAGGAAAGAAAAATCACATAGACCGCTGCCGTACATGCCAAGCATATCTGTGTGGATTGTGTCAGTTTCCTCCTTCCTTCCTGCTTCTCCACCTCCGCTTCCCTCCCCCCCCCCCCCCCCCCCCCATTCCACCTCTCTCTCTATAGTGTCTTCTCCTCCGTGCCTTCTTCTCCACAGTGCTCTGTTTTGACTTCATCTCATGAAAATTTGCCTCCGAACCTCGTTCCTGCCTTCCTCAATCTTTTCTCGATCGTCTGGGTCCGTTCTTCGTCCCCCCTTCTGGCAAACTTCTCGTCCTGGGATCTCGACGCATCCAATAGCCCGTCGAATCTTCCGTTAGTATCGGTATCGCCCAGTAAGCCACACCCTTCTTGTACTGCTGCCGGTCCTAATCAAGAAAAGAGCGTTGTTGAGTTGGCGCCTTCCGTTGCCTAGCTCGAGCCGGAGAACCCTGTCAACTTCCGACTTCCTGCTTCTTTCAATCTGCAACGTCTCTTTTCCGTCCAGTGTCTACCGTTGTCTACTAGACATTTCCTTTACCCCCTGGTCGGAATCCCGTGGCGCCTCGCAGGAACATTGCCTTCCATCCGGACCCCAGCCGCCATCGACACCTCGCGCTTTTTATCCATGCAGCCTCCGCTTCGACCGTTCTCGTCCGTGTAACCTCCTCCATGCTTCGCAGTGTCTGCTCTCTCGTCCCGACGACAGCCTTCTCTGTCATGCAGCTTCTCGGCATTCTGTGGCTACCAGCTTGGGCTACCTGAGATTAATACACGGCCTTATCTACCATTTGTTCCTGCCTCCTTTTCCTTACCTTCTCTCGCACACGCCTCCATCCTCGATACGCCCTCCGACACCCGGTCTTTTCCCACATTGCAGAGGCCAGCGGCTCGTCGTACAAATTTGCCGCTTAGACACATGCCATCCTGATCCGGGCTTTGAGCCTTAGAAGCCTGTCCCGAGCCTCCCAGCAGCTATCTTTTGAGGCTTTGCTTCTTTTTTCGTCACTGCAGCTCGAAAAGGTATCTAGACCTCGTTTGTACCACACTGGCTGTTTGTGCCACGACCACCGCCAGATCCAACAGGCCTCTACGACTCTCCTTTCGGGCCTACCTGATATACACTGGCTTGGTCGAGTCTTGGTGCTTTCTGGCCTGCATTCCAGCTTCCGGGATACGAAGGTGGGTGATTATTATTACCTCTTTCCACGCACCCTGCCCTTCATCGCACAACACGCCAGAATGTATAACCCTGACCTTCTTTCACAGCGCACTTTTGTCCAGTTTTTATACTCATATTCTGCTCATCGCCAGATCTCCTGAATCACCCCGGCTCGACAGATCCGATTCCAAGCCATGGCCACGGTTGATGCCACGGTTCTTAGCCAGTACGAGATCAAAGTTGTGTCCGGTCTTGAACGAGTTGGGGCCACGTTGTCACTGATTGGCGTGACCTTGATCTTCTTGACCTACTGGAAGTTCAAGCGCATTCGAAGCGTCCCGAACCTGTTTATTGTCTTCGCCTCAATCGCCAACGTCGGCGCGAGCGTGGCCTGCGCTATCGGCTATGATGGACTTGACCTAGGGCCCGAGTCTGCTTTGTGCCAGGCTCAAGCATTCTTGCTTGAAATGTGCATTTTCCCCTTTCTATATCCCCCTATACCCCCGCTGATGACTATTCTCTACAGGTTCATGCAATCCGATCCATGGTGGTCTTTCGCCATGGCCGTTAACGTCTATCTCGTCTTCTTTGCCGGCGCTAGTCCCTCCTCCTTTCGTCATTATCTCTGGGTCTACTGCGTCGTCTGCTTTGGCTTCCCACTGATTCCCGCTCTGATCTGTCTCTTCCTCCGCCCCAACCACCCGAATGACTATATCTATGGCGACGCTACAGTACGTAAATTTCAGCTCGATACCGACAAACCGCCTTGGGGACAAGTACTAACTTGGTCTAGTTGTGGTGCTGGATAAACAGGAGATGGGCAGATCTCCGTATATTCACATACTATATACCCATTTGGTTTTGCTCCATCGGCTCCTGTGTCATTTACTTCGCCGTCGGCTATCACGTTTTTCATCATCGCAATCAACTCCACAATCTCACCTTCAGCAACGCCGAGCATGGTGCCAGAGGGTTAAATCGCTCGGGCGAGCGCGATTCTGCTGAAAAGGTATCCGACCTATCGCGCGAAGGCACCCGTGATGACTGTCCCCTCGTTGACACCCATCAGAACGTCGCAAGCCGTACCGAGTTTTATGGTACCGCCGTAACGGAGGTGGAGATAACCACCATGACACCAAGACCGTGGACACCCCACTTGCCCCCCACGGCCACCACGAAAGGAGCCGCAGACGAGCAGCCCCGACACCAGCAATCATGGCGAACGAGCGAAGATGATGGGTCACCGAGTCCGCGCTTCGAAACCACTTGTACATCGAATCCGCCTCCGCCAAAGGCACGTCGTTCCATCTTCCAGCAGATCAGGGCCGTTGGAGCGAAGTTCTCCAGCAGGCTGGAACGTCTGGATCCAGTGAAGCTTGCATATCTTCGAACCAGCTTCATCTTCACCATTTCCGTGCTCGTCACTTGGACCCCAAGCTCCATCAATCGAATATATAACATGGTCAACCGCGACGAGTCCAATTTTGGTATGAACGTCGCCAGCGCCACGGTCTTGCCGTTGCAAGGAGTCTGGAACGCCGTAATCTTTTTCATGACCAGCTGGACGGTTTTCAAAGAAGAGTGGAAGGACATGCGCGGCAGCTGCCGGGTCCGGCTTGGCAGCTGCGGTGAAGAAGGCTTGCATGCCGCTGCCAGAATCGATGTGTCCCGAGGCGATCAACAAGACCGCTTCAGGTACGGCCGTTATGGGCACACAAAGGCACTCGGCAGCGATCATAGTGATCTTGAGCTGACATCCCCATCAGGCGGTGGCAATGTACGAGCGATGCGAGGATCGTTTAGCATATGATCGTCCAGCTGCTTGTCTATACTTCGCAAGGCTGCGATCTCGGGGAACGACGTTTTGTAAGAGGCGTGTTCTGCTTGTGCCAGAATGGTCCAGGGTATTGGTTCGACTACTGGTTGGAGTCGGCAAAAGCTTAGCACAAAGATCTTTGGCAGGGAAAAACTGCCATGTTCATATGTTTTGATGGGGAATCTTGGAGATTGTATATTATCCGGATGTGCGGCGAAACTCGCATACACCCGCCTCTTATTCGCACATTAATAACAACGTAAAATAAGGCATCAATTTGGAGTGCCGCTGCATCCAGTCAAGCCTACATGGTCGCTACTTTCAACCTGAGCCTAAAACCAGCGTTGTAACTCGGCTCGATCATCGTTTCTCAAAGTGACCTCCCATTTTGAGGACCTGTGAAGATGGACGTCCGAGCCATTGCCATTGGCTAGAACACCATCATAGTGCGGCAAGCCGTGCCGTCCTCCATAGCCTGTTTTTTACACTCCAATCATTTTACACTCCAATCAAAAAACAATTCGTATGTCATTAATGTTCTCTTCAATAATGCCTTCAATGACTGTGATACCATCAGATCAGGATGATAGCTGCTCGATCACTCCGTCGACCTTCCTATCAGCTTCTCATTAGTTCGATGAGGTAGATTCTGAGAGCACGGTAATAGCTCCTTGCGATACTGACTGATGCCTTGACCGATAGAATCAAGAGCCTATTGAACACCGCTTGCTCTTGTCGATTACCGGTGGAAACACTGGGGAAACCAAGGACGTCAACCGCTGCACCAAGATCTTTGCTCAGGCTGGCGCCGACTCGCAGCAGTTCCGCAACCTCTTCTGATGGCGTCTTATTCAACGTTGGTTGATATTTCTCCCTCGTAACGAACCAGGAGATCGAATGCTTTTCTGAAATTGACAACCTTGCGGACAAGAGGTCCAAGGATTGTACCCTCGCTCAGCGGGGCATGACTGTTTCCAGAGCTGGCCAGAGTGGTGTCACGCGGTTCCGTTGGATAAACGCCTCCCTGAACTGGTCGCAAATATGTTCGCCGATGTTTAAGACTCGTCGAAGAGGAACAGGATCTGCAAGATCCAGGCGTGTATCTTACAAGAGAGTCCCGTGATTAGTAGGATGGTGTGTGCAGACTTGAGGTCCCCGAACCCCCCTTTTCCTAGTAGAAGAGGCCAAAGGAAGGATTGCGAGAAAAGTACAGCATTCTTCTTTTTGTGTGTATCGTGATCTAAAGATAGAAAGTCGATGGAATCGAGTAAAACTCTCCAGATAATATTCGTCCAACTTATGTCAGGGGTCTAGGCATTTATCATCTCATGGCAGGGCATACCCCGCTTCACCAGCCTATAACCCATCGGCAGTTTAAAATGCCAAGTTAATTCCTGTTTTACTGTGGTCTCACAGTCAACTAGACTATTAAGAGCCTAGTAATCGTGTTGAGGAACCAACCAAGGCTGAGGGGCTATGATGGCAGCTTTTGGCTTCACTTCAGGTATGTGTGACTGATGTAAGATAAGAAGGTAGCCAGGTCGCTAAATGATTTCTAGGGTATAGAGACCCTTTTAATGTGAAGGCCGCCTAATGACATTTTCTTGGCATCTGTAGGGATTCGAGAAGACGAATGACGGGCCTTGCCAGCTTAATTATATGGGGGCTCTCAAATTCGAAGCTGCGGGTCGCGGGCCGCGAGGTTCGACAACTGCGGTTAGGTGTGGCGGTTTTCTTTTTTCTTTTTCTATCGATTATCGTTACCGGCTTTTCAGTGAAATGTTTGGCTTATTACAAACGCGATTATTACGATGATATCTCATACTTGCCATGCATCCCTTGCATCCTCTTCTGCGACCAGCCGTCTGACTATTAGGATAAGCCATGCCATTCGTATTCATAGCCAATCGCGGTGTGAGTTTTGATAGCCCAACCTCATAGCTGTGTGGCAAGATGCCGGCAAATTCATTCAATCTATATCGAGTCTCTCAAACGGGGAACCTTGGCTACGCACTTTGGTTCTTATCATACATCTCAGCTCCCTTATCCTCAGGGGCGTAGGAAAATCATTGTTCAAGCCGCCGCAGCAGCTGCGGCAGCAGGGCCAGAAGACGAATCGTCCTTCTTGCCACCGTCGCCATCCTTCTTCCCCTTCTTACCGTCGTTTTTCTTTGATTTCCCATCGTCGACTGCCGTCCCGTTGTTGTTACCATCGGTAGCCTTTCCATCCGCTTTGGCGTTTTTCTTCTTGGCATCGTTGGCTTTTCCATCTGCTTTGCCGTTGTTCTTCTTGGCATCGTTGGCCTTTCCATCTGCTTTGCCGTTGTTCTTCTTGGCATCATTGGCCTTTCCATCTGCTTTGCCGTTGTTCTTCTTGGCATCGTTGGCCTTTCCATCTGCTTTGCCGTTGTTCTTCTTGGCATCATTGGCTTTTCCATCTGCTTTGCCGCCATTGTTTTTCTTTGCATCAGGAGCCCCTCCACTGTCGTTGTTATCTCCTCCTCCTGTGGCTGGGTTAGCTGGTCAGACTCCAGTATACTTTGAACATCTTAGAATCCATACCAGCTGTGTCATCTCTAGCTTGAAGCATCACGGATTCCCTAAGTGACCTTATAACCCCAGCGTTCCTTGCGACAAGGTCGACTACCTCGTCTCTCTCATTGAGGGAAAGGTCTTCAAAAGCAACATCGTCGTCATCTCTTTCAATAATGTCTGTAATAGACCTAAGATGTCGTGCAAAACCGTCCCTGGAAGCAAGCACTCCAGATTCAATAGCAGCTGCTGCAGCAAGGCTGGCAAAGAGGAGAAATGAGGCTGCCTTCATGATCCTGGAGTATATATAGTCAGGCTAGAAGTTGTAAATGTGGTTCTCGGTGGCAGGATGAAGGATCAACAAAGGAAAATGAAGATGAGACAGTTTGTCTTTGACTCAAGTAAGAAGTTTCAATGAACGTGAAGAAAATGAAGTGCCTGATTCAATCAAGAAGTCTGATTCTCATCCGTGTGGTTTCTGTCTCTGAGGCCGAATGTCTGATGGGATATCATTTACTTATAGGGAGACAATAACCTTGATGAGGGCACTACTACAAGTGTATTAGGAAAAGGGGGCAACGAGCGTTTCTATAACCTCCGCGGGAAAATAGAGACAGTGTGCGGTATTCCACAAAAGTAGGAGCTCGACTCAAGTCAGGAGAACAGCGGTGTTCATCTGGTCCCATGTCAGACTGCCATCCCTTCTCTTCACAGAGTATGTACACACATTAGGCCATTAGCTGGGCGGAATGGGCTCCGAGAGATCCGCGTTGCAAAACATCAGACGAGTAACGGACCTGCCTGGATATGAAAACCACATCCCGGATATTTTATTTGATTTCAGTTTTGTGAACATCAGTTTAGGTCCGTGACCACTAGTCTAAACATTGGATTGTCTGCCCTTGCCGCCGGAAGGCAGCTCTGTGCCTACACAGCCCCGATTTCTCCGGATATTTCCATGGCAGACTGCATCTGTTTGAAGCTTAGACCACCAATCATTATGGCCGCGGATAAAAGCCTCCAGTGCCGAAGGCTGCCGTCTGAGACAATGAGAGTTGCGGGTATACGACTTTAACCGATTGGGTTGGTGGGTCACTTGTGCAGGCCAGCTCTCAGAACTCGTAGCAGAGGGTTTGAGGAGTCTTCAATTTCTTGTTTCGCACCTCAAATCACTCCTATAAACTTATAAACTTCAAGTTGAAGCTAGGCTGAGATCGAAGGAAATTTCTGAATGCTACAATCTGAATTAGTCAAGGAAGGAAAGATTGTCATCTCGGTTTTCAACCTCTGACGTCCATCGATCATTGGTGTGGCTCCACTCCGTAGTCTCGGCTGCGAAGTCTCAAGTACAGTTCCAAATCCACACAACGGCGAAGCTATTACCTTGTCCCCCAGCCTATATCTTTACCCATTATGAGCTGCGATGGTCATGAATTGCGGTGGACCGTTTAGCCATGGAACCTGGAGAGAATTTGTAGTCTTACAGATTCGTGTTTGTCAGAAACCTACGCTGTGTCATGTGGCATAGTCGTTGTGCAGGCTTGAGAATCAGCCTGCTAATCAGAGTGGGTATAATCACCAAAATTAGTGCCTTTTCTGGTCATCGTACATCGTACATCGGTTAGATCTTTGCTCATACAGAGATACCCAAAGATACGTCGCTGGCTGCAACGCTTGTGGCTGCTGCTGGGCTTGAAGCTGGCTAATGACTTTTCCTCCCAGATTTTCTCACCCGATCAACGTGTGATGAGCGGACGCTTTATGTACTAAAGCCGAAGTGACTAATAGGAAAAGTCAACAGAGAGCTCCTCTGTCTATTTTTGCACAACTCGATGCAGTGGCTAGATTATGTGTTCAACCAAAAGGAAGAGTAGGCCTAAACACTGGGGAACCATATTCGTACAACACCCAGTGATTTCTTGTGACTCGTTGTAATACCAACACCCAAATGTGGTATATCACCCGGGTTTAACAGCCCGATCATACCCTCCCACCGCCAATGCCCCAAGTCAGATTCCGTGTTCATAACATTATATTCTTCGTTTCCAGCCTGAGAAGACCCCGTAGTTAAAGCAGCGCGAGTAAGGCATGCACACATTATACTGGTCTAAATGCTCTGATTCATACATCTCAAAAGTCCGATGTTCATTTTGACCTCTTGTAATAAGTCAACCATAGAAAACCACAGCTTCATGCGGACTGTGAGTCGTGGTCCGTTGCATTGGATGTGCAATCTTGCCCTTAGCTCAAACACTTCAGTGCTATTACAGATGTTTAGCGGCATAACTAGGGCCGAGTATTTTGGGACATCTCAACTTTGCCGTGGATCGATATGCAACACAGATTCATCACTCTGTAGCCAGACTTCTGCAGCCAGATTACAGCACGAAATATCATGCTCATCCTCTTTGTAACCCGGAAATGTAGCCGCATAAACTCTCAGGCTCTCCTTTGCTCCCGCCATCGATTTATGTTTAAACAGAATCATCGTTCTCTCAACCGTCTCTCGAAACTCAAAACTGACTCCTTCGAAATGATTTTGAAGATTCTTGAACGGTTAGCATTCGTCTATAAAGTAGTGATTGTGCACAAAGTGGGCGGCTATCGACTGAAACCAAAATACCCTCAATGTCCCTTCGTTTCCCCAACATAAAAGACTATGGGTACCTCGTATAAAGAAGCGACCTTTCTTAAGATGAAAAGAACTTTAAGGGATCATGCCAACTCTAATTAGAGCATATTACTACGTTTCCCAAGGCCCATCATTTAGCAGTGGTAAAATTAATATCCTTATTATAGTTTGGATAGAAGTCGGCGGGAAATCAGCATCCTAGCTCGCATACGCACGTGGACGGTTAGAACACATATTGTGTATCTAGGAGTGGGACAAACGGCAGGTTCGAACCCGACTGTGGCCGTCACAGAATACTCGGTCTCGGATCGCCATCCAGGGAAATCAGCTAGGTTAGGTTCACAATATCCTTGGCATTCCCCCACCGCTCGTCGAATCACAGCAAACTTCCCTCCAACTCCGCCCCCATCGGGTACCGTAGAGGGAAACAAGATCCGTCGTGTGACAACACAATCTTGTGGTCGAGCCGGAATTGGCCACACTGCAATGTTGACCACATAAATTGTTTTCGGGAAAGGTTTTATGAGTCAGTGCAACTGACTCAAGAGCCGTTATATTTGTTGGAGACTGACGGACGATCTTAAACAGGGTGCCCCGAACGTCGAGCTTTGAGGCGCTCGTGTGACCGGATGACAATGTCCTACCGACGATTCTGTAATGACGGGCGTCTTCTGCAGAGAGTCAGTCGACACAGCTATTCAGACGCTCTTCTTTAAACAAGCGATTGTTGGCCTACAAAAAGGACGAAGAGCAAGGGGGGAAAATGGAGGTTTGAGTAAGCCGGAAGAAAACCAAATTGGAGCAAAAGTTTGGGCCCTAACCAGGGATCGAACCTGGGACCTCTCCCAGATGTGGGCTTACAACCCTAAGGGAGAATCATACCGCTAGACCATCAGGGCTACGACAACAGATTGATGTTTTGTTGACATGCCGGATTGATTCACGGCCTGTGTAGAATCAACACTGTCACCCAGGTTTACCTGCAGCGCTTATCAGTCTGTTAAGAGTCCATTACATCTTATTTACTTAAATTAGTCTATTTTCTGATTGAAGTTTAACATCCTCCGTGTGCAGGGTACATCACACGTATCCTTCTAATCCTTGCTCGGCTGCCCACGGACTAATGCTACAGGGTGTACAAGAAATCAGGTCTCTTGTCTCCCAGTGCCTCAATCTCTTTCTCCGATTTATTATCTGCCCAGTGGTCTCTCTTTCCCTGTCTCCTCTTGTCGTTCTCTACCCTCAGCAGCGTTGTCATGAGCACGCTGCCGAGGCACAAAAAGACGGACATGTAAGCCAGCACAACGCCGTGACCTTCAAAGAAGCGAGGCTCGCGGAAGTAGATGTTGGAGCTGACGATACCGTTGAGGTTGCCCCACCCGATTACGAAACCCAAGACCACGCCTCGTTTGTAAACCCCTTCGACGTTATTCGCGACCCAGGTGATTGTATTGCTGATGCAGGGGTAGATGCCAAGGGCTCCCAGGAAGGTACCAGCGTACTTGACCTGAGGGTTCTCGGTGCCTATGAGCATGCCAAAGCCCACAATACCAATCAAGCTAACAAAGATGTTGCACAGTCCGCGTTGTTGGGTCCTGTCTGCTACCCAACCAACAAGGACTGTGAAAGCGGCTGCCACAGCGTAGGGTGGCACGGTCATCAACTGCGATCGTACAGTGCTGGTATTCCATCCGAGTTCGTTGACGATGGTGGGTAGAAACAGGCTAAAGGCGTATAACGGCATGTCACAGCCCATATAGATGACCATGCCCAGCCACATCTTCCAGTCTTGCACAGCTTGCCAGAAGAAGGACATATTGAACTCCTCATGGTCTGCCGAGGCCTGCTGGTCCATCTTAAGCCGGCGGATGACGCGGGCGCGGTCGTTTTCGGAGAGGAACTTGGCCTCATCGGGGAAATCGTGCACCATCCAGAAAGATGCGACCCCGAACAACACTGTCAGAAGTCCTTCAAGTATAAATATCCAAGCCCAACCGGGTCGTCCGCCGACACCGGCCATCTGCTCAATTGCTGCAGCTAGGGCACCGCCAAAGGAACCCGAAATGGCGGCCGCAGAGAAGAAGATCGCCTGCATGCGTAAGAAGGAGATTTTGAAGATTGAAACTGCTAGAACTTACAGCACGAATACCAAACTCGGATCGCTTGTACCAACATGACAGGTAGTAGTTGACGCCTGGGAATAGCCCTGCTTCCGTGAGACCGAGGAACCATCGAGCAGCCATGAGGCCGCTCCAGTTGTGTACAAAACCCATGCCGGTCATGGACGCGCCCCAGAGAATCCTACAGGATTAGAAACAAAGTACATTCAGTTTCGGATGACTGATGAATCGTCTTGGACTTACATGATGATGGGGATGAATATTGATGGGCGAAGCCTCTTGAGGAGAATGTTTGTCAACGGCTCGAACACTGCGTACGAGACGAAGAATATGGTGAGCGACGAGTTATACTGGGAGTTAGTTAATCCCAGATCGTGATTCAGGCCTGCAATTTTTGCATTTCCGATGTTTGTTCTGTCAAGGAACGCCAGTAGGTAAAGTATGCAAAGCTGCAGACCCGTCAGCTAGGCTTGCCTGAAGGCATACAGCATAATAATTTACCCATGGAATAAGCATCCAGTCAAGCCGTCTGACTAACTTCCGGTCCTATATGTGACATGTTAGGAACGTGGACACTTCTCAGCGCAATAGATGGTGTACTTGCCACATCCAGTCTCTCCCCCTCACTGAGGTGGCTATCCGGGTCAGGTATATCAAGCTGCCTGCCTTGTTCTAGCGTGTGGGAGGCGCTTGCCTTCTCGACTTCCATCATTACGAGGCTCTATCAATGTGCTGAACAAATTTGCTGTTGATCTCTTTGGGAAGTGATAATGGGAGTGATCAAATAAATTGCAAATAGGTTGGATAGAGGCGGTGCAATAGTTGAATGGGCCAGACGTGATTCAGAGTTTGACCTACCCGTGGTTTCGGAGGTAATGGCGCAGTCATGACGAAAGCCAGATCAAGTCGGCGGGAGATTGGTCAATATAAGGAACACCAAAGGTGCCCGCAACGGTGGCATGTGCGCGGGGGGGAAGCAACCTTTCTCTACGGTATAGGACTTCGGGATACACTCGGCAATGAAACCCTGCAATGGAACGTGCCGCCTCATCAAACCGGACACATCGGCGCGAAGCAGCCTTGGACGGTGAGCAGGACTCACCATCCAACAGACATTCGTTCGAGTTGGAAACAATAGGACCTATTATTCTGCGGAGGAAGTGTGCTCAACCAGGCATTTGGAAAAACACCTTTGTGTTTCTTTGTAGCCCCAGGCAGGGCTTAGGAGAGCACCGGTGTCAACAGGCCCAAATAGGACCCTGGGCAGTCTACCTTGTCCGGATGATTGCATCATAAGTATTCAAGACCAATGAACGTGCAATTTTCTTGCATCAGAGTATTTTCTCTGAACAACTGCGCCCGCAATGCCTGGCTTTCATGGTTCGAGAATCGAAAGGACACCAAGAGTACCTTGAGCTCTGCAGCTGACGCCCGGGGCATCCAGGTTACACCAGGTGCTCGCTGAACATACAGCAGTTCAAGGGGAAATCCACGTCGAATCCCGTGTTAGATCGGACTTTTGATTCCAAACGGCGTTTTGCGTGGGTGACGGCAACATGCTGGCCTGTCCGGTATCTCAAGGGAATAGACGCCTCGCAGATCTTATTTTTTTTCAGCGAGAAGGGTTTCTGGGGATGGGTAATTGAGGCAAGATTACTGGGAAAATCCAAAGGCCACCGGAAGTTGGGGAATACCTCTACGTGCCTTGTTCCCCCGGCAATGCCCTGCGGGTGCAAATTAGGCCTGTTACTTACAAGCAGAACGGCTCTGCAAGACAGGCATCTTAGCATACGCTTGGTTGAACGCCGGCTAAGCTGGGTAGGACAACCGCCTCTTGGACGGCAGAGCTTGCTGCCAGACTAACAGTAACCCCAGCAAGTATCAAGGCCATAAGTGTCCAGGTGATGCGCCGCGGCCGCCGCCATGGAGAATTCACCAGAAGGGCTGGTCTGAATGCGGAACAGGCTAGCGGAGTTCCAGCACGGGGTGGCGCCCACGTGAGGACAAGGGGTGGTGACGCCGTTGTTCGAGATCTGTGTTGCAGTGGTACGAGGAGGAAGGCGAGGAAGAGCAGCACCCAGCGAGGCCACGTAGCCAATGGTACAGATCGTTCGGTTGAGACCATACTACCGTGTGCGACCGCGATACTATGCAGCTCTCCGTCTCGCGAATGAGTACTGGTCATCCAAACTAATGCATCCTGCCGGGCGGTTTCGTAGGAGGGCAATCATGGATTTGAGTGAGATCAAACCAAGTCCCCGTTTTCATTGAAATTCACATTGAAAGCTCGTAGCTAAGACATAATGGGCGGTGTGGCAGGTCGGGATTTGCAAAACGGATTGTGCGTGCGTCTGCATGAGCTGGGGTCGATCCTGGTTAGCAAACTAGAAAAGTGATGACTTTATCCTCACGTCTCTCAACACAGAAAGCCTATGCCAGCTAGTTTGGCCAGGAGACCGGGGTGAAAGATTATGTCCAGAGCGCAGCCGGTGTCTAGTGTCGAGGAGTCGTCCAAACGCCTACATTGTCGCTGCAAGAAGCCGACAGGGACCCCGAGATTTGGCTGAGGCATCTGGGCCCGTACCGGCCGTAACGGGACCCGAAGCCCTGGCTTGGCGACCCGCGGGAATGTTAGCCAGACTGGCGGTGGGATCTCTTTCTCGGGAGATGGCAGACAGCACCAGTACTTCTGTAGCGGCCCGGCGACCCCCTGACACTGGGATACAGGCAATAGGATGCATTATGCTGTTACAATATATTAGCGAACTGACGACAAGTATCCGTAGAGAGAGGAAGAAGAGCACCAGCTGGCGCCTGTCCGTCGGCGCTGTCTGACGGCCTTCCCGCCTCGCCCAGACCTGCTGACTAATGACGGATAGCGCCGGCCTCGATCGGCGACAAGCCCCACAATCACCGCCAATCCCCGACCGCACGACATGGCGTTTTCGGCGGCGGCGTTTCTGACGTGAGAACTTCCCACCTACCTCATTCGTGTGAACTGACGACGTTCTGCAGTGCGGTCTGCCGTTCCTCACCTAAAACTTTGGGCTTAGTAGGATGAGACGCTGACTCAATTCGCAGCACACCCATATAACACTCAACCCTCTCTCCCCACCCACCCTCAAGCAGCTCTCATCCGACTGGGATAATCACATAGGTAGTGAGGGGCGGCATCTGATACACACACACACACATCCCACCTTCGTACCCCATCACCCCTGTCAACACTTCGTCATGGCCAAGCGCGTCTGCATCATCGGTATGGACCCCTGAAATCTCCGGAATTCCGGCTTCTGGCCCGATTTAAGCTTACCCCCTTTCTCTCTTCGTATAGGCGCAGGCCCGTCCGGCCTCGTCGCCGCCAAGACCCTCCTCCACAACGCCCCCGCTGGCGCCTTCACCGTGACTGTCTACGACGCCCAGCGCCGCATCGGCGGCCTGTGGCCCACACGCGCCAGCGACGCCGACGGCCTCGTCCACCCGCTCATGGCGGTCAACCAGAGCCGCCACACGGTGCAGTTCAGCGACCTAGCCTGGGCGCCCGAGGACCCCGAGTTCCCACGCGCCTGGATGATCGGCCGGTACCTCGAGCGGTACCTCGACCGCTACGGCCGCGGCGCCGAGGTGAAGCTGGGCCGCCGCGTCGTCAAGGCCGACCTGCAGGACGACGCGACGTGGCGCGTCACCGTCGAGCCATCCGAGGGCGCCGACGGTGAGGAGGAGACGCGCGCGTTCGACTACCTGCTCGTCTCGTCCGGGTTCTTCGGAAAGCCTCTCGTCCCGGACATCGGGGCCGGGGATGCAGCGGTCCCTGTGGTCCACAGTAGCAAGTACCGTGACCTGAAGCGGCTGTTTCCCGACGGCGTGCCGGACGGCGGCGGCAAGATCCTGGTCGTCGGGGGACAGATGTCGGGCGTCGAGCTTGCGGGCACCGTCGCGACGCAGATATCCGCCGCCGTCAACGCGCCGGGTCCGAGCCCGGTCCCGGGCGCCGACAAGCTCATCGTCGAGCACCTCGCACAGCGCCCTACGTGGGTGTTCCCCCTCCACTCCACACCCAAGGTAATCCTCGCCACTTGACCACAACCTCGTGCGCACATCACTGACCCAGTCCAACCGAAACAAAAAGCCCGGCTCAACCGCGGCTCCTTTCCTCCCCGTGGACTTCCCGTCCTACAACCTCAATAACCGTCCTCGACCCCTCACCAACAAACAAGGCCACATCACCCCCGACGCCGCGAAGGTGACCCACGGCTTCTTCGCGGCTTCACTCGGCCAGGACCAGTCCGAGTTCTCCCCCGCCGTCGCCGTCACCCCGGACCACCACTCCGAGCCAGCGTACCTCGCCATGAGCGAGAACTACCTGGAATTCGTCCGCGCCGGCCTCATCTCCGTCTCCAAAGGCAAGCTCGCCTCCGTCGCCGGCACCACGGCGACACTCGTGGACCCCTCGTCCCCCAAGATCGAAAACGTTGCCGCCGTCATCCTGGCAACCGGCTTCGATCCCTCCCCTTGCCTCTCCTTCCTCCCGTCCCGGGTCCTCGAAGCTTTGGACTACTCCCCGCAGCACCCAAGCTTGCCCCTCGCCCTCGCCTTCCACGGCACCCACGTCAAGGACTTCCCCTCTCTCGGTTTCGTCGGCTTCTACCGCTCGCCCTACTGGGGCGTCATGGAGATGCAGGCTCGTTTCTTTGCCGCCCTCTGGACACCCTCTTCCCTCGCCCCGCGACCTCCGAAGCTCTCTGACGCGCTCCTCTCCGAAGCGTCGGACTGGAGCACCGCGTCCCTCCGCGACGACCCGCGCCTCTCCCAGTTCCCGATGGGCGACTACGCCTACCTGATGCAGGAGTTCTCCTCCGCCCTCGACATCCCCATCACCCCGCCCCTCGAGCCTCCCACCCCCGTCCTCCCGCACAACAACAAGCCAATGGACATCCTCACGCCGGCGCGCTACATCTCACCCCTCGCCGACGAGGCCGCCAAAGCCGAAGCCGCAAAGTCGCTCCAACAAACTCACTCCACCGCTGTCGCGGGCCTGACCACGGGGCGCTTCGTCCCCAAGGCCGTTTTCCGCAGCCTCCTGGGCACATGGAAGCTCGAACGTGACCTGACCAGCAGGCTCCCCAGCCACCCGAGCGGCCACTTCAGCGGAACGGCCCAGTTCCTCCTCCGCGACAGGACCGCCGACGGGCTCAAGTGCGTCTCGGGCTCTGCCCCCGCGGACAAGACATCGACCGCCGATGATGACGATGACGGTCTGGCCGCGGAGTACCTTTACGTAGAGGACGGCGAGTTCCGTGCCGACAACGGGCTCGTTTTCAGAGCCACGCGTCGCTATGTCTGGCGGTATGACGAAAGGAAGGATGTTGTGAGCGTCTGGTTCGCCAAGACGGATGACCCCAAGCGGGCGGACTACCTCTTCCATGAGATCGACTTCCTCCCGCCTCCAGACGGAGACCAGAAGCCATGGCAGGCCAAGGCGGGCCATCTCTGCATCGACGATTTCTATGACGTCAAATACGAGTTCGCTTTCAAGGCTGTCAATCTCAAAGAGTGGGATATCCAGTACACGGTGAACGGGCCCAAGAAGGATTACACGATACATGGCATCTATAGACGTTAAAATGCAGTCAGAGAATACGGATAAACTGAACAACCGAGACGTCCACGCTCTAGGGAGCCCGGTTTCTGTGTCAAGACATAAGAAGTTGATAAAAGGTACGGGGGTCAGGTTGGTCTGTAGGGTGTTATGGACTATTGGTACGTGTAATCATTCTTGTAGGTTCTGCTTATGCATACTTTTCTTCCATCCATTACCCTTTCAGTGGGCTCTTTTTCTTCAGCGAAGGTCAACATCTAACCTCGCCACACCCTGTATGTTCTCGAGGAACCCCGCTCTCACAACATCGTCCTCTGTTCCACGTGTCGTCAAGCGACAATACCTGTACGAAAGAGGACGGGCCGGAGACGGACAGGCAATCCCAGTCGCGACCTCACCATCTAATGTCAACGGCCTTGCTGCAGTCGGCGAAATGCCTTCCGCCTGAAGATTCAAACCCGCATCGTCCATGAAAACATCTCCGTCCCCATCCATCGCTCGCATGCTTCCATCTCTTAAAACTGTGCTTCGTCGCACTCCTTTCGTGTTCCCGGTGTTGAGTGCCCAGCAACGAGCCGAACCATCTCCACTAAATGCCCAGACCAGCATATCAGGACCTGTGTCTAATGCGAGATCAACGAGGCCGGAGCAAACGGCAACAGGCTGTCCGTGAACATCAATGGGATACGATGGCCCGGAGCGTTGGAGGTATGGCGTCTCGGGGCCACTAAAATGGGTCACAGCGGCATCTTGACGTCCAGGTATTGGCCACCACGCAACCCAGTCTGGCATTGGGCGATCAAGCATGTCAGCCAGGTTGGCGAAGCGGGAGATATCTTTGAACATATCCGGGGGTAAAGTGTAAAAGACCAGGAGCTGTTTTTCCGACTGGAAACCAAGCTGGTCCACCCATCGTGCTATGGGGAACACGGCGGCAATTCTGACTCCGTTGGCCAGGTTGGCTCCCACAGCGCACAGGGTTGGAGCATTCGAGCAAGCCGTGGGAGGTGGGCAAAACTGCACCTTTCTCTGGAGACGAGTCATCGACCCGATCGGCGAATCAGCGCCCAGGCACAAGTATCCGGTCCTTGGGTCCGTGAAGAGGATATGAGAGCCGTCGCTCAGGGGCACGGCCCTGTAGCTGTCCACAGCAGTGGACCTATGTCTAGGAAGCCTTCGCTCCCACCCCCTCCAGGTTGTCTTGCGGAATGGCGGAGGGCTGATTGAGGCACTCAGTTGCTGTTCTGTGATTGTGTAGACACTCGATGTGTCTGTTTCGGAGGCAGCAGCGGATGTCTCAAGACGCGAGATGACAGCCGGGACTTCTGGAGGATATCCGCCAAAACTTCCGCCCAGCGCCCCCAGTATTAGATGCATCGAGCTCGAGCTGCAGTCCGCTGCCGCTGCTGAGCTAATGAGTCGAAGCTTCTTGGCTGAGTCAACTGCCGGCCGGGGCGGGAGAAAGTAGACAAAGTCGCTGCGGGTGGACAGCGGGAAGCGGCGGACCAGATCTCGGTTGGTTTGGCTGTCAACCCAGTGCAGTTCGACAGCAGACGAGGAGCCAAAAGCGACGCAAAAACGTTGGGGGCAAATGGCAACCGAGCGTGGCGGGTTGTCGGCCGTGCAAATATTTCGATAGATGGATCTGGGTCCTGTCTCGATAGGAGGCGGCAGTGAAGGTGACCGCCCGCGACAGACGCACAATTGAGAGCTTTCCTTCAAGCAAGCGTTAGCTCATGGACTGAAGTGTTTGGATGATGTTGTAGTCACCTCTTTTCCTGGCATCAGACCTGTGGTGTCACAGACGAAGCCGTTTCGGCCGTCGAGAACGGCGGCGATAGAGTAGCGTCCCCAAGATGTGTCCATGGCACAGGAGAGAACTCTATACGGGCACAGTATGGTTGAAACGGGGCGCAGAAGCCCCTTGTGGCGTTGTGATGTCTCTTTCTATGAAGACATTGGCCACCTGGGAGACTTGGTGTTTTTGCATCGATGGTTCAGCTCGTAAACATAGATGGTGCAACCGTAGCTGGCCATTAGGAAGCGGCCGCACATACTTGCGGTGTATTTGGCATCGTCATCGATCCCGGGTGTCGAAGCATCAGATCTGAAGTCGATGAATTGCGTCTGACTGACTTCGACAAAGGCAGGTTCGGGGCCGCGATGACCGAGGCCCAACGTACACTCTCTGGCGAGCCACTTGGACATAATCCACTCTTGGTTCGGATCCTGATCGTGGGTCTCAAGCATGGGCTTGTTTTGCTCCACATCGATGATAGTGTTGATGCTGGACCACCATCCCCCTCGCTTGAGCATAGTGACGAGAATAGTGCGACTCAAGCCCGCACAGAACCAGGGTCGGCAGGTGTGGCGTGCAGCATTGAAATCATATGGGTCGAGAAGATCGTAGATGTAGTGCAGGATCTCGACTGGGAGGCGCATTGCCGCCGGGACCAGCTGTGATGCATGATTATCATGACCGAAATGCACGACATCGTCGGGGTGAGCTTTCATGGCGACAACGGACCGAAGAATGTGAGATAACATGGGGAAATGATGAAGAGAATGATGTATCCAATGGCTGGATTGCAAAGAGAGTGCCCCGGGACCGGAAACTGTTCTCCAGCACTGGTTATGACGATGTCGGTGATGGCGCCAATGCAAATGCCAACGTGTATATCGAACGGACGTGGCAGATGGATGGAATGGTGGGGAGAAGATGCCGGAGTCGATGTTCAAGGGGAAGAGGAATTGCGCGGGAGGTCACGTATCCTACCAACCTCTTTCCCCGAAAGGACTCGCTGCTTATGTATAATTGAATAAGTCCCTACCTAACTAGCTAGGCAGGTAGGTATGTCGACTGGAACATCAAGCACTGCAGTGCCATGTTCTGGAAAGAATGCAACGAGGTAGCGATTGCCCACTTCCGGCTTGAGGGGGCGGGGGGGGGGCCTTCTCGAAGCATTGAGCGGGTGTTTAAACGACCAAAAAATGGGTGGATTGGTGAAGTCAATGGGAGGCATGCAAATTAATAGCGACGAGGAGCAGTATGGGTGCTCCCCTTCATAGGCTGGATATTCTGGCAATATTACCATCCAACATGGTCGGTTAGCTCAGTTGGTTAGAGCGTGGTACTAATATTTCACCTGAAATGTTGTGTAATGCCAAGGCCGGGAGTTCAAGCCTCCCACTGATCATCTTTTTTTCTGTCGTTCAACAGAGTCAATCCTTAGAAGCACTTCCAGCCCTGTTTAGGTAGGTAGTAAGTAAGTAAGTATACAGCGTGCACTACATCCAAAGGGTCAACTCAGATATGTGACCAGTTGCTGTCTGATGATTTTACCTTGCTTGTGACGGGGTTGCCATGTGATATATAGCATTGTTCATTGCCGATGCCTGCGTAAGCCGGCCCGGCCCCGTTACGAAGTTCCCGAACCCCCTGTACTTTCCGTCCGAGTCGCTTTTCAGCCTGGCCTAGTCCGTCTGGGAGTCCGAGATCGCATGCGGCTTGCAAGGAGCGAGATGTGACATGGAGAGAGAGGACGAGTAAGCGTTTTAGACCCTTGTTGGACACCAACCCGTCGAACGGCCCTGGAAGCGGGACAAGATAGGTAATTAGCAGTGCGAGCGGCGGGGGACCCAAGTCGCGAGCTCCGACTCTTGACCAATCCCCAGTCCGACCCCGGCTCCGCCTTAGTCTGCCTGCCTGCCTGCATGCAGCGATAGCCAACCACGCCTGTGCAGATCCATGGTCACCGCTCTCCGGCCGGAACATCATCTTCACCCGCGATGCCTAGAGTGTGTTTAGTCACCGTTTGGGCACCAGTGGAGACGAGAAAAAAGTGCAGGTTATCGCTTGCCCAAAGGACGAGAAGCGCCTCGCTCCACCCATTTGCATTGACGCTTGACCTTTGACTTCTCACGCATCCGCCGTCGAGCGTTCACTCGCGCCGTCTCGGCTTATCTCGCAGTCTATCATCGAGCCCGCCCTTTGACGGATGTGCAATATCCTCCTCCCTATCACCTGCATCTGCATCCCGTCAGCTACGCTAGGTACCAGAGCGGCGTATGGATCCCAAGCCACCTGGGCCTCGAAAACCCCTCTTATTAACCTCTGCCCGGTTTGCGGGCGTGATTTGAAGTGGATTACCGAGCACACGCGCGTGAGATTCGGATAGCCGAATGGTACGCCTGGACACCGAGAGATCGCTCACTGATAAGACGGCGCTGGACGGCCCCCACTTGGACCACCGGGAATAAGACGTGTTCTGCAAGCGAGAAAACAAGAAAAACAAGGACTGCTCCGCCCATCCCCGAAACTCATTTTGTTTCCTTGCCCCGTCCAAGCAGCGCTCCCACTTGCCGGATCTTTCCGCGGCGGGAATGCCTCGGACGGTGGCCACGTACAGGTCTGCTGGCGGTCGGAATCGAGTGTTCTTGCGCCGCCTCGAGGTACAATCGCAGCGGAAGAGAAACGAAGGGACAGCTGGGCGAAAGAGGAACAAACGTGTTTGGGCTAAAAACGCAATCTCTTCGACCGGCGCGCGTGGGACCCCTCCCGGCCGGAAGGCCCGCAGGGGACCCACAAGGTCCGCCGGCTTCTGCGGGTCCGTGCGTTCCGGACGAAAAGGGAGCTAGCTCGGCTAAGGTAGTGAGTGTAAAGGCTACTTGGTTCCCGGACGAAAGGGAGCTCGGTTCGCCGGACAGGCAGCCGACGCAGGCAGCGGCATCCCTCCTATTCGATCCCGACGGGGGGGCAGAGGCGCAGGGTTGTTTCGATAACAAAGAAGAAGGGATGATTGCCAAAGCGTTGTTTGTTGAAAGATACGGAAAGGGGTAGAAACCACAGCCCCCACGACCCGTCACCGTCCTCGTGTACAGAGAGACAGAGAGGAATTCGGGGACTGATGAATGATGTATTTGGATTTATTGCTGCCCAGCGGAGAAATCATGGAAAACTTGTGGGCTGAGGAAAGAGTGGAGAAAATAGAGAAAAAAACATTACGACAGCCCGAACTCATGCCGAGATTTCTCCCCCATACCTTTCAGCCCTGAGGGCCTGGCGAGAACGCACCCAGGGCCCCTGGCTGAACAGGAATTCCAAGAGACTAGGTACTGTGTAAAGTCATTTCCTCTTATTCCCAGACCCGCCCGTCGGAGCTGTGCGCCCTCATGATCGCATAATCGCTCCTTTCTTCTCTCTCCGGCAACCCAATGACAAGCCCGGGCAGAGCCTCAAGACTCGGCAGGCAACAAGGGTTAGGTCAAAGTCGGCGTTCGTCGTAAACGCGCCTCCGACCCCCCCCCCCCCCCCACGCGTCCCGACCTCGTGGCTCTGGAATACCCCCAACGTTGCACGTGCCGCTGCAAGCTTCCGTGGTACTCCAAATGACCAAGAGAAGAAGGCGAAAAAAAAGAAGAGGAAAGATGAAATAAGAGATAGGAAAATAAGCCGCATTACCGCCCCTTTCCCACATTACATCGTTTTCGTTTGTTGTCGGCCATTATTACTCAGTGTCGCTGCTGGGACGTTCGCGGTTTACGAGAAACGGAAACCCCTGCCAGCCCAACCCTCCAATCCACTAATCGGCATCGTGGCGAATTTGAAAACCAATGTCACCAAGGATTAGAGATTCCACTAGAAACCCCTGGCCCTGTGTAGCAGGTCATGGCATATCATCTACTATGTACGTACATAGTGTAGGTATCTTGAGAGATAATGGTATCCGTACATTGGTCCAAAAAATCGGACGGGAAAGGCGGGTCCGCCCGCGAGATGGTGGGTACCCCGAATGCCGCGCCGATTTTCCCACCCATAGACCGAGTTGCGACCGGGTTCCAAGGGGGTCCTGTTTGTGTAGTGTTGCTACGGTACCTTGGTATTTTAGCAAACAATAAAAAAAAACAGGCCCTGCGAGTTGACTTGGTTTCCTTTTTCGCCCGTTGATGGGGACGAGTATAAAGGCAGGGTGGCGCCCTCCCCCTCCTGCAGAATGAGGAACTGACTTAAGATCCTATTCCTGTTCCTTGACCTTCATGCTTACCATTACCCCCGGGCTCGAACCCCCAACTCTTTTCACTCATTCTACAGTCTACTTGTTTGTAGTACTTCACCTGTTCAGGGGGGGACTGCGTTCCTACTAGACCAAAGCCTGGCATTCGTTGCCCAACAACACATACACACACACACACACACACACACACACAACTCACCCAAGATGGACAATCTATCACCAAAATCCTCCCACACTCTCCCACCGGGCTCCCCCTCCCACCCGGACAGCGCGCCGACAGGACGACGGTATGCCCCCATCACAACAACCGTCACACGCCCCGTCGCGACCAAGGAGCAGATGGACCCGGAGCTCGACGTCAACCTCCCCTACCGCACCCTCTCGGCCAATGCCAATCTCGACGAGTACCGCGTCGAGACCAGCGCCGGCGAGATCCCCGTCACGGGCCCCTCGGCCGCTGCCGGCGGCAACTACAAGCTCGTCACCTTCGTCCCCAATGACCCCGACAACCCCAAGAACTGGTCCAAGGCCTACAAGTGGTACTGCACCATGGTCGTCGCCATGACCTGCTTCGTTGTCGCCTTCTGCTCATCCGTCATCACCGCCGACATCGCCGGCGTCGCTGAAGAGTTCCACATCTCCGAGGAGGCCGCCCTTCTCTCCATAACCGTCTTCGTCATCGGCTTCGGCGTCGGGCCCATGGCCTTCGCGCCCCTCTCCGAAATCTTCGGTCGCCAGATCATCTACGCCTCCACCCTGCTGGTCGCCGTCGTCTTCATCATCCCTTGCGCCCTCGCCAAGAACCTCGCCACCCTCCTCGTCTGCCGCGCCATCGATGGCATCGCCTTCTCCGCCCCCATGACCCTCGTCGGCGGCACCCTCGCTGACCTCTGGCGCAACGAGGAGCGCGGCGTCCCCATGGCCGCCTTCTCCGCCGCTCCCTTCATCGGTCCCGCCATCGGCCCCCTCGTCGGCGGCTTCCTCTCCGATGCCACAAATTGGAGGTGGCTTTACTGGATTCAGTTGATTCTTTCCTTCGTCGTCTGGGTCCTCATCTCCTTCACCGTCCGCGAGACCTACGCGCCCACCATCCTCGCCCGCCGAGCCAAGAAGATGCGCAAGGAGACCGGCGACCCGTCCCACGTCACCGAGCAGGACATCGACATGCGACCCCTCAGCGAGCGCCTCGGAATCTTCCTCATCCGCCCCTTCCAGCTTCTCTTCCGCGAGCTCATCGTCTTCCTCATCTCCATCTACATGTCCGTCCTGTACGGCTTGCTATACATGTTCTTCGTCGCCTTCCCCATCATCTACCAGAAGCGCAAGGGCTACTCGGCCTCCACGACCGGTCTCATGTTTATTCCCCTCGCCGTCGGCGTTCTCTGCTCGGCCGCCTGCTCTCCCTGGGTGAACAAGCACTACCTCAAGTTGGTCGCAAAGCACAACGGCCACCCGCCCGCTGAGACCCGCCTTATCCCCATGATGGTGAGCTGCTGGTGCATCCCCATCGGCCTGTTCATCTTCGCCTGGACCTCCCTTCCGCACCTGCACTGGGCAGGTCCCGCCCTCGGCGGTTTCCCTGTAGGCTTCGGCTTCATCTTCCTTTACAACTCGGCCAACAACTATCTCGTCGACTCCTACCAGCACCAGGCCGCATCCGCACTCGCGGCCAAGACTTGTATCCGTTCCTTCTGGGGCGCCGCCGTCGTCCTCTTCACCGAGCAGATGTACGACCGCCTCGGCGATCAGTGGGCATCAACCCTCCTTGCCTTCATCGGCCTGGCGTGTTGCGCTATCCCCTTCCTCTTCTGGGTCTACGGAGCCCGGATCCGTGCTAGAAGCAAGTACGCCTACTCCTCCGACGACGAGGAGACTTCTGGGTCGGATGTCGAGAAGGCCAAGCCTCAGAACGTTCTGTCGCCCACTCGTACCTTTGAGCCCGCGTAAGCGACTCGTGGCGAGCATTGAACAATGTCAAAACCCTTCACAAGGCTGTTATTGAACAGTTGAATATTGCAGCTATGCGTTTAGTTAGGTCTGGATTTTCGGTTACGTTTGGTTCATTTGGCGTAACAGGTTGGTGTTGGACGGTGAATATACGGGCTAGACGTACTACGACATAGATGCATAGAGACAGAGAACGGCAGGTGCCGTAATTAATTCTAAACCATGTTCAAAACATCATTCAGCCTCTACTGGCGCATTGGCTGCTTGTTGATACACACCTTGATGACTGCGAGCTCGCGGGAATGTAGTAAATCGTCTATTCTTCGTGAGTCGTGATGCGTAACTATCTATCTCGTCGTTTCAGGGAGCAGTAGGGTGGGTATCCATCAACCTGTAGGCGAGTCCTCCGTTTGCGCCATTTGCCGTGATGCAGGCCCGGGGTTCTTAGACAATACGCACCGGGAGCGAATCTCTGCGCGAGAGGGTGATTTCGTCTTTGACCAGAGAGTTGGAGCACTTGCGTCCGAGCATGAAGTCCTCGAGGTTGCGGAAGGTGCATTCAGAGATCTCCTGCAGGGCTTCCTCGGTGAAGAAGCCCTGGTGGCCGCATATCAGAACGTTGGGGAAGGTCATGAGGCGGGTGAGCAGGTCATCGTCGATGATGTGGCCCGAATGATCGTTGTAAAAGAGATCACCCTCGCCTTCGTACACATCAAGGGCCAGGCCGCCGAGATGCTTAGTCTTGAGGGCGTGGACGACGGCCTTTGTGTCAATGAGACCGCCTCGGGAGGTGTTGACCAATATAGAGCCGGGCTTCATCTGCTTGAGGGTCTTTTCGTTGATGATGTGCTTCGTCTTCTCCATCAAAGGGCAGTGCAAGCTGATGAAGTCGCACTTGGGAAGAAGCTCTTCCAAGGGGAGGTATTCGCCGAGCTTCTTGAAGTCGTCCGACTCGAACGGGTCAAAAGCGTAGAGGGTGCAGCCGAAGCCCTTCATGATGCGGGCCATGGACACACCAATCCTTCCGGTGCCGATAATGCCCACTGTCTTGCCATGCACCGTTTTTCCGAGGAGACCATCAAGGTTGAAGTTGCCTTCGCGGGTGCGGTTGTAGGCTCTGTGAGTGCGTCGGTTAAGGGATTGCAGCAGGGCGACAGCGAACTCTGCGACAGCCTCGGGGGAGTACGAGGGGACGTTGGCGACAAAGAGTCCCAGTTTCTCGGCAGTCTTAATGTCGACGTTGTTGAAACCGGCGCAGCGCAGTAAAATGGCCTTGCAGCCAGCCTTGTGCAGTGCCTCGATGACGTCGGCAGTGAGGGAGTCGTTGACGAAGACGCAGACGGCGTCTACATCCTTGACGAGGGAGACGGTCTCGGAGCATAGGGAGAAGTCGTGGTAGAGTATGCCAAAGTCAGTGTTGTCGTCGGCGAGCTTTGCGTTGTGCTTCTTGAACTCGTCCTTCCTGGCCTCGTATGCGGCGGAGATGTACTTCTTGTCGTAGGGCTTAGCGCTGAAGACGGCGAGCTTCATGGTAGGTAGGGTCTTGAACGTGATATCGAGGCAATGAAGTAATTGATGCAGAGATGGAACGGAGCGCTGTGATGGTCGTGCCGGGTGGTCAAGTATTCATATGTTGAGGTAGGTGAGGGGTTTATGATGGGAAGGGGAGGGACCTGGAGGATTCGGGAGAAGAAGACACCTCAAGAGGCCTGGCCAAGGCTCGGCTCCCCTCTTTGCCTGATGTGACGCGGTTGGTTCTTTCCCTCTACGATTCGGATGCCAATGGCAGTTAATGTGCGCGTGTCAGCATCTGGCAGATGCCAAATCCGGCATCCTGGTTCGCAAGCATTCAAAAATGACGTGGACTGGCTCAGCTGGGGTACCTGATATATGGTAGGTCCAGGTATGTACCTAGTACCTACCTGGGTAGTAGTGGGGGTACCTGGGTACGACCTAGCTAGTCCAAGAGCTACCCCGCCATGTGCTTCCCTCTGGAGCTCCACCACCAAACCACCCCAAGGACGAGCTGTCAGAGGAGAAAGTGCCCCGCAGGTGCTGGTGCCCGCAACGAGGAACCCAAGGCCCTAGGAAGAAATCGATGGTGCTCAAATGGTATAGTGCTCGCTATTGTTCCCCGCTACCCATCCCACCGGCCCGACAAAACACGTCCTGTTCCCATATGCACACGTAAAGTAAGGGTGATCGATATCTACAAGCGGCACCATGCCCAATCGTCTTGGCCATTCTCCCGTTCTACCGGTTGTTGCTTTCCGCCTGTTGCCGCCAGATATGTGTATCGCCGAGGCTCATCGAGCTGTCGGATGCTGCCGACGTCGTATTTGCAGGCCGCCGGGGCCTTTCCGTATCGGGTCCACTTTCCTCGTCATCTTCCTCGTCCTCTTGGAATGAAGGAGGATCCTGATAGATCCAGGGCCCTTCGAGACTGTAAATCCGTTAGCAACAAAACTTTCCAGTTCGTGAATGGCGGCTAAGCATACCGTGAAGTCAGGCTGGGATTCACAAACGTCATGCCCTTCTCCTTGTCCTCGTCGATCGTACTGCCCCGTCTCAACAGACCCTGTGTTGGCCTGGGCCCCTCGAATTCCTCATCCAGCACGGCCTCGTCATCCACATAGATCTCAGCTCGTATACTCCGCAGCGATATGTACCGCGTCAGGGGATCGAAGCGCCGCTGGAAGTAGACGCTATACCAGATTGTAAAGGCAACAAGCGGCAGGACAGCCACAGCTTGCACGAAAGCCAGCTGCAAGGCCATGATGCTGGACAGCACAACCTGCGTGATGAAAAGACCGAGTACGATCCGGTAGCTGATGATCCGCCATGCACCACCCGTCGCGTGTTGTGGCTGGTCCATGGCGTACAGGAGCTGGTACTTGTACGTGAAGTAGCCGAGGATGAAGTACACGATGCCCACCGTCAGGATCCGATACCCGTATTCAAGAGTGCTGTACACGAGACATAGCATGAAGACGAGCAGCGCCGTGGGGAGATAGAAGCCGTAGCTGAAAACCGTCGGCCGCATGATCTCGGCGAAGTCCCTAGGCGTCTTGGCCCCCATGCGATAGATCGGATAGAGCACGACGCTGCCAACCTGCAGAAGCCTGAAGGGAAACAGACCAACACCTTGGAGCAAGATGAAGTTGGTGTAGAAAACGGCCAACCCCCGGATCTGCTCGGCAATCGTGTTCGTCAACGTCGCCGGGCTACTCCATACGTCTTTGATCTGCTTGAACAGACTGTTGACGGTGAATGCCGCATTCGAAGTAGCAAAGACGACAAAAATGTTGAAGAACGTGAAGAAGAAATTTTTGGACACGATTGAGAGCTCCACATCGCCCTTGGAAATCATGCCTTGCTCGTACGAGAGGTACTCGTAGAGATACGGCACAGCGACGTTGAGCAACGAGACGAGGAGCGTTGGCAAGCCTGTCTCAATCAACGCACGCAACGTCGGCCATTCGTCCAAGAACGCAACCAGTGACGGGAACCACGTTCTGAAGTTGCAAATGCTCAGTAGACTGGCGATGGAGGCAACGATTGCCAACCATACAACCGAGAGGAAGGCGACGAAAATAGTGATGGTCCAAGACCGAAGGCGCCGTACTCCGCGAGGCGTGTATGTATTGGCCCACATGACATCCGATGGCGACGGCGCGGGCTTGGTCAGGAGCTGTCCCGGTCGTGGGTCAATGCGAGCCTGGATCGCCATTTGACATGCAGCAATCGAATCCATGGTGACAAAAGCTAGATCGGTCGCTGCGTAGTCCTTCTTTCTGGCGTCGCGAATCTTTTCATCGAGCCGGCGTAGCTTCTCCTCGTAGTAGTCGATGGCATCTACCTTGCGGTTCTGGAGTTTCAGGAAGCCATACCAGATCCTTACCTTAGGACGAGGTCTCTCGACCAACTCAGGGTTGATATGGTTGTGACCCAGCAAGCCGCCGTTCTCACCAGCCTCCTCGTCAACTTCATCCTCCCTAGGCTCCAGGACGGACGGTTCAGCTTGGGGGTCGCGTAAGCGCTGCACAGACTTTGGAAGAGCAGCCTGTTTTCCAAGGTAGACACTCCAAGTTTCCTCCAACTGGGCCAGCACCCGCGCCCGTTGCTCGACCAAGGAATCGAGTTCTCTCCAGTCTCGGCACAAACTAACGTTTTCCACCTGCCCAATCTCGAGCTTTTCGATGAGCGTCTTAAGCTTGTCTTCGGAGCGCAGGCTCTGCGGAATACCCGTTAAACGGAATGTTCGATCCGTGATGGTAGACTGGGTTCCTAGGTACTCTTGACGGATATGTATCACTCTGAAAGTGGCCTTGTTCAAGATGTAGAGAACAAGGCCCGTGAAGAAGTAGACAAACACCAGGTATGCCCAGAGACCGTCGTTTTCGCTGTCGAAGCTCTTGTCGCCATCGTCGGATTTATCTTTACGCTTCTTGACTGGGAACTTGAGGTTGACGGGTAGCAGAACAACGTAGGCGAAAAAAGCCAAGATGGCGAGGGTCCGGATTGCCATCTTGAAGAAAGAAAGGAACTATGCTGGTTAGTGAAGCCCACTCGATCGGCAGGGAAGCTTTCAACTTACGACAAAGGCGTCGAGGCCAGCAGAGGCGAGAACCTGTTCCTCCGTTACGCGATACAGCGCAGGCATCCATCCGAAGAAGGTATTCGGCAGGGCGGGCAAGCCGATACTGGGATCAAGTCGGCGCTTGCGCGCGGCGTACAAGGTCGGCCATCGCGGACGCAATATGCAGAAGGCGACAAAGGCCGAGATGCCAAGGATCAGGGATAGGCCGAGCTGGACGTAGACATCACGGTTGGTAGTAGGTTTGATGGCGTTTTCGCCTTTGCAGAGTTCAGACTCGGGTTCGAAGATTAGTGCGTCCATTTCGAGTGCAGCATGTCTTTGGACTGCGGTCCGGTGAGTGTGAAGCGACTGGTGTTGGGTCGCGAGCCGTTGTTTTCGACCCGAAGATGCGACGCGACAAGACTTGAAGGGGGGTTGAGCTCCAGGTACACTACATGCACGAGGCTGGTCTCCACTTTCATCCGAACCTGTGACGTGATGATGCGTGGACGCTGCGACTGAAGATTGCACCGCCACATATAGAAGCTGTGGCTGGAGTCGTCCAGCCACATAGCCTCAATGTTGCTTACCAGAAAACCCCTGCTGAACTGTCACTGTGAAATGCATGGTGTCAGTACTCAGTAGTCAACCCCAACCTGTAATAGTCGCTTATTAATGCTCTTGAGTCTTATTTTTAGCACTTTCTGTAGGCGGCGATGGACAAGCTCGACAAGAATTAGCAACCTGATTCACTGGCTGAAGATTATCCAAACGGGCCACTTATCCCGTGTCCTGATACCGTTGTCGGTCGGTAACTCAACTACCAGTGTACCGACAATGACCCACTTCCCGGTGTTATTGCTTCGGGCCGTGACGGAGGATGCACGCTGCGGTCACAAGACCCTCAGCTGGAGAGGACTTCCAGGTGCAAGCCACGTGCACTTCTCACGCTTATCCTCGCTTGAGGCGGCGCTGCCATAGTGGAGCAAGTCTAGGAGTACCTAGGACTGAACACACGTGAAATGGCCTTGCAGCAACAGGAATAACACAGCCACCGAGCGCTCTGGCCCGGGCGTACAGCTGAGATACAGACAAGGGAGTTCGCCGAAAGGCTTCGCCGTGAGACAGCTCAGCCTCTGCCAGAAACCGTGGATGGGATAGAGAGCATCATGAAATTGATCTCCCGTGGGCTGTTTACAAATAGCAACGACACCTCGGACTGCGAGGTTAAGACGATCGGGAAATTCCGCCTTGTATGCGTAGAGTTCTGGGACATCATGTATACCCATCGAAAACTCGTGCACTGACGAGTGATAGTTTCGTAGTTGTGCCTATGTTATCTAGTATCATCAATGATTAGTAGAGGGTGGTGGATGCCGACGGTGTCATCGAATGTTGGGTCGAGAGCACTGCTTTTCGAGGTCAGGAGGTTGGACACAAAAGATCAAAGTAGCCGCCCTCAGTGGCTGGCTGCATCGACTTGCTCAAAGCCACTCACTGGCCGCCCCTGTCCCCGTTTGCAGTTGGATTGACTGGATAGATATGACGCCCTCCACACACAAAGGCCAAAGTCGAGCGGGAAACGACGATGGGAACCATTCCCACATGTGCATCGGCAGATCCGGGGTCTGCAAAGAACAACCTTCTTCGAGCCTCGGTCGGGAACAAGCTACAGTAGCACAGTGCGGGCGGACTAACACGCCGTTCCAAGGAGACCGAGCCAAAACAATGCGCATACCTCTCTACCTATCTGGTGCCAAATTACGGCCCCGGCAAGGGACGAGTAGCAGGAAACGCGCGGGCATCTCAGGTGGAAGAGGCAGGGAGCAAAAGCGGGGAGGAGGCTTCCAGCCAAGTCGCTCTGGGCCGAACCTTGCGCGTCGATGAACTTTGCTGAAGTCTTGGTGTGGCTATCGTCTTTGTTATCGACGGGTCTGGATTGGGCTTTGCCGGCGTCAATCAGCCTGCCTTCGGCGGGCACCTCCTTCTTCCTCCTCTTGTTCATATTTATCGCCTGCTCTTCAAAAGCGCAGCAATGTCCGAGGGGATGACAGGAGCATTCCTAAACATATTACCGTAGCTGCGCATGTATGCTCGGCCTCATCCTGTCTTGACTGGTCTTACTGTTGTTGCGTTCTTAGCTTATTTCCTGCCGAGCAGGACCCTCCTTCCCTGCCACTTTCCATTCCGTCGCGTCCCTCCTTCCCGGCCACATTTCATTCCATTCCTCCTCCCCCGCCGTGCCCGTCCTGAATTCATTACCAGCACCCTGGGATGAACAGTACATAGACAGTACATCCCAGTCTTGTCTTAATCTGTCCAAGGACGTGGTTCTCGGAGGTTTATGGTAGGATTTTCTTTTTTTCCCACTGTTTTTCTTCCTCTTTTTTTTCGGGGTGTTTTTTTTCGCCTTCTGCGTCACGGCTTGCGTCGGCCCACACAACCAACTTCCCAATCAATCCAGTCAATCGGTCAATTACTCGGGCAGGTAAGCACATCAGCAAAAGAGGAAGAAAAGAAAAGAAAAATAAGGAAAAGAAGCGAAGAAGAAAAAACAATTGTGCCGTTTGCGTTCCCGCCCCGGATTCGCTTCGCCAATTGAACCACTCAAATCGACAATTTCCAATCTCCAATCCGCTGCTCCATCATCGAACCCCTCCATGCCCCTCACTTGCACCAACTGACTTCCCAACTACCTCAACGATCGACCGCCATTGAGCAATCGGGGCGTGCTACATACAGGCCAAATGGCCGACGCAGCAGTGACTGTTGGCCGTACAGGCGACTACGTCCTTATTTCTAAGCCCAAGAAGGGCATTGCCTACGTCGAAGCCCGATTCAAAGAAGACAAGATCGTATGTGATGCTCTTGCGAAGCTCCGAATCACGAGCGTCTTCCCCATCCTGTCGACACCCCGCTCACACGTCAGATAATCAGCCCTCGCACACCGACAGGGGCTGCCAACTGGTTCGTATTTCTCCAATGCCATCACAATAGCCTCATGGTCTAACCTTCATCAGCTCCTCTCCAGGCTCGAACAAGAATGGAGTCCGCCCAAGCTCAGAGACGACACCGTCATCTCCCTTGAAACAGACCTTTTGAAAGAACCCGTTTGCAAGTATTGCCTATTTACACGTGGCGTCACACCATGCTGACCAATTCCTAGTCCATAAAGGTGTTCCCGGCGACATGTTCCATTCTCTCCGCGTTGTCGAGTTTCAGGGTCTTGACCCGACTACCCGGGTCGTCTCCATTCGCGATGTTGCTATCAAAGTCAACCTGTACGGTCGCACCCCGGAGTCGCCATCATCGTCTGATGATGAGATTGTGACCATGCTGCCCAACTCCACACTCGACGGCCTCTGGGAACTGTGAGAATACCTGATCCTCTTACATGCTTAAAACATTTCTAACCGACTCAACCTTTTAGATGTTGATCCTGACCCCATCACAGCCTGGTTATTGACCATGCTGTTCAACCTCAGCTTTTCTATCTGATGCACAGTCTCGGCGAAGCTGGCCCGCGATGACTTGACACGGAGGCGCTTAGGGATGTATCTGCGGCGACGCTCTTCTCCATGATCTGATGCCAAAAGAAGCAGGAGACGACACCCCTGGCTCCCGCAATATTGGTCTAGCAAGCCATATTGGAGATATTGCCTCTGCTCGGCGCTTCCTCAACGTCATCGCCAATGCCAAAACGCGTCACATGCACCACCAGTCGAGTCGCAAATTAGACACGACCATCAACGCCGTCGCCAGACTCATTGGAAACCATACACCCAGTGATACCAGGGCGCTATGCCACACAGCGTCAGTCTTGCGACCTTTTGGTGTTGATAAATGTCTGCTGACTAAAACTTTGCAGTTCTCAAGACCCGATTCAAGCCCTTTGCCGAATACACGGTTAAGATCGAGAGTGAATTTTGGTCTCGGACCGAGAATTATGACTCTCGGCTGGCTGCTGACAGAAAGCAGCGCCGGAATCCGGTGCGACTGATAAACCAGCACCATCTCCAGGGTTCGTAGTAGTTACGACGACTTGTAGAAAGGATTCCCTGAGCAAAGGAATGTCACTCGGGGGAACCTAGGCACAGAGATAGCAAACTTCTCCAACAACAAGCCCATGTTTATCAACGGGTAACCTCAGTCCCAAGCAATAGGAATGCATCACTTGATACATCTCAGGGTTTTCATAGTAATATAACCCACCCCAATGCTTTCTCACTCCATTTCCCCAGGTTCTGAATGCGATATTTCTTGTCTTATATATCATATTTACTCTTGATGACATTGTTACAGTCCTCTAAAAACCATGTATGTGCAGTGCCATTTAGCAAACTCCAACCACTACATTCTGAATATTCGCTGGAAGGATTTGCTGCTTTGACTAAAAGCATCCGGGGTCACATCCGATTCCCCTGAAATGACACTTTGGCAAGGCATGGCAGGCTTGACAACTACTCAACTTCCATCTGCTTTCCGTCGATAGCGATACCGATTCCCGAAGGCTTCCTTGATGGTCCCCAGCTTACACATGCCCTTCCTTGGAGGAGGGTGGCAGGTAAACCATTATAGACCCGACCGAGTTGGCCAATAGCAGTTAACGCAAGGTGACGAGCGGTCCTTTGTCTATCTCACAGGCCCAGGTGAGACTATCCGAGTTTTTGACAACCCACCCGAGGTTTTAAGTTTTCAGCAGGGTCATTTCCGTGCTCCGTTACCTGACTCCAAGGTAGAGTGCACACGAGTCAGGCCTGTCTCGCACCGGAATACCCTAGGCTTCGGTTCGTGCAGGCTGTGGGATATGACGCAGTCCAGGATGGCCGTCCTCAGACCGTTGCATCGTCTATATATATACGATGTACCATGTACATATCTCCACGCACAAAAGCTCATCTTAAACGAAAAAAAGGTTGATTCTATTCGTCCCGGCAGCCTGTCGCCGAGGACGTCGCTGCTCACCCGGATCCCATTGGCGGCGGTGCTTCACGAGACGCAGCGCAAGAGGGATGGCGAGTAGATGGCGACAAAGTCAATGTAATCAACCGAGTCAATGTAACCGACCGAGTCGCGCGAGAAGCGGTGACGGACTTTGACAACATTTCGTCTGTTCATTACGCCTAGCTAGTTCTATAACCGACGGCAATACATTAAATTTCCTTGACAAACCCAACCTCAACCACTCTGTCCATGGCCAGCCTGAGGTTAGCAATCTTGGCCCGGGTGTTGTCCCGGATCCACAAGAACGTGCCCAGCGTGAGCCTCCTCAGGATGCTGGTGCCCGTCATGATTTTCATCTGTCCCTTGCCGACGATGTACAAGACCTTGTGCGCATACGCCCGGTCCATCTTCGCCAGCTCCGCCGCCAGCCTGCTGTCCTTCAGCTCGGGCGCGCCGTCGGCATCGTCCAAAGTTGTCATGGTCTCCTGCTCGCTGGCGGCCGCTGCCTTCGCGGTCGCCTGCCTGACTACGAACTTGCGCACCTGCTCGTACACCAGCGCGCCCAGATCCGGGCTGACTACCTCGTCCATGAAGCCGTGGCGCACGACGAGGCGGTAGCATCCCGGGATGTTGGCGAAGCGCGAGATATGGTAGCGCTCGCTGTCCGGGACGGTGGGCACCTCGACGGGGTGCAGGTGGAAGAAGACGCACACGTCCGGAAGGGCGCCGAGCTTGGAGGCGAAGTGGGTGAAGACGCTGGGCGTCTGGACGCCCGTCTTGTCGAAGAAAATGCCAAAGCCGACGACGGGGGAGAGCACGTTGCCGCCCCAGCGCTGGGTGAGCGCCAGCAAGCCGTCGCTGTTCTTGGTGAGGAGGGCGTTGGGATTGAAGCGGTCTTCGGCCTCGGCGCGCCATTGGTTCTCCTTGCCGAAGCGCCAAAGGAGGAACATGCCGCCCATGAGGGCCGAAATCATGAGCGTGAACCAAGCGCCATCAGGGACCTTATTCAGAGCCGAGGAGAGGTAGAGGCCGTCGAGCGTGGCGAAGGCCAAGGCCGGAAGGCCGATGAGCCAGACTGGCATGCCCCAGACGAGGATGGCTACCAACGTGACCATGAGGGTGTCGAAGAAGGTAACGAAGATGACGCAGACGCCGTACGCGTGACCGAGGCTGGTAGTGTTGTTGTACACCACAGTGACGAGGATCGTCCCGAGCATTAGGAGCCAGTTGAGAAGGGGGACGTAGACTTGTCCGTGGAAAGTTTCCGAAGTGTGAACAACCTTCATCTGGGGACAGTACGAGAGCTTCATGATTTGGCTCGAGAGCTGCAGAGGTGTCAGCACTTGACTGGCATTGAACCTGAGAGGTGGGCGGATCCACAACTGACCTGGAACGTTGCCGTGATGATGGCCTGCGAAGCGACAATGGCAGCCAGGATGGCCAGGATCAAACTAGGGTACAGCATTCCCGGAGGGACCGAGTTGAAGAAGGGATTGGTGAATTGCTCCGGCTGGAGGGCCAGATACGCAGCCTGGCCGCTGTACGCGAGTATGAGACAGGGATAGGTCCACAGCAGCCAGCTCATCTGCACGGCGCGCATGCTGAAGGCACCCAAGTCGGCAAACAGCGCTTCGACACCGGTGAAGCAGAGCAGCACGCCGCCGAGCATCTTCCAGCCCTCAGTCTTCCGCTCCATGAAGAAGTGGATAGCATAGTAGGGACTGAAGGCCTTGAGGACAGTGTAGTCGTACTTGACGAGGTTATAGATACCGAAGCCACCGTTGAAGCCGAGCCAGATGATGACGATGGGCGCAAAGCTGCTGGCAAGCTTGGTAGTTCCGAAGGGCTGAATGAGGAAGAGCAGGACGAGGATGCCGCACGACGTGCCGACGATCGTCGAGTTGCTGATGTCGGGCTTGACGACCGAAAGACCCTGGATGGCGCCCAAGACTGACTGTGCGGGGGTCAGGATACCGTCGGCTAGCACCATGGACACGGCGAGGACTCCAATGGTCTTGAGGAAGCCCTTGGTGATTCTGCTGTTCTCGATGACAGAGCGGATGCCGCGGGTCACAGGGCGCACGTCTTGTGTGTTTCGGCGCTCCATGCGGACTGTGGCTTCCTCGCGGGGGTCAAACTTGGTGATATTTGCCTTGTAGTTGGTCAGCACGATGTGTGTATCGTAGGGGGAGAAGGGCTCCCCATCATATACTGGATACTTACATATCGGGTCAGGAGGGAATAACAGGAAAAGGTGCCGCCCTCGCCTTCGTTGTCGGCGTGCAAGACGATGAAGACGTATTTTAGCGTGACCATGAGGGTGAGAGACCAGATGATGAGAGATAGGACCTGGGTGAGGTCGTTCTTGGTGGGAATGTCCACGAAGGTGGACGAGAAGACGTAAAGGGGACTGGAAGTCAATCAGCACACCGATCTTTCAGTCACGGCTTGAGTCTAGTGTCGGAGCTCACCTCGTCCCTATATCACCGTAGATAACACCAATCGACTGATACGCCAGCCTGAAGGGGGTTAAGGATGTCAGCCCAAAGCATCGTTAACAACATAGGGGAAGGGGTCGCAAACGTACCACATCAGGGTTGTGCCGGTAAAGACCTGCTTCTTCCTCCCATCGTCGCGGCGCCAGTCGCTGCCACCCTCATCCGCGTCGGCGGCAGACTCCATGGTGAGGACGCGAGAGAGACGGTGCGACCCGACACGGCGGAGGTCGCGGCTCGAGTAGATGCCGCCGGCGACGCCAGCGCCGGAGCTGGAGCCGACATCAGGACGTTGCCATTTCGGGAAGTCGTCGACGGTCGACTCCGACTTGTGTCTGTCGAGCTTCTCCTCGATTGTGATCCTGTTCACGGCTGGGTGCGACGCAGCCGTTTGATCATCCATACCAGGCGGGCGGATCAACACCTTTGAAAAGGGATATTTGGATACTGCGCCGGCGTGGGTGCAACCGATGGAAACGTAGGTGCAAGAACGGGGTGTTATGAACAGGTCAAGAACTAAGAGGCAGGAGGGAATCTAAAGGATCATCACAAGAACGAGGAGCTTAGTTAGGTCTGTGCTGGCAAGACAGCAGAGGGTGGGTTGACTTCTTTATGTCCCGGGCATTTGGAATTGGGACCGTCCAGACTAGTACCCTAACCTAATCTCAAGATAAAGCTGTCTCGAGAGAAACGACAGAAAAGTTGGATAGAAGATAGTGGGGGTCAAATGAAGGATCTCGGGGAGCTGGGCCAGTCGGTCAGAAGAGACTTGACTGATTGGGAGATGGCGTAAGATGGCTTTACACGCATCCCTGAGGCTGCGGCAAACGCGATCTCCGTCTCGCCGATTTAGTGCGGGAAACGCCAACGCCACCATGCCATGTAGGGAGACAAGGAAGCGGGCATGGCCGTAAGCCCAGCCCCTCGTTACTTCGGGGTCTTCCGGCAGTGGACGCCATGTGGTAGTTCAGGTTTTATTTTATTTTTCTCTTTGTAAAAGTATATGCCGCATGCCATGTAGGTATGAATATCTGTACGACTGGGATCATGGGGCCTTATCAGACTCGGACTCTGGTTACAGAATCTTAACTGTCACAGGCTCAATATCTGGGCTTATCCTGTGAGGGAAGGGCTAACGGCCCACGAGTAGGATCGCACTTATTCAGGTTTGAGGTATGTGTGTGTGCGCGCGCGCCGGGTGGGAGACACGCCGGAAGGAAGCAGACTAGTAAAGTGAGTGACGAGCGCCCGCTGGATGCCGACATGGTGGCAACGGGGAATGATTTCTGCTGGGGATGCGAACAGGGGTAACTAGGGTAAAGTAGTGGTAAAGCTGCTCCCTCGAGCGGGGGAGATGGTGGGAGCCCGGGAGGGCGCAAAGAGATACCTACCTAGAGGGACCATTTACCAGGAGGACGAGGCTATCCCCTGTTCAAGACGCTGGGTTCGTTGGAGAATCTTGAAGCAAAAATAGAAAGGAATCGCAGAAAAGCCGAGTGCGCTGACTGCATCTGTGAAGCCTGAGGTGAAAATAGAAACAGACAGCATTGACGGGGTCGTTCGAATTGTTGCCTCTGTCTTGAATTCCCCCGAGGAGTCTCCTTTCTGTCTCTATCTCTCTCTCACTCACTCACTCGACTGAGGAAACCCAGGCCGAATTGGTGGTCTGATCTGGGATGGTTACACCCGCGGACTAATTAGCATCCTGTGGATGGGCATGGTTTGGTCGCCGGGGGATGGTGGGATGGAGAATTCCTGCACCTTCTGCCCCTTTCGCGCACACCGCACACGCTATATGAAGGTGCGGGCGTCGACGGCGATCTGTGGAGAGAACAGAAGAGGGTATGTTTGTGCTTGAGAGGAGCGAGATAATGCCTCAATGTGTTACCGATCATCTGCCGTTCTTTGCCGTTATTGGGCGGGGCAGTGCCTAGTTCTATGAGGGGATTGGTTGGTTGTAAAGACGAGACGAAAGACAAGAGACGAAAGTGAAGCTGGAAAACAAAGATAGAGAGAGAGTAAGAGGGAGAGTAAGAGAGAGGTGAGAGAGAGAGAGAGAGGGAGGAGGAGGAGGAGGAGGAGGAGGAGGAGGAGGCAGCCCATCCCAATCCCAGTCTGCTGCAGAGTGCAAGTGCGTGTATTCCTACGCAGCAGGAGCTTCCAATCCACTCCAGTTGGAGACAACAAGAAACGAACCCGTATGTACGTACCTGAACTACCACGACCTTCCCTACTCACTCAGGTACCTAACTTGGGAAGCGAGGGAGGCAGGTGCTATGTAGCTACCCCTGCAATCCCCGGAGACGCACAGACGCCGACCCCACTTTGACGGCGTGTTGGGTTTGTTTAGCGCTGCTAAGCTTCTGCTAGCGCCCGCCAAGGTAGCCGCATCCATTCCCTTAACAATTTCTCTACCCTTGGCTATCCGCCCTTAGAAAACGCGACCTTTGCCTCACCACTTTTTTTTTTTTTTTTCTCTAAAGCGTCATTTCCTTTCTCCCCTGTCTCGGAACTTTGTAGGTACATTATGAGTGATTTTTTGGCCGTCGCTGCAGAGATGGTCCCATTGGACTGCCAAGACATGGTTCACTTTCTCGTGCCAAGACTGGTGGAGGGAAAACGACTTTTTTTTCTTTTTTTCTACTTGGCCTTCCCTTTTGCGCAACCGCGTACAGTTGCCATGTTTTCCAACGCTACCGCTCTGTTCAACGCGCAATGTCAGGAGCCATGGCGGGGAATCCAACAATTGGGCCTGACTTCCTAATTAATAGACTGCCGCCCTTGTCGATGAGCACTTTTCTCCGTTACTTTGACTTGACTGGGCCACGTGCGATACTGTCTGGCCCAGACTGTTCTGTTAAAACTCGGGCGAGCTTGTCGAGGAGTCTTGCCAACAGCCCAAGAGAGGATATCTGTGATGTGTCCCAGGCTCGTCCATATAGTCTCGGACTAGTACCATCGGGGTGTTCCTTCGGAAGATAAACATTGCCTCGCGTGTTAGTGGTACACTGCCAGAGACCTCGACCACCGTAAAATCTGTGATCTGAACCCCCCGCCCCCCACGCTTGAACACTGCTCGAATCCCTTGGAGCGTTTCTCTACCCAGAGGACGTTGTTCCCATGAAAGAAAAAAAAATACGTGCTTTGTCATTCCCCTTTTTTACCTTATTGGTTATACTATTTTACTTGATTCAACCCGTCCTGGGTGGGTGCCTACCTAGTGGTGCCATGCCTTTCTTGGCGAGTCCAACCGACGCGCGAGTCCACACCCTCCTCCTCCTCTGAGATGGGACGGGTTTCGGTCTGCATGTTCTGCAGCCGCTTCTCTCCGACGTCATGACCACCTTGGACCGTCTGATCGATGGCCTAGGCCGACCCGTTCGTCTTGTGCTCCCCCACGACGGCCGTGCCGTCCGCTTCGCTGACGGCAAAGTTCCACCCGAAGTCGTCGGCGATCTTGCCGAGCTGGATGCCCTTGAGCGTCGACAGGAGCTTCAGGCAGAGGTCGCCCGCCTCCTCCTGGCTCTCGGGGATGTACGCCACAGTCTCCTCGCCCACCTTGGCGCTGCTGACGCGCTCGTGGGGGCCCGCCGCCGTGAGGGACTGCGGCGACGACGAGTCGATCCGACGCGTGATGGACCGGATCGGCACCAGCGCCGCCGCCGTTCCCGCCGCCATGACCTCGGAGAAGGTGGGAAGCTCGCTGTACTTGATCTACGTGGGTGGTCGGGTCAGTCAACATGCGCCAACACGTGATCTCTCTCTCTCTCTCTCTCTCTCTCTCTCTCTTTCTCTCTCTCTCTGTGTGTGTGTGTCTACTTGTCTCTCGCCGCCAGACTTACCACTCGCTTCTCTATCGTCCAGCCGAAGCTGCGGCCAATTTGCTGGATGCTGTCGCTCGTCACGCTGTCGATGACGCACTTGGAGTCCGGCACCACGAGGGTGACGTCCTCGCCGTCCCTCCTGACGCCGATGAAGCCGCTCGTGCTGAACTCGTCAATGTCCTCGTGCCGGACGCTGTCGAGGTGCAGCGTGATGTCGTAGCCCTGGGCCCGGGCGCGGTCGCTGAAGCGCATCACGGGCGCGTAGTTGCCGCCCACCTTGGCGTGGCCGGTGCCGTTGGGCGCGGCGCGGTCAAAGTCGTCGAGGATGAGGCACCTGACCGGGTGGCTCCCGTGGTATGTGCCGGTGGGGATGACGAAGACGGCGAAGGTGTACTCCTCGGGCGCGCTCAGGCCGAGCTGGGCCGAGGAGCCGTACAGCTGGGGGCGGATGTACATGGCGGCGCCCGTGTCGTGGGGCGGGACGTAGCCGGCGTTGAGGGAGACGGCGGCCTTGCACGCGGCGAGGAAGAGCTCCTCGGGGACGCGGGGCATGGACACGACGTCGGCCGAGTGCTGCATGCGCACGGCGTTCTTGTCGGGGCGGAAGATGTTGATGGTCTTGTCGCCGGGCGCGCGGAACGCCTTGAGGCCTTCGTACGCCTGCTGGCCGTAGTTGAGGGCCGGCGCCATGCCGTGGATGCGCATGAAGGGGTCGGCGACGAACTTGAGGGGCGTCCATTTGCCGGTCGCGACGGAGTAGCTGGACTCGATGTGGCCGTTGACTGGAGAAGAGAGACGCCGTTAGTCTTGCGGTTTTGAAGGAGGAGGGTGGGTGGGCTGCTGCTGCTGCTGCTGCTGCTGCTGTAGCTCGCTGTAAGCGTCACGGACGGAGGCTCACCTTCGCGGACCTTGAAGCCGACGTTGTTCCAGTCAATGGTTGTAACCGGAGGGGGCGGGAAGGCTGCCATTGTGAATGTCGTGTGCGGGCTCGGCCGGTCAAAGGTTGGGTATGTGTAGTTGGTGATTCTGAACGTCGATTGACTTGAGCAGGTGGTACGACGAGGAAGCTGTCCAAGTAGATGTGACTCGTAACGACAATGGAGCTCTCTTTCTCTCTCTGGATCTCACGTAATGGCCTCTGTGCCCGCTCTGATATTTTCCCCTTCTCTCTTTGGTTGACTCACTTGGGAGAGGGAGTCAACTCCCACTTCGTCCTTCAAAAAGTCTTGGAGGGGCGCCGATTGCGGGATTGCGGGGCGACTGTCCGCTGTCCAATAGGTCCACTGAAGCCTCTTTCATTGGCTGGTTGCTTATTAAGGCGTCGAAACAGCCCTGTCCGCCTCCGTCTGCCGGAGCTTGAAGGGCGCGAGAAGACATGGAGAAATGAGGCCCCGGCATGACGTCGCATGTGTTATTGGCTAGTTAGTAAGTTGACGATGCGAGGGTTGTTAGTTTTTGAAAATGCTGAGAAAGAAGCTGTGTAAATTTATCAGACACGGACAGAAGAAGTAGAGACAGAGGATCGTAGGTTTCCGAAACGCGCCACATCGGCATGGAATCGGACATCCTCCATCCACCCGTCCACCCGTTGAACAGAACGACACACCTACTAGCCCGGCGGAATTCCACCAGCTCTTTGCAACCCTTGGACAGGGTAGCTTTGTCCCACAATCGTTGGGTCCGGAAGCCGGCGTGTTCATCTTTGGCGGAGCGGCCCGGATGACGGGACAACGGTAGCAATGTGGACCCCGGACCCAAGAGTGTGACGGAAAGAGACAAAGGATAGGAGGAGGAGGATTCAAACCTCTGCCTCGAGAGAAGCCGAGAGCTAAGGACGGAGGACACGTGAACCAACCAAGGTTTTCACACACAGGTCTCCCGTGTCTAGAGGGGCTCTTAATTAGAAATTGGCCCGTCCGGCTGGGTTCTTGGTTTTTAGCATGGAACGATATTGTCGAAGATGACTCTCGAGGTGCGGTCTACCTCTCGGAGGTTTTGGCAATGGCCATTATGGAAGACAGAGATGGAGAGATCTGATATGCCATCAGAGACTGGAATGGTGGACACTCCATTGCACTGGTCTCCGAGTGGGTCCTCCCCATGCCTGGCATATGTCATCCGGCCTGCTCGTTCATCCCTTCGTCTGCCGCCTGCGGGGAACCCTCACCCTCGTCTTCATGGTCGCATTCTCGCAGTGCGCAATGCCCTTCATGGGATTCATGGGCTGGATTGGTATTGTTGAATGTCATAAGGGAAACCAAATGGCCTGTTACCTGATCTGAGCTAGTTGGTCGTTCTACTGAAAAGCACCCGCTATCGCGTACTGCAGTCATCAGCCTCGGCAAATGATGCAGCGGATACTGCGGGACAGCCTTGATGCGGGGGCAGCTTTGCGGCCTCGCTCTTTGCCGCTGTGGACGGGGCTCATCACTCTGTTGGAGGTTTTCCATCAAGTTGGAACAGAGGTATTGGATGTCTCTTTGGAAGCCGCACCTGTTGGCGTCAAGAGACATTAGATGTAGAAATACTCCTTTTTAGGTCCAGGTTATCGATGGTATGATACCTCTTTTGATGCCAAGCTACGCGCTGTCTAGTCTTTAACTCGTCTTGCCATATCTCGCCGCCGCTATAAATACACAAGATGCCCTTTCTCGGCATCTGACTTCTGGTCCCTTGGATACATACGCTAAAAAGGCCCAAGGAAACGCAACGCAAGCTGAAAAGTTTGGTAATAATACAAGTAGGGGAGGGGTATGTTCTGACTGAGTACTGGGAGCATGCAACCCGTCTTTCCGGGCGTGGTATAAGCATTCAATCGTCACAAGCTTTCACGTTGAGTTCTGCAGCAGCTGGTAGCAGGCGAACAAAACTAGAGCGTTTAGGACTCATGCGGTTTTGCAGTACCGAGGAAACGGATGGGATGGAGAAGGGGGAAAAGGGAAGAAGAAGAAAAAGACAAGATGCAAAAAAGAGGGGCCGAATGCAAACGGAATGGAACAAGATGAAAAAGAAATACCAATAAAACAAAAAGACATTAGGAAATATCTCCTTTAAACGAGGGTTCGCTCCTCGATGCGTCGTGGTGCATGCCAATCAATGCAATAGTCGTCACTGTATCCTCAAAAATACCCGCGCCTTCCTGGACCCTTCGCCGACAAAAGACCAAGATGACAAGAAAAGGAGACCGAACGAAACCCTGGCTTCGTGTTTTATACGCCATCGCACTCCGTCTCTCCACCTTGCGCTGACCCACCGCAGTATCATCTGCCTGGTGTTATGGCCAGGTCAACATCAATTGAAATGTGCACTGCCAAACTCTGGAAACTCCTGGCCACAGCATAGCACGAACTGTTGAGATTGCCCGAAGAACCGTACTTCAAACTCTCCGCGAATAACCTCTTATTGGGTTGTGGCGAGCTTCTGGAGAGCAAGTAAAACACCTGTCCAGTCATTAGCATCATTGCACAACTCTTGGTCATCGAACTCGACTTACCGCTCACACCCTGCGTCAGGGTGAAGCCAGCCTCGGTGTTGCGGCTGTGCAAGCTGACCGTAACCACGTCCTGGACCACCTTTTCACTACCAAGGGCGTTGGCCCACTTGAACACCTTCTCGTCCTCGCGTCCGTCTCCCACCACCATGAGAAAGTCGACAGGACTCTGATGCTCCGTGTCGGGCTCCATGTGGATGCGAAGGTCGTCAAAGATCTTCTCGGCCGCAGTGCTCTTGGTCCAGTCGATGGGCTCAACGAGGATGGAGCCATCGAGAGGGATGGCGTGAACGCGCTGCTCCTCGCAGGCATCGTTGACGTGGCTGGCGCAGTCAGAAGCTTGGCGGGCTGCAGACTCGTAGTCTTCAGCGCTCTTGTAGTGGAAGATCAAGCTGCACCGGCGCTCCTCGATCTCAGCACCAGGAGTGCGCTCAAGGTAGTATGTCATGATCGACTTGACCGACTCCTTCCAACTGGAGATCTGTTCCCTGTCGGCCATCTCTTGCCATGTGTTCTTGCCACAATCCTTGAGGAAGCAACCATTCTCGGCAATGAGACCCAAGTTGGGCACCCGGCGGAACAGCCGGTCAAGCTCTTCGGGACGGCGGCCGGACATGATATAAACGGTGTTGCGCTCGTCGAGCAACAACTCATTGAGCACATCCAGGGTACGCTGCTACAGTTAGCATCTTCGCGAAACAGGGGAAACCCGCGAGCATCCTTACCTGAGGACTAACGGGAATGATTTGGTTCATCGGGCCCCAGCTGACCAAGGTGCCTTCGTAGTCGAGGATGAACAGCCGGCGGTTGCTGCTCTTGTATCTCGAGGCCAGGGAGTGAATGTTGAGGCGCGGAACAGAGGTCTGGTCGTGCTTGTGCTGTTCGTCGTACACGCGGTCCAAACGGGACAAGAACTCGCTGAACCAGTGCGAACCGGTGTGGTGCATGACGGCCGAGTACAAAGCGCCCCAACGGCGCTCCTTCTCCTCATTGCCCATCTCGAGGGCCTTCTTGATGGCGTCGGCGCATTGCCGGTAGTCCCAGGGGTTGACTGCGAGCTCATTGCCACCGAAAAGCGAGGATGTGCCGGTAAACTCGGAAAGGATTAGGGAGCCGTGCTTCTTCTCAGGGAAGACCTCGCCGTCCTGGCAGAAGAGGTATTCGTGAGACGTCAGGTTCATGCCCTCACGCTGACTGGTTATCATCAGCGCGTCGGCCATTGTCAGCAGAGCGAGGTACTGAGGGTAGTCGATGTCTTGCTTGAGATAGACAACAGGCTGGTAGGCCAGGTTCGCCCATGAGGAGTTGACTCGTGTGACGATGTCGCTAACAGTCGCGTCCAAGTCGGACTTCTCGCTGCTAGATAGCGCCACTTGAATGAGGACGGTCTTATCGCGCCAATCCGGGTTCTTGTTGAGGAACAGCTCGTACGACAGAAGCTTCTGGCGGACGCCGCGGACGTGGTCGAGCTTGTCACGAGCGACGATGAGCTTCTTGCCCTGGTAGCGCTCCTTCATGATCTCGACCCATTTCTTCACGTCGTCGTCGCCCCGGTGCTCGCTGAGGCTGACAGGGTCGATGCCGATGGGCAGGTTGACGACATCGACGAAGCGGTCCTCCAACTGGAGACCGTCGGTGGTCGCTTCTACGTTCAGCAGCCTGCTGCAGGTCTGGAGGAAGTGGCGGGTGTACTCGTGGATCTGGAAGCCAATGAGGTTGGCGCCCAGCATGCCCTCGAGAAGCTGTTTGCGCACAGCGAGACACCTGAAAACCTCGGACGAGGGGAAGGCGACGTGCAGGAAGAAGCCAATCTTAGCTTCGGGCAGCTTCTTGCGAATCATGCCGGGGACGAGCAGCAGGTGGTAGTCGTGGACCCAGATGACGTCGCCGCGTTTCCAGTTCTTGATAATCTTGTCGGCGAAGGCTTGGTTGACGTTGACGTAATACTTCCACGAGTGGTCCTCGAAGGCCTTGCTCTTGGGGTTGTCGGGGATCTGGTAGTGGAAAACGGGCCATAGGATCTGTTTGCAAAAGTGTGAATAGTGGCCGTCAAAGTCCTTGTCGGATGTGAAAACGGTGAGCATATCGTGCTCGGTGGCGAGCCTGTCCTCGATGTCTTGCTTCTGCTGCGAGCCCTCGAGGGCGTCGGTGGGCATACCAAGAGTGCCAACCCAGGTGTATTCGCCAAGCTTGCCGTCGCGGGCAGCGGCCTCGGCGGCGTTGCGCAGGCCACCGTTGCCCTGGTCGGCGTTCATAATGCGCCAGTTGGCGTGGGCAAAAACGCGGTCATGGCTGTCGCTTCTAACGAGGGGCCTAGGCTGGGTGACGCCCTGGCGGCCCAGTTCCCTAGCCTTCTCGAGTGTACGACTGTGCTCGGCGATGAGGGCAGGCGGAGGCGAGCTGGCGCGTGACTTAGGCTGGGTTGCTCGAGCACCCCATTTGGGAGACCCTTTGTCGACGGGGGCGCCAAGCTTGCGCTCCTCCTCGGGGAATATGCGGAAGCCATCCTCGTTCGTGAACGGGTCCTCGGCGATGGCTTCTTCAGTCGGCGTGATCGGGGGCGTGATGTCACGGATCGGGTTGAAGAGACTCGGCTGGCGATTGGGCTCGGGACGTTGGGCCTTGTCGGTTTTGACGCGGCGCAAAGGGTCTCCTCGTTGGGAGGTGCCCGGCAGCGCGAAGTGGACGGTTTTGGGGAGAAATCTAGAGTCGCCACTGTTAGATTACCGTCTTGCAGGCAAGTGCAGCCAGGGTTTGAAGACGTATCACGACCAGTGAAGGACGCAGCTGCTGGCGAAATTGTGCGCAGAGCGGGGTCATGTCGGAAGCTCTTTTCGTGGTCGACTTTGGTGGCAGGGGGGCAGGACAAGACAACCGGGAGTGGAACAGGGGCCAGAACTCACAATGATGCGATGAAGACCGTCATCTTGGGCTGTTTGGTTACTGTCGAGCCTTCTGGGTCGGTTTCGTAAAGAAGAAGGGAAAACAAGTCCAAGACAAGCAGCCAACGTTGTGTGGCTGGTTCGAGTCTGGAAGACCGAGGAGCGAAGTCGCCAAGACTAAACGAGGTCTAGTAGTGCAAAGTAGACGAGGATGAAGCAGGTGCTATGAGCAGGTTTTCATAGACCAGAACATATGGGAGGAGTCGAATTTCGAAGAGGGGGATTGGTTAAGCTGCAGCCTTGATCGGATTCCGGTGACAGGATTGCTGGTGTCAAGACGATGACGAAAATGGTGAAAGGGAACAAGTGCAAGGCGAGATATGCTCGTTTGTCGTTGTTCCGGAGAAAGGGACCAAGTACCTCAGTTTCTCTCTGTGGAGAAAAAAAAATAGATGACGGAGATAGGATTGATGGGGGTGATGGAAGAACGACAGCGGGTGAGTGAGGTATGATTGGATTTATGTGTCTCAGACACAAACCCGGAATAAGGCGAGGCCGTCAGTGAGTAGGTGGGAAGAGTATGTGTGTGTGTGGAACAGGGTGAGGTGAGATGTGTGTGTTGTCCGACTGTGGGCAACTTGGCTTAGCTGCTCGGAGCTGTGCTTGTTTGCCTGATTGCTTGGGCGCGCGTGTCTTGTTGTGTTATGTTGATGTTGCTATTGCCAAGAGCTAGACAAAAAAAGGTGTGCCGTCAGCTTGAGCTTTTTCTGCAAGCTCCTTGACCAGGACGAGGGAGCCAGAGTCTGAACCTTGCGTAATTATGTGCAAAGAGGACGGGCGCAGGCGCAGGCTCAGGCGCATGCAGGCGTAAAGGAAAATAATAAAGCTTGCTAGGGGAAAAGAAGAATGTACGGTTGGACCACTGGGCGGGCTATGCAGCTGCGAGGCATCGATCGGGCAAGGAGGAGGGTGAGATGATGAATGGAAGAAGAGTCTTGCGGCGATTGTGCCTTGTGATGTGATTGTTTCCTTCTCTTCTCTTCTCGGCCGCTCTTTTTCTCTCTGTTTTTTTCTGTGTTGTTTTCTCGAGAATATTCCAAAGTGGATCTCTCTGTGGTTTTCCGTCCCCTTGGGTGACGATGCGAGGGGGCCCGTGTGCGGTAGGTGGGGGTTGTGTGTGTGTGTGTGGGATTGAAACGGGATGGGACGGGGTGATGGACTTTTAGTGTGAGTTTAAGGTGAATAATTGGGCAGTCAGTGTGGCGCGGGAGGGAGGGACTGTCACTGGGTAAGAAAAGGCAAAATGTGCCGGTAGAGTGTGAGGTGGGATTGGTTGGGAGGCGACAAGAACGGGCCTAGGCCAGATGATGTGTCCAGAATGGGATGGAAATGGAAATGGAAATGGAAATGGAAATGGAAGACTCGGAATGTAACTGCATGAAAAGCAAGGGAAGACAGGCCATTCATCAAATAAAAACAGGCTTGAAGTACACAAGTTAGAGGGGGAGGGGAAAATGAAAATAAAAATAACATATGAATTGGTGCTTTCACTGTGACGCCATTCATGGGACAACAACCCACAGCTGTCTCTCATATGGCTTGTCACCCACTCACTCACTCACTCACTCACTCATACCCATGGGATGGGCCCAAAGGAAAGGAAAGAACAAAACGTACCCGAGCTTTTCATCTTCTGTTCTTCCCCCATGCGCAACGGCAAGGAATGTCAGTGACGTAATGAGGAAACCGGGTGCACACCCCGAGGCGTCGGCTAGGAAGATAAACGCCTAACTATGGTTGAATCGACGAGCTTATGCACGCCCGCCCAGAAAACAGTACGGGACCGGAGAAGAGGAGAATGCCTGAGAGTCGATGGCACTGGACGTTGAGGCGCTGCCAGATGCAACGAGCCGGCCGAGGCCCCTGCGGTATTAAGGAGCTAGAGGAGGAGGTTACCGCTAGTATGATGATGTTTGGCTGGTGCCCTGTCTTTGGCCGCGCAGCTTGCCCAATTGCTCTTTCGATTGCTTGCTTGCCCAGTATAAAGTTTTCTTTTTGTTGGCCTTTTTGTGAGTCTCTTTCTAATCAGCTGTCGAAGAGGATCTGGTTAGACGTTGGTTGGTAGGACGGACGGCCGGCGAATTAGATTCTCACCAAATGGCTAATATCCCTGATCTGCTCTCGATATGTTTCGGATCTAGTCACCGACTCCTTCTCACTTTTTTTGGTGTTAATGTCGTTTGAAGTTGGCGCCCAAAGCAAGGTATCCCACGTTGTCGCACGCTCGACGACAGTGGACTGGCGGACTGACTAGGTAGGTAGGGAAGGGAGTGGAGATGGATGGACAACTGCAGCCCGGGCGGCCGACAGAAAGTGACGGAATCGACGGGGCAGGGGAGGCCAGGGGGGGTAAACGGAGCAGATGTCCCGTCCGGGGTATACGTCGACGAACACCAACGACCAAGAGGAGATTGAGGACGGGAGAATAAGAACTGGAGACGTCCGTGCTGTTTGTTGGGCTAGGCCGTGAGATGGACAGAGGCGGGAGTCTAAGTAAACGGTGGATCTAAATTAGATAGACTCAGGAGGTTTTGGTCCGCCAAAAGCTTCGACAACAACGGTGGGTGTGCTGGATAGCTACTCTGACCTCGTCAAAGGTGACGATGATGTATGGGAGTGGGAAAACACGCCCGGGATAAATCAAAATAAAAAAAGAGCCAAGGGGCCAGAAGTGCGAGCTGGTGTGGGGGACATGGGGACATGGGGACGAGGAACAGGGAGAGAATCGAAGATCGAGGATGGCTCGAGACTTTTTATCTCACCAGCCGAGCCAACTACCCAACTGATTGTGTGTGATACTTACTGCACGTTCAAAGAAGAAGACGACGACGACGACGACGACAACGACAACGCGAAAGCGAAGGGCGGCACCCAGCTGTGTAGAGGAGCCGGGATGGAATCAGACGGAGACATGGCCGGGGTTACGGGCAGGGGGGGCAGGGAAGATGGGAGGGGTTATTACTTTTCTTTATTTCTTTTTTAGTTATTTTGGCTCCGGGTTGATGTACGATGATTCTGTTTCCCTCTCATTTCCAGGTCGGCATCCCATCTGATCTACCGGTACCTAGTGCTCCCTCGCTCGCGGCGCAGGCCGCGCAGACAACAGCGGCAAGTAATCGCTCACCCAAAATAAAACAACCCCCCGAGGGCGAGGGGAATAGGCAAGTACCACCATGCAACGAGCAGACCTTGGGTCCGGCGAAATTGCAAAGTGAGGTGGGTGAGCCGGGGTCGCCCCCAAGGGTCGCCATCGTCTCTTCTTGGACAAGCTCAAAAGTGAGAAATGCGACGTCTTTCGTGCTCCGCGGCAAGCGGCTTACTTCGGCGATGGAGGGAGTGCCGCCTTTCCCATTCAAGACAGGGCGTGTGGAAAGTGTATTGTTCCGAGCGGCGCCGTGACTGGATCCCACCCTACGCGCGATCGGGATTTGAAGGAATCATCTCCCTCCCTTCCCGGGCTGCTGCTGCTGCTGCTACTGCTACTGGGCTCTCGAACTCTCGAAGCCGGATTGCGAAAAGAAAGAAAAAGGAAAGCATCATCTTCTTGGGGTCCGTACAGTAGCGTGCAGCGTGCAGGATAAACCGTACAGCGCTCATCGTTCTCGCTGAGACTCTTTGGAGCATGTTGGGCCGACAGGGTTTTTGGGCCTGTCCATCATCCGGCCAAGACACACGCGACAAGGATGCTTCGGGAACAACTGGACAGAGGGCCGCAAGCTTGGGGACGGCGGGCTGAGGCTGGATTATGGGTGTCCCGTCCAGACACAGAGACAGACCAGACGAGACACGGGTGCCGATGAAGAAAAGCTGGGCTGGCGGGTGTCAGCCAGCGAGTGAGCGCAGTGCGTGAGAGGAGAAAAGAAAAAGAAACAAAAAAGTGACTGATGATGGACTAATCACACTTCGCAAAGCTATGGCCGACATAAGCCGTTCCGTCCCGCGATGACCAGAGAGAGCTCTCCTCCTCGTTGTCTGACACTCCAATGGCCGGCCCGTTTCCCTCATTTATGACCACTCTCTCACTTCGGACATGCTTCTCGCGCCGTCATGACACTGCTCGGTGTCTAGACCAAGACCGGCCCTGTCCTCTGCTACCATCAGTGAACAAGCGACTTATACTACCTTACCTGAGGGTCTAGAGTGCTGCTGTTTTGGTGAGTTATCGTGACCTCTCCTCGTCCGCCTCGTTAGCTTCTGAAGGGCCCGAGCAGCATCAACAAGAATGCAACCAGCCCGCCCTGCCGCGCAACCCCTGACTGATACTACATAACATTCATGGATGTACGGATAGATAATATCTATCCGAGTTGGTAGGTAGGTAATCAGGTGCATGTGCCGTTGTTGCAACTGAACAAGTTCTATCCGTACAAGTCGCAAAGCCACTAATGTCGCAATTGGGCAGACAAGCAGACAAGCAGGCAGGCGCATGGGTCCCAGGAAGGAAAGAGAGAGGGAGGGAGGTACTTGCCGTCCCAAAACCCAACGGCCATGGGTAGGGCAAGAACACATCGTTAGTACCTGTACCTGCACCTGCTTAGGTATGGTAGCTGCACGTACAATTACATTGGGTACCTCGCCTAGGGCGGCATCATGATGATCATGTGGCATCTGCTTCCCTCCTACACCAGCCAGTCTTGTCCGATGTACATCGTGGTCGTCCTGTCTTTCGCTCGGCCATATCCCCCCTTTCTTACTCTCTGTCTGTAGGCACTGTACCTATCTCCCTTCAGCTTCGCTTCTCTTTCCTCTTCCCTGGCTGAATGAGGGGGGGGGGGGGGGGGGGGGGGACGCAAACACTAACACTAAACAACGACACCACCACTCCAGCCATTCCCGCCGCCACCACATCCCTCTCGTCGCTCAACGCCAACAAATCATCACAGCCACCATCACAGCTTTGAGTGGTTGCCCGAATAGATTCGGCAAAAGCATCGTCCACCGCCCAATGATTGACTGATAGCACCATGCCAGTAGCCCACCCCTT